CGTTTAAAAAATGAATTTCAAAACAACAAAACCGGTGCGAAAACCGATTCGATGGTGTGGTGGTGATGGTGGTGGTGGTGGAAGTAAGAAAATGAAAATTACATTTTTTATCTTCCCATTATACAACAAAACGAGAGACGAAAAAAAAAAAATCTCGATCCAGATAATAATTCAGATAACCCCAGTGTGTTTAGTGTGTGTATAATGAGCAAACGAAACAAACAAAAAAATGCCTACCTGTCAGTCGATCTCTTGCGATCTTGGTAGGTTGATCTGAATTATCATTTTTTTTCTACTGCTTCTTCGACATCTATTTTGCCCTCATCATCATCATCATCATCATTAATAACATCAATGCATTGATGATGATGATGATGATGATGGTGGCGGTGGCGGTGATGATCAGCTTAAACTACATAATAAAAAAACAAAATTTTTTGTTTTACCTGGAATTTTTTTTGGTGGTGGTGACCAGAACCAAACCAAACAAAACAACAATAATAATTATCTAATGACCAAAAAAATTGGATCGACTAGACTTTTTCTTCTTTTTCTTTGGTCCCATCGTCATCAATATTGAATATTGATCATCCAACGACGACAAACAACACAAAAACAAGGAAGAGAATGTGTGTGTGTGTGTTTGTGTAATTTAGTTTGCAAAATTAAAATTAGATTTTCAATAACAACAGCAGCAGCAGCAGTAAAAAAAATTGGATCAGCAAAGTTATTCGTCATTACAAATTATCAAATTATCATTATTATTATTATTAGATCTGAGTGGAGAGATGTATAGATTTTTTTTTTACTTTAGATCTGTAGATCTACAGATGATGATGATGATGATGATTATCGTTATTAAGCTCAAATGACGATGATGATAATATCGTTGAACAAAAAAAAATTTTTTTGGCCAAGATAGAGAGAAGTGGAATTTATTTATTTTTTTTCTTTCTTTCTTTCGTTAGTCCAATTTTCACTGTTTTTATCCTATTGCGAATGGTTGATGTGTCTATTTTTTTTTCATATTAGTGTTGAGCCAATTTCATTTTTTTTTTTTTTTTTTTTTTTTTGATGATATATATCATTTTGGATACTGGTAAAAAAAATTTGTAGTCAAGTTGATGATGATGATGATGATGATGATAATCAAAAGGTATGATTTTCATTCCATCATCATAATCATTTGGTTATGTTTACTAGCTACTGCTTCTTTTAGATATCGAATGACCAATTCTCATCTTAATGATTACCAATGATGAACGATGATGATTGGTTATCATTAACATTATTATTTTTTTTTTCGTAAGCTTCAATTTGTTGTTGTTGTTTTAGCTGCTGGTCAGTGGTAATTTCAATTTGTTGTTGTTGTTGTTGTTGTTGGTTTGTATTTCATCATTATAATGATGATGATTATAATGAAAAGATTCGCAGCAATGTTTTTTTTTCTGTCGAAATTTTGTTTGTGTAAAAAAAAAAGAAATAGAAAATGTTAAAAATATGGCCATGTTGAATTTAATTTATTCCATAATCATCGATTAACGTTCAATAAACTTGAACAATAATCAAATATTTCAATTGGCAAAATAAAAAAAAAAATGTCAATTACAAAATCATTTGTCCCATGTTCATTGATTACACACACGCACACGCTAATCCAAGAATCGATAATGAATTGATAATTAGATCATTGAATTTAACCAAGCACACGCCTAATTTACAATTGACAATTGTTTTTAGTCTGTTTGTTATGGATGAACGATTGTGATTGCGTGCGTTCTATGTAATGATGATCATGATGACAATGAAAATCTAAATCTTCATTTTGTCTTCTTTACATAATTATGGAAATTTTTTCATCCAATTTTCATCTGTTTTCTTGTGGTTAATTGTGTCTATGTGTTCGATTAATTATGGCGATCGATTAAATATCATCATTGTTGATTTATAATCATTCTTTTTTTACTTCTAATTGAACCATTTGTCTGCCTGTCTGTCTGTTATATTTAAATCACGACAATTTCAACAGTGGACAATTATAATCTAAATTCCATTTGAAATGGAATGAAATGTGAATTGTGAATGAAACAAAAAAAAATGATCGCGTGTCAATTGTCATTGGATCATCATTCAATTCAATTCGATTCGATTCGATTCGATTCATTATACAGCACCATTAAACAAAGACGACAATGAATTGTTTATTCATTCTTTGGTATGAATAATTTCGTTTCGTTTCGTTTCGTTTATTTTGTCGATTAAAAAGAAGAAGAAGAAAAAGAAAAAATTCTAATTTTAGCCACACTGGATGATCACATTCTTTTTGTTTGAAACCGGCCAATACCCCCAAATCATTCACCTATCGCCAATTGAAATCAATGGCAATTTTCAGTCAAACAACAAACTAATTACGATATAAATATAAATGTTTACAGGTAGAGTGATCAGTTTATAGTCGTTTACACTAGATACAATTTAATATTTTTTTTTTTCAGTTACCGATACCGATATTTTTGTTTTCAGTTTAACAAAACAAAAAAAAAAAAAATTTAACCCAGTTTTTTGCTGTTGTTGACAATTTTCATTTTATTTATTTTTTGACATTTTGTGTGTGTGTTTTTTATGGCTTCTTCAAAAATTTTTTGTTTTGTTTTGTTTTGTTTTACAACCCTCACTTATTATGTACCTCGCCTAGTGCCATTATCGACAGTGTGTGGAACCGATCGTGAATGATTCGAATTTTTGTAATCAAAAAAAAAAAAAACTCCACCACAGCGCCATCTTTTTGATTCTAGCCAAAAAAATGATGATGATGATGATGATCAGATTCTTTTCGAATCACAGAGAATTGTTTCCATTCTATTGATCAATGTTTTTTTTTCTACTGCTGCTGCCATGAAAAAAATAGCCAAAAAAAAAAAAAAATCCATGAATTTATTAGGATTAACAGGTTTATTTTTTTCTTTCGATGATTTTTTTTTTATTACATCAAATTAATGCCAATGTTTTTGTTGTTGGCAATTGATGGATGGAGAAAAAAAATTTTTCGATATGCCAAACACTTTAATCGTCAATTTTTTTCTGGTCAATCAGATCTCATCTAGTGTGAAAACATTCAACCAATGTTGTCGTCATATAGTTATTATTATATATTGTCATCGACCATGGTCCATGAACAAAAAAAAACAGAAAAAAAATCCAAGGCCAAAAATGACCAAATGATGATGATGATGACCGACCCATGGGTCATCATCATCATGATGAAAATTTCAAAACCTGTCTCCAAACCAACTAAGGGACTATGTAAAAATAAGAAAATGTAAATTAGAAGAAAACCTGTTAAAAGAAAAAAAAACCTATGTGAGGATGAGGAAAAAAAGAAGAAGAAGTAGTAGGTATTTTAAGTGTTAAATCTGTATATATATGATATGATATCACAAGTTGCCCGTAAGCGCGCGCACTTGTCATAAAGAAAAAAAATAAAATAAAAAATAACACCATGCGAGGGTGAGTGGAAATGAAATGAAAAAGAAGCAAAAAAAGAAAAAACAGGTGATAAAATCGATTTTCGTTGATCATCGATGGATAGCCGTTGGCAGGGAGAGAGAGAGAGAGAGAACAGGTCGAACAAGTTATCCATAAAAAAATATCTTCGAGGCAACAAAATAAAGACGATGATGATGATGATGATGAAGAAAATGATGATGGTACATATATTATACGCCGTAGGGAATCTGTAATGTTTTTTTTCAACTTACTTGAAGAGGAGGAGGAGGAGAATGACCAGACAAGATGAGCTATTTTAACCCCCAGCTAACCAACCAAACTACCACCACTACAAGTTGCCGCCGATTTTATGTGTGTGTGTGTGTGTGTATTTTCATTTTTGAAAAAAATATAGAAAAAAAAGCTTAAAGGCAGCGCGCATTTTATGTACCTGTTGCTGTTTCTTTTTTTTTGTTGTTTTTTTTTTTTTCATTTCATTTTTTTTTTTTTTGTCTTTACAAAATTGATCAGAAAAAAAAATTTGCTTGAAGAGATAGACACACACACACACACACACAGCATGTTTATCGTTTGATCGTCGTGGTCGTGGTCGTCGTCGTCGTACATAAACAACACACATGAAAATGGTTTTTCGTCGAAAATCCGAAAAAAAATTCTTCGTTTTGAACACAAAAAAAATGAAATGAAATGAAATGAAAATCTAAATTTTTTTTTGCTCGTCGGAAATCAAATTGCCATCAAATGTGCCAAATTATTCCAAAAAAAAATTCAACCTTGCCAAACGGAAAAAGATTTTTCAAAAAAAACTCGACATTATTTTTAAAAAAACCCAAAACAATAAAAATATAGTGCCATAATGGAAGAATTAGTGGAAAATAATAATCATCATCAAGATGCACAACAATCACAACATATCGATAATGATTACCATAATAATCATCATTCTCAACAACAACAACAACAATCATGTAATAAACGTAAATTTCATCATTTAACCAATGGTGGTGGTCATGATCCTGAAGAAGATGATGATGATGATGATGATGACAAAAATGTTGTTGAAAATACCGATGATCAACAATTTATATCAAATGGATCAATGTCACCGTCACATCAACAACAACAATCACCATCATCAACAACGGAAACAAACTCATCGGCATTCATATTGCCCGAGGTAATCCTAATCGAAACAAAATTCGTAGGTGTCTTCATCAGTCACGTGTCTCTGTGTGTGTGTGTGTGTGTGTTGTTTTGTTTTTGTTTTGAGCCTGTGGCTATATTGTTACAAAACAAATCACCAGATAGAAAAAAAAATGTTCATACACCACACACACACACACCCTGTTGATGTTTTGTTTGTTTGCACCGGAGTTATATGGTCGATTACCTTTTGTTTGTTTATTGTTTATTATATATAATTGATTTATTTTTGTTGTTAATTGATTAATTAATTAATTTTTTGTTTTTCAAATTTTTCCATAATAAAATAGGATCGTCGTGATCTTGTATCCGGTGGTGGTAGTGGTGGTGGTGGTCACAGTATTACTGGTGGTGGTAATAATAGCGGCATTGGCCTAGGTGCCACTAGTCTTGTTGGACCAAATTTAGCAAGTATAACCGGAGGTTCACCATTTGGTGCCGGCACAACAACCGGTAGTGGTAACACTCGGTTAACACCACATACACCAACATCAGCGACAGCAGATTTTCAACCACCGTATTTTCCACCACCATATAATATACAACAACAACATACAATCGATTTTCATCATGCACATGCAGCTGCTGCAATGGCTGTTGCAACATCAGCAACCGATCCATATGGTCATTTAAGTAGTTTATCTGGTCCACATCAACAACAACAACAACAATATCATACACATCATCAACATCAGCAACAACAACAACAACAACATACGAATTTAACACAATTTCATCATAATAATAATCATAATAATACAAGACAATCAGCACATCAATTATTACAACAAACAACTAGTCGAAATCAACAAAGAAATAATAACGGTGGTGGTGGTGGTGGCAGTAATAGTGTTAATGTTGTTGACAATGACAATGTTGATATTCATTTACATTCACCGAATCATCATTTATCCAATCATTTACAACAACATCAACAACATTATACAGCAACCGATTTACAGATGGCCATTAATAATCGTAGATCAACAGCGGCGTCATCGATAACAGCGGCAACTACAACATCATCGACATCGTCATCATCATCATCGGTTGATAATGAAACATCATCAACATCGGCTGCGGCAGCAGCATCATTGTATGTATCATCCACTAATTTACGAAGACCGGATGTATTAATGCATGGTGCAGCTGCTGCTGCTGCGGCCGCAGCAGCGGCCGCTGCCGCTGCATCATCTAATTCACATCATCATCATCATCATAATCTACATCATCATCATCATCATCCGCATCATAATCATCATTCACATCATCCACATCATCATCATCATCATTTAATTGATCAAGATTTGCTCAATCTACATACATCTACATTACCATTGGATCATGATCAAACACAGGTAAGTTGATAAAAAAATTTTTCAACAAAAAAACTTTTTTTTGCATGCAATTGTCAATTGAGAAAGTCAAGTGAATCGCAGAAACTATACACAGAAAAAAAACTGGTCAAAATTCTACTAATTTTGTTTTGTTTTCCAATCATCATCATCATCATTTTTGTTGGTCATTCATCATCACAAACAATCACCGCCTTCTTTGTCTTGAAATAATGAGAAAAAAAATCAGAGACAGGTAAACGCGGCGACAGCCTTGTTCTTCACTGAACACTGGACACTGGTGTAGAACAAAATCATTTTCATCTTAACAGTTTTTTTTCAAAAAAAAAAAAAAATTCATTCATTCCAGACTGGAATTCTTTTTGCATTTGTTTTTTTTTTTTCTAGTCTGTGTGCATATTTCAATCTTCATCATCATCAATAGAGCTTCGTTTTGTTGTTGTTGTTGTTGTTGGTCGATTGAGAGAGAAAGCTAAAGATTGATCAACATACACAGAAATGCCCTTGCCCCTTAAAAAAAACTGACCAAGAAAACAGCAACAACAAAATCTAATTTCTTTTTTGTTGTTGTTGTTGTTGTTGTCTACAACAGATAATTTCAACAAAACGAATCGATCTATCGATGATGACATGGGTCATCATCATCATCTCCTTCATAGTTTTAAGCTTGGAACAACCAACCAGACCGTCATTTATAATTATTGATGATGATGATGATGATGATATAGCTCGTATACAACACCATTGAATCTCTTTATAAATTTTTTTTTCTATTGGCCATGAGAGAATGGGATATAAAAAAAAGGAAAATGAAACAGAAAATTCTTACTTTGTTGAAAAAAAGTGAATAAAATGAGTAAAAAAAAAGAAACTAATCAACTGCTTTTCTTGTGTGTGTGTCGAAAATTAAATTTTCATCCATTCACACACACACACACACACACACACCGAAATATTGATTATTTTTTTTTTGCTCGTTAATAGCCCTTTATTTTCACATTTTATTATTGGATTGGTCAGTCAGTCAGTCAGTCAGTCACTACTGCTGCTGCTAATGATATAGTGGTGGTGGTAGTATAGCGTGTCGATGGAATGTCAATCAATTTTTTTTTTTTTTTTTTTGAAACAACGGTGATCCTCCTCTCTCTCTCTCTCTCTCTCTCTCTCTTTTTTGCTTAAGATTTTCTTGATTAGCTTAGATTCATTAAATGTGTGTGTGTGTGTGTGTGTGGATGGAAAACTTGTTTTATTTTTTCGTTCTTTCCCACCGTTTTTTTTATGTCAGTGTTTTGGTTTTATTTTCGTTTTTTTTTATTTCATCGGACAAAAAAAAAAAAAATTCAATTTGTTGTTATATATAAATTAACACTGTGTACGTGGTGTGTGTGTGTGAAAGGAAATTTTTATCCTGTGTGTGCGTTTGTACTAGTGAATATGATGTAATAATGATGATGACAGGATGTGTTCTTTTTCAATTAAGAAATTCATCAAACATTAAAATTGATGGTGAATGAAGAATGTTGATGGTGGTTGAAAAAAAAAATTCCATAGAATTTCAATGACATGTATGATCAGCTGATTTGGTTTTTTTATTTGAATAAAAAAAACAAAACAAAACAGGGCGCGTTCACCGTGTGTGTGTGTGTGTGTATATTAGCCTTGGGATAGAAATGGAAATGGAATTGACGATATTGTGCCTTTGGGCTAGCCCTTTTTTTTGCCATCTATGTATCTATCTATCTGTCTATCTGGCTCGAGGCAGCACACACACACACACACACAATAATAAATGCAAACAAGAAGCACATACGAATACAAAAAGCAGTATTATTTATATGTGTGTGTGCTGTACTGTATTTTGACGCCGCCAGCAATTTTTTTTCATTCAAAAATATAAACATGCTACTAGCACACAACATGTTACCCGAGATATACATCCCTGAAACCAAAAAAAAAAAAAAAAAAAAAACGCTTGGAGTGATTCTACCAAGAAATTGTATGTGATGTGTGTGGATGGGCTCGTCGAATATATTTTTGTTTTGTTTCCTCAGGGATTCTTTTCTCTCTCTCTCTCACTTTCTTTGATTTGATCATCTTATCGTCGTGACGTTTGTTTATTTGTTTGATACGATGAATCAATCCTTGTTTGATTATTTATTACAGTGAATATCCCATTCACAAAAAAAAATCGAATCGACCGGTGGTCAACTCAATATCAACACTCTAGTCAAGATTTTCGTTTTTTTTGATAAAATTCCACATCAGTCAATCAAAATATAGATCAATCTGGTCAACAAAGAGAAAAATTTATTTATTTCATTCATAACTACAAAAACAATAAATAAACAAATGGCCGAAAATAATAATTTACAATCGAAAAAACGTTGCCGAATTAATAATAATGATGATGATGATGATGGTGATGATCATTTGGTTGATGTAACACCAATAAAATTAATAAAACAATCACGTGATAAACATAATGATGATGATGAAATTGATGCTTCAATTATTATAAATGATTCCATTATCGATGATGATGATGACGATGTTGATAATGATGATCATGATGATGATGATGATGAAGATGAAGAAAATTTAATTGATGATGAAACAGATGATAATACCGGTGATGATAATGATGATGACGATGATGATGATGATGAACATTCATTGATAGCAAATAATAATTTACCTGGTGATCTTCAATCACAATTAATGGCCATTAATTCAACATTATTATTGAATAAAAATTTATTATTATCAAATATGGCACAAACATTGATGATGCAATCATCTTGTTTATTGGTAATTTGAAAAATGAATTCTGACGATTCTGATTCTGTGGTGGTGGTGGTTTCTAATTACCAAAAAAAAAAATAATAATAATAAAAAAATTTATCATTCGAATTTTATTAATTTCAAAATTTTCGTTTTGTTTTGTAAACAGGGCGCAAACCTGGATGATACATCGAACATATTTTCATCACCTGAACATCCTAATAATAGTGTTATTAGAAAAAATATTGTCAATGGTAATGGTAAGTTTGTTGTTGTTGTTGTTGTTGTCATTGTTGATGATTTTATTGTATTTTGATGAATTTTTTTTCTATTAGGAATAAAACAACGTAATAATAATAATGATATGCATAAAGATATGATCATTACTGGTGTAACATCACCAGCAGATGTATTCTGTTCAGTACCTGGCCGATTATCATTATTAAGTTCAACATCAAAATATAAAGTAACAGTCGGTGAAGTACATCGTCGTCTTTCGCCACCTGAATGTTTAAATGCATCATTATTGGGCGGTGTATTACGGAGGTTAGTCAATGGGTTTTAATCATCATCATCATCATCATCGTTGCGATTTTTTTTTTTTACAGAGCAAAATCGAAAAATGGTGGAAAATCATTACGTGAAAAATTGGAAAAAATTGGTCTAAATTTACCGGCAGGTCGTAGGAAAGCGGCAAATGTTACACTATTGACATCATTGGTTGAAGGTAAAAACGACAGAGGTTTTTTGCGTTTAGAATTTTTTATTCACCCTGTGGTTATTCATTATAGGAGAAGCATTACATTTAGCAAGAGATTTTGCATATGTATGCGATACAGAATTTCCGGCCAAACAAATGGCTGAATATCTATGTCGAAATAATTCTGAACCAGCAGATATTTATAGACGTAAAGAATTAGTATTATCAACCAAGTAAGTGGATTGAATCGATTTTTTTTTGTTTTTGGAATTTTAATTTTCACTGTTTCAAATTTCAGGCAATTATTAAAAGAATTTATGGATCTACTAAATCAGGATCGTTCACCATTATGTAATGGTCGACCACAGCCAATACTTGATTCAAATATACAGCGAAATTTAACACATTTTTCATTAATAACACATGGTTTTGGTAGTCCAGCTATTGTTGCTGCATTAACATCTGTACAGAATTTTCTTACAGAATCACTAAAATACCTCGAAAAACAATTGAATACGTATTCAAATCAAGGTGTTGGTGGTGTCGGTGGTATTGGTGGTGGTTTGAATATCGGCCACCATCATTTATCATCATCAACAACAAATTTATCAGCGGATGCCGCTGCTGCTGCAGCAGCGGCAGCAGCCGCTTCTGTAGCAGCTAATCTAATTGAAACAAAAAAAGAGATTGACATAGTCACAAAACAAAAATGAAAATAACAAACAATCTTCAAGTATCTTTGCTCTCTTTCTCTCTCCATAATATAATATCTTTATCTTTTAATCGAAAAAAAACATTTACACACACACACACAACCTTTGAACTTTTCACTCATTATTTAACACCTTGAATATCATACACACACAGACACACATTTTTAATTGTAAAATTTTCGACCACATTCATTCATTCATTCATTGTCATCTTTTTTTGCTTTTTACCCATTGATCCCAATTTTTCCAGTTTTTTTGAATTTTTTTTTCTAATTCAAACAAACAAACAAACAAAAAAATGTAACACACAACCACCGCCACCTACATCATCGATACACACATGCAGACACGGATCGATTTTTATTGATTTATTTTTTTTTTTTTTTGTTCAATCATCAGATTGAATTGCTTTTTTTTCTGCCTTAGGATGTTTGTTTTTTTTGTCGATTTTTTTTTTTGGTAAAACCATTTTTTTTTATTTCGTTTTTGCTGCTTGATTTTCTTTTTTATTTGTGATGATTGTGATGTTTCATTTTGTCAATTGTATCATATATATAGATTTTTTTTTTCGCCGTGTGTATGTGTAAACCAAGTGACAACCAACTCCTCGCCTCTTCTACACACCCACCCACACACACACACACACATACATCTGACCAATTTTCATTCATTCATCATCATCATCAATAATCAATCAAAGATTCTTTATTTATATATCAATCAATAATAATTGTATGTATACAACATCATTTCATTTTCATTTCCTTTTTCTATCCTGAGTCCTTTTTCGTTTCATTTCGTTTCGTTGGTTTTTTTTCATTTTTTCTTGTTTCCGAAAATTTTCACAATAGCAATAGCAGCATTTATTATAAACACCCACACACAGAACATAGTGCAAAGTTCAAAGTTCGTCTCGTTCATTTCGTTTATTTATTATTTAAATTTTTTTTTCATCATCATCATCATCATCATATCCTTACAATTACACACACATACAACAATACAAAGAAATTGTTGATGATGATGATGACCATCTATAATTGATAATGAATTAAAATAATAATAATGATCATTAATTAATTAATTAATTAATAACGGAAAAAAAATTTTTTTTTGAAGTTGACCGATCAATGCCGGACAAAAGTCGATTGATTGATTGATTTTTGTTTTTGTTCTTCTATTTCACATTTCCATTCAAATGTCTTGAAGCAAAATTTTTTGCTGTTTATTGCCAAAAATCAATGATGATGGCGTTGTCGATGTAGATGACGGTGATGATGGTGATTCATTTTCATCATCAATTATCATCATGATGTTTGATTGCCGTTTGAATCGTTGTTCATGTTCTAGTTGTTCATTTTGTTGTTGTAATAATTTCAATAAAATCAACATTAATATTATGGATAAAATCTATGATGATCGATAAATCGATGGATAAAAAAAAATTCAATTTAATGTTCAATCAAAAAAAACAAACAATAATAATTACTACCTGTATAGCCAACAATAAACACGTGGATATAATGAATATTTTGCGCTGTTTTCGTAGCCAATCAATCAATTTCTGTTTACAACCGGTCTATCATCATTTATTTGTAATTGAATTGAATAAAAAATTAAAATTTTCGTTTGTTTCATTCATTCATCATGTACTCACACGATATGGTTCATATGATGATAATGATGATGATGAAAATTTGTATTTTGAATCCGTTTCCATTTGTCGTTGATAATAACAGCTTTGATCAATTGGATCCAGTTTGCTTGCAAATTCACTTAGACCAGTAAGGCCACAACATTTTAACTGTTGAAAAAAAGAGAGAGAAAGAGAAAAAATTTGAAATTTTTTTTAACAAACAAATCACAGCCACCCTGTACCTCTTTTTGTATGAAATTTTTACTTTGATTATTCATCTCTTTCCAACCTTGATCAACAATATTGGAAATGCTAACATTGGCAACTTTCAACGATATAAATGTACCAATTTCCATTGATATTGATAATACGGTCAAAAATATGCACTTTGAAATGGCGGAAATAATATGAAATGAAAACAAAAAGAAAACGAATGAGAAAATTGATTTTTGAATCTTTTAATTTTTCACCAACCAATCGCAGTGTATGCAAATTTTTTTTCCAACTAGAATAAATGATGAGCAATCCGACCGTTGACAATATGATGCCAAATATTAGCTGGCCATTTGTTATTAGCTGTGTCAAAAAAAACGATCGATTATCGATTGAAAGAAAAATTAATTCGATTGATTGATATTCACCGAATCACCAATGGAAAACGATTGAATATTCGTGATTGTATTGAGTGACCAAACAACGTAAAACATCATGCAGCAGCCAAATATCTGAAATTTTTTTTTTTTTGGAAATTCATCATCAACAGGAGCAATCTACCACAGAATACAAACCCATGTACTGATGCCAATGGCACCAACGATTAATTGGATTAAAAATAAAATTATCTTCATCTCTTTTCTTCGTTGATGGTTGCTGTTGTTTGGCACAAAAAAAAAATTACAACAACAACAACAAAAAAAATCAATCAGTTTAAATTGTTGAAAAAAAAAGTTTCACATTTTTTTTATTTCATTTCATCATTTATTTAAATCAAAAAAAAAAAAAAAAACAGTCGCAGTTGATAAGTGGTGGTTATATTGACGATTTCAACAATAACGAAATAACGAAAAAATGCGACAAAAGCAATAGCTAAATACGATTTTCTTTCTTTATTTAGTTTTTCTGGTTTCAAGTTCAGGAAGCCAATTTTCACTCACAAGAAATGAGTCCATTTTTTTCGTGTGTGTGTGTGTGGATGGAGATAGGCGGTTGGTTAGTTGGTTGGTTGGTCGGTTGTTTGATGATGATGAAATTGTTTCATGCATCAATGAACAAAGTAAAGGAGAGAAAATTTTTCACAATTTTTTCTGTTACTTTATTAGATATATATTAATCAGGTAGAAATACAAAATTTTTTTTTTGTTTTGTATACAAAAATCAATCAATCAATCATTGATCACATTTTAACCCAATCACCACGATCATCATCATCGCTTGAACATTTACTACTTGAATGTTCTTTTTGGCTATTTCGTTCTGTACTATTATTATTATTATTATTGTTGTTGTTGTTGTTTTGGTTCATTTTTTCCCATTCACCCGTTTCCGATCTAGATATCGATGATGATGATGATGCGGATTGTTTATCATTCTTATCCACTTGTGGTTGTTGTTGTTGATGTTGTTGTTTAGAATTTTTTGCATGTTTTTCACGTATCTCTTCAGCTAATCGTTCACGTAATTGATATACATTATAAAAATATCGATGCCAAAAATCTGAATCCGATATTGTTTGCGGTACTAATTGTTTATGAAATTTTGATATTTCCAATACATTCTCGATAAGATATTCCATTTGTTTTTGATAATTGATTAGATTAAATTTCACCAACCATTGTTCGAAATTATCCGGTGGTCCAGCTGGTTCACGACAATAGGTATTTGGATCAATTTGTAACTGTTTCAATTGATCCATCCAATTATCTATTGGCAGGATTTGTCCATCACCAATTACAACATATGGTTCATCATTCAATTCATCCACTGGATAAAATTCATTGGCAAAAATTGAATCAACAAATGTATCTTTCATTAGATTGATTGTAGTTTTTGCTGTTTCCGTAAATTTATCTGTCCATGAATTCAGGCTTTTCATATCGAATGATAAGCCAGTAGTAGTTTTATTGGAATTATCATCATTATCATCATCATCGGGGGTTTTGTTGTTCGATTTACTATTATCTGATGTAATCTGTTGTTCATCATTGCCACCATCATTTGTTCCCATACTGCCAATCTCTGTAACGGTATTGCCAATTTCATTGAATGTATTTTTTACCAATGATGCAGTCGAATACATCATATTGGTCGTATCATTTTGTACAGCATCTTTCAGTTCATTTAAATCACGTTTTATTGATTCCATTGTTGTCTTGTTGTTGATTTGAAGAGAAAATTGAAAAATTTTTGAAAAAACCTGGCCAGTCTCAAATTAAATTAAATATTTACCTTGCTAACGGTTTGTTTAGCTTGTTGAACGATATTGGAAAACCATCCACCAAACGATGATGATGATGTCGATGGTTCCGGAGCATCATTCGTGTTCATTTGATCAATTTTAGTTTCATCATTAAGATTAGGATCAACCAGAACATTATCACTGGATTCAATCGTCGATTCGGACATGATCGAAAATCAATTCAAATTGAATTTGACGAAAAAAAAATTTCAACAATTCGAATGGATTCGATTTACTGTTTACATGGACACATCGATTGTAAAACAAAACAAAAAAAAAATAATTTAATACGCAAAATAAGTTAAACAGTATTGAACTGGTTATCCTGAAGATGGCGCCATTTGTTTTTTCTTTTGGCATTCCAAAATCGTATCGATTCGAGATTTCAATAATTTTGTTACCACCATTTCATCATTATGATGATCATTTTCAATCAATTAAAATCAATGAATATATCATACACTTGTTGCTACTACCCAAATTTTTCGGATATAATTGGCAAAGGGTAAAAATGTGGTGTCTGTTTTTGTGTTTGTGTGTGTGTGTGTGTGTGTGTGTTAACGACGATAATCACCATGTTTTCAAGCCGCGAGATTCGAGTAATCAACCACCTTAACACAAACTCATACACGCAGACACACATTGATACAGCCTTGAAACATTTTTTTTTTTGCTGCCACTATTTTTTTTCGTTGTATTTGAAACGAAAAAACCGAAACAGCATGTCAATGTTGATGGCACGTTGATATTGAAATTTTTCAAAAATATTGAAAGCAAAAAAACTTCGAATCAAATATCAAAAAGTGAATTTTTTTTTTTTCGAAATGTCGCAACAAGAAGCATTGTTGATCATCAAAGATGGACCAACATTTACCGGCATATCATTCGGTTATCAAGATAAATGTGTTGCCGGCGAAATTGGTAAATAGAACTTTTGTTTTTTGTATTCGATAATTTTATTTAAAATTTTTTTATCCAGTTTTTCAAACCGGTATGGTTGGATATGTCGAATCGATGACTGATCCATCATATCATAAACAGATTCTTGTTTTCACTTATCCATTGATCGGTAATTATGGTGTACCGAATGATAAGGATCCAAAATTGGATGAATTCAATCTGCCCGTTTATTTTGAATCAAGAAAAATATGGCCCATCTGTGTAGTGATGAGTGAATTATCATCGAATTATAGCCATTGGAATTCCTATCAATCATTCGATGAATATTTATTGAAAAATTTCGTCACTGGTATTCATGGAATCGATACACGACAATTGACTAGATATCTTCAAGATAAAGGTTCAACATTGGCCAAAATTGTCTACAAAACACAGGCAATTGTTGATTTTCCGTTCTATGATCCGAATACCGATAATTTAGTCGATGAAGTTTCATTGATAGAACCAAAAATTTTTAATGAAAATGGATTCCCAAAGATATTGGCCATTGATTGTGGTATGAAATATAATCAAATTCGATGTTTAGCTCGACGAGGTGCCCAAGTGAAAGTTGTACCATGGAATTGGCCATTAGATAATGAAGATTTTGATGGACTTTTCATCAGTAATGGTCCAGGTGATCCATCATTCTGTGGTAAAACCGTGGAAAATATTTCCAAATTAATACACGATGGTGAACGACCAATTTTTGGTATCTGTCTTGGACATCAAATTCTATCACAAGTTGCCGGAGCTAAAACATATAAAATGAAATTTGGTAATCGTGGCCATAATCAACCGGTATTGTTTCGTGATCGAATCAAATGTTGTATTACATCACAAAATCATGGTTTTGCAGTGGATGAAAAATCATTGTCCAATGATTGGATACCAATTTTCACGAATGCCAATGATCATTCCAATGAAGGTATTGCACATCGTTGGAAACCATTTTTTAGTGTTCAATTTCATCCTGAACATATGGCCGGTCCTGAAGATATGGAATTTTTGTTCGATATTTTTATTCAATCTATAATCTTGTATTTGGAAGGTGGAAATAATATTCCAATTACTGAGAAAATTTCACAATATTTACTTACACCATCACTTGAATATTCGCCGGAAAATTGTCGTGCTTGTTATCCAAAAAAAGTTCTTATACTTGGTTCTGGTGGACTTTCAATTGGACAGGCAGGTGAATTTGATTATTCCGGATCACAGGCGATCAAGGCATTGAAAGAGGAAAAAATTCAAACCGTTTTAATCAATCCAAATATTGCCACTGTGCAAACGAATCCAGGAATGGCTGATAAAATCTATTTTCTACCAATAACAAAAGAATATGTAGCCGATGTAATCAAAAATGAACGTCCAGATGGAATATTTCTTATGTTTGGCGGTCAAACTGCTTTGAATTGTGGTATTGAATTGGAAAAAAGTGGCATTCTACAACAATATAATGTTCGTGTACTTGGAACACCGATCAAATCAATAATCGATTCGGAAGATAGAAAAATTTTTGCCGAAAAAGTATCACAAGTTGGTGGCGAAGTGGCTCCAAACGAGGCAGTTTATTCAGTAGCTGAAGCATTGGAAAAAGCAGATAAACTTGGTTATCCAATTTTAATTCGTTCAGCATATGCTTTGGGTGGTATGGGTTCCGGATTTGCTCAGGATTCTGATGAATTAGTAAAATTAGTCAAACAAGCATTGGTTCATTCATCACAAGTATTGATGGATAAAAGCCTAAAAGGATGGAAAGAAGTTGAATATGAAGTATTACGTGATGCATATAATAATTGTATTACCGTGTGTAATATGGAAAATCTTGATCCATTAGGAATACATACTGGTGAATCAATTGTGGTGGCACCTAGTCAAACATTAACGAATCGTGAATATAATAAATTACGTACTATGGCCATAAAAGTTGTAAAACATCTTGGTGTCGTTGGCGAATGTAATATCCAATATGCATTGAATCCATATTCGGAAGAATTCTATATTATTGAAGTCAATGCACGTCTTAGCCGCAGTTCTGCATTAGCATCGAAAGCCACTGGTTATCCATTGGCATATATTGCTGCAAAAGTTGCTTTGAATATTCCATTACCATGTTTGATAAATAGTGTAACCGGGTCCACTACTGCTTGTTTTGAACCAAGTCTTGATTATTGTGTTGTGAAAATACCACGTTGGGATTTAGGTAAATTTACCAACGTAACACATTTGATTGGTAGTTCAATGAAAAGTGTTGGTGAAGTGATGGCAATTGGAAGAAATTTTGAAGAAGCGTTTCAAAAAGCTCTACGAATGGTCGATGAAAGTGTTATGGGTTTTGAAACGAATTTGAAGAAAGCAACAAAAGAAGAATTAGAATGCCCTACGGATAAACGAATATTTGCATTAGCTGCAGCATTGGAAGCAGATTGGAAAATTGAAAAATTACATGAATTAACAAAAATTGATCTATGGTTTTGTATAAATTGAAAAATATTATCAATTTTCAACAACATTTAAAATCTTTGAAATCACTTTCAAATGATGATTTGATACGGGCCAAAAAACTTGGATTTTCCGATAAATTTATTGCCCATTGTGTTGTTAGTCATGAATTGATGATACGAAAACAACGAATTGCTAATAATATTCGACCATTTGTGAAAAAAGTCGACACCGTTTCAGCTGAATGGCCTGCATCGACAAATTATCTTTATCTTACATATAATGCAACCGAATCCGACGATACAATGATGGCCAGCAATAATAATAACGGTGGCGGTGTTATGGTATTGGGTAGTGGTGTCTATCGTATTGGTTGTTCAGTGGAATTTGATTGCTGTGCTGTTGGTTGTGTACAAGAATTGGCCAAGGTTTGTTGATGAATGTTTTTCATTTTTAAAAATTCTAAAAATTTTTTTTTTTTTACAGATGAATAAACGTACAATTATGGTAAATTGTAATCCAGAAACAGTTAGCACTGATTATGATATGTGTGATAAACTTTATTTTGAAGAAATTTCTTTCGAAACTGTTATGGAAATATATGATATGGAAAAACCGGAAGGTATCATCTTGAGTATGGGTGGACAATTGCCCAACAATATTGCAATGGATTTATTTCGTCAGAAAGCAATTATTCTTGGTACATCACCAGAATTTATTGATAGTGCAGAAAATCGTTTTAAATTCTCTCGATTAATGGATGAAGTTGGTATTATGCAACCACAATGGAAAGAATTGACGGATATTGAACAAGCAAAAAAATTTTGTTCACAAGTTGGCTACCCATGTGTTATACGTCCATCATATGTGTTGTCTGGTGCAGCAATGAATGTTGCACATTCAGAAAGAAATCTAGAAAATTATCTTAATGAAGCCACAGCTGTTAGTAAAGAACATCCAGTGGTAATCTCGAAATTCATTAAAGAAGCTAAAGAAATCGATATTGATGCTGTGGCCCAACAAGGAATGTTAATCGCAATGGCTGTTTCGGAACACGTTGAAAATGCTGGTGTTCATTCTGGCGATGCTACATTGGTTACACCACCACAAGATTTGAATAAAGAAACATTGACAAAAATCAAGATTATTTGTGAAAAAATTGCCAAAGCTTTGGAAGTTAATGGACCATTCAATATGCAATTGATAGCTAAAGATAATGATCTTAAAGTTATTGAATGTAATCTACGAATATCACGTTCATTTCCATTTACATCGAAAACATTGGATTGCGATCTGGTTGCATTGGCTACACGTGTTATAATGGGCATTCGTGAAACACCGATCGATTTATTATCGAAATCATCAATGATGGATGATCGTGGAATCAATAATAACGCTCATTGTTATCGCCGAGTTGGTGTAAAAGTGCCACAATTTTCATTCTCACGTTTAAGTGGTGCTGATGTCACATTGGGTGTTGAAATGGCTAGTACCGGTGAAGTTGCCTGTTTCGGTGAAAATCGTTATGAAGCCTATTTGAAAGCAATGATTAGTACTGGATTTCGTATTCCCAAGAAAAGAATTGCATTAATATCGATTGGTGCTCATAAACATAAATCTGAATTATTGCCAAGTATACGAACATTACATCATATGGGTTATCGGCTATATGCTACATTAGGTACAGCTGATTTTTATAATGAAAAAGACATTCCTGTTGAAGCCGTAGAGCTTCCGTTCCTTGAAGATGATACCATTCCAAATCGTACGAAAATCAATGATATTGCACAATATTTATCTAAAAAAGAAATTGATTTAGTTATCAATCTACCGATGAGAACAAGTGGTGCACGGCGTGTTTCAACACTTGGTTATCGTTATAGGCGATTTGCCGTTGATTATGCTATACCATTGATATCGGATGTAAAATGTGCTAAATTATTGGTTGAAGCATTGAAACTTATTGATAATAACCCACCATTGAAAACACATATCGATTGTTTGACTTCGAGAAAAATCATTCGATTACCTGGATTGATTGATGTTCATGTACATTTTCGGGAACCTGGTGCATCGGAAAAAGAAGATTTTGAATCCGGCACTTCTGCCGCTTTAGCTGGTGGTATTACATTAGTCGGTGCTATGCCCAATACAAAACCACCGATAACGAATCAAGAAACATTGCAACAAGTTTTAAATATTGCTCAAACAAAAGCAAAATGTGATTTTGCTTTATTCATGGCAGCTACAAATGATAATGCCGATGAATTAGCAAGCATTGCCCGTTCCACTAGATTTATGGCTGTAAAAATGTATCTGAATGATACATATGGACAGCTAAGATTGGATTCAATGATTGAATGTATGAATCATTTTGAAAAATTACCAAAAAACGTTCTGATCTGTGTACATGCTGAACGACAAACCACAGCGATGGTGATACTATTATCACAATTATATGATCGTCATGTTCACATTTGTCATGTGGCACGTGAAGAAGAAATTTTGATGATTAAAAAGGCTAAAGAAAAAGGAATAAATGTTACATGTGAAGTGACTCCACATCATCTGTTTCTTTGTGAAGATGATATTGAACAAATTGGAAAGAATCGTTCAAATGTTAAACCAAATCTTGTGACGGCTAAAGATCAACGTGCATTATGGGAAAATTTGTCCATAATCGATGTATTTGCAACAGATCATGCACCACATTTAGTAGAGGAAAAAGATTCCAATCAAGCACCACCTGGATTTCCTGGTCTCGAAACAATGCTTGCATTGTTATTGACAGCTGTACGTGAAGGAAGACTTAAATTGGATGATTTGATTAAAAAACTTTATTATAATCCGATGAAAATTTTCGATTTACCAGATCAACCTGATACATATGTTGAAGTTGATTTGGATGAAGATTGGATCATACCACAAGCAATGTCATTTACAAAATCACGATGGACACCATTCGCTGGTCGAAAAGTCTACGGACGTGTAAGACGTATTGTTTTGCGTAATGAAGTTGCATTTGTTGATGGTAACATCCTGGTTCAACCAGGATTCGGTCGTAATATATTACAAACATTGGAAAATAAAACTCCGGCCACCAATATACATACATTAAATATTGAAACAACAAATATTGAAGAAACAATGGCAACACCACCAATGATTGATGATCAATCGGGTGATCAAAACATTCCAACATCCACCAATACATCATTATCCGTTTTGTCGGCAACATTACAGCAACAGACAACGGAAATTTATTTGGAAATGTTTAAAGAACTTGGAATTAACGATAAATCATATTCACCAAGAATACCAGCAAATTTACCAACCATTTCACAAGTGCATGGTTTATCTGGCAAAAATGTTCTATCCGTTATGGATTTTAATCGTGAACAATTACATGAAATATTTAATTTAGCACATAAATTTCGTATCTGTGTAGCGAAAGAAAAACCATTGGATCGTGGAAATGAACCACCTGTGGCTGTTGAATCAATTTTAAAGGGAAAATTGATGGCTTTGATATTCTATGAAGTTAGCACCCGTACATCATGTTCATTTGCTGCAGCGATGCAACGTTTAGGTGGTGGTATTATCTATATGAATATAGAAACATCATCAGTACAGAAAGGTGAAACATTGGAAGATTCTGTAGCAGTGATGTCAAATTATGCTGATGTTGTCGTATTGCGGCATCCACAAAAACATGCCGTAGAACGTGCATCAAAAGTATGCCTAAAACCAATCATCAATGCTGGTGATGGTATTGGTGAACATCCAACACAAGCATTATTAGATATATTTACTATACGTGAAGAAATTGGCACCGTTAATAATTTAGTGGTAAGTTTTTTATTCAATTTTAAATTAACGTTTATAATTTATTAATTAAAATTTTTATTTAAATTAGATAACATTATGTGGTGATTTAGCCAATGGTCGAACTGTACATTCATTAGCAAGAATGTTAACACATTATAAAATTTGGTTAAATTATGTTTCACCACCACAATTACGAATGCCAAATGAAGTGAAAGAATATGTATCATCCAAGAAAATCGCTCAAAAAGAATATGATTCATTGGAATCGATTCTTTCGGAAACTGATGTTCTTTATATGACAAGAATACAACGTGAAAGATTTGGTGATATGAAAGAATATAAAAAATACTGTGGTATGTACGTCATAACACCACAATTGATGACAAAAGCTAAAAAACGTATGATTGTAATGCATCCATTACCACGTGTGAATGAAATATCGTAAGTTTTTCATCATAATTTATTGTTGTTGAATTTGTATTTGTTGAATTGATTTTTTTTTTTCATAGACCGGATTTTGATAATGATCCACGTGCTGCATATTTTCGTCAAGCTGAATGTGGAATGTACGCACGTATGGCATTATTAGCTATGGTGATGGGAAAATTTTAACCGTACACCGTCATAAAAGTACGGATATTTTACTACCGAAAATATTTTCAAATTGTCGTTCATAAATGATACAATTTTCTCCTGAAAATTTTGAAAAAAATGAATCATTTTGTTGCATTGGAAATTAAAAAACAAAAATTATATTCACCTTTAACAAATTCTAATGAATTTCTTAATTTTAAATTTCTTAATTGAAAAAATTTATAAACTTGATGAAAAATTTTCACATCTTTGGTGGCGAAAGCTGCTTCTAAAAATTTTCTTGCCGACACACTATAAATATCGCCATGTTTTTCTACATAACGTAATGCACGAATAATCTGATTTTGTGACAATAATACTTCGACAATTTCATCATCTGATTTGTTCAATCTTTTTAACATATCCAATCCAAGCTGATAACCATATGGATATTTTTTACGACTTAACGATAATAATAAACAAGCCAAATGTGTTGAATCAGTGAATACATGGTATTGTAAAAATTGATGCATTTGATAATAATTTCCCGATTTGATTAGATGATTAATTAAGAATTCATAGATGAAAAAATCAATTTGAATATCATGACTAGATAATGAATGAACATATTCAAATACGATAGCGATGCCAAGATTATTGTCAATACGATCTTCAGTGAAATATTCGAAAAAATTACTTAATATATCTTTCTGATCAATTGTGGTCATTGTTTTATGTCGTATATAATCAAATGATGATGATGATTCAATCGTCATCAGCATCGTCGTCGTCATCGTTTTGTTTTGTCGATTATTAATCAATGATTCTTTATATGTAAGATTCAATTTATTGAAAACCAACGATAAATTTCCAATAGGATTTTGACCATATTTTTTACTTATATTAACAATATTTCGACAAACTTTCAATATGATTGATTTGGAATTGCGACGTAATAGCAAAAAATCGATAAGTATTGGTACATTTTTTATTAATCGTTCCATAAACTCTAGATTCAATTCCAAGAACCAAAGACAGCCATATTTTGCATCGATTATTATGTTTGGCTGAAAAATGACCCAATTTGGTGAATCTATACAAATGAATGAATGAGAAAAAAAAAAAAAAAATTCAAATTGGAAAAAAAACTTACATAAATCATAATCAATAACATTGTTAATTTTATATGGTCTAATTGCACATTTCGAAATGATTGGCAGATGATATTTCACATTATCAACGATTTCATTTGCCGATAAATTAATATCAAATATCATTGAACTTTTTGTCGTTTGATGATGTATGATGACAATATCATCAACAATATTGATGGCAAATCTTCCGGTCAGATTTGTGATTAACACGTCCGTTTTTTGTGGCTGTAAATCTTTTTTATAATGAAATGTATAGACAATAACACGAGCACCAAATTGATCTTTAGCAATGGGTTGATGTTTCAAAATCAATAATCGTGGTTTGCCATATCTAAAATTCCAAATGAACAAAAATTGAAAAAATTTTCTTTCATTACAACATATAACGATTTATATGGCTTACAAATTTACAACGGTAACATCTCTTTCTTGTAGATAATTATTGTTTGTATTTTTTGTTTGATATGTCAATTCAATTTCAAATTTATTTAGCCTATATACATTGGATAACTTTGGAAAAAATCGGTCAAACAATAACAGAAAACGAATGATGATGATGATGATACACACTTACCCTGAATGAAAATGGATGTATAACATTTCCAAATGTTCCATTGGCAATTAAAAGTATACCTGAAGCAGGCTAAAAATAATAATAAATAGTGATTAAATTGAATTTGAAAAAAAATTGCTTACCTGAAACACAAACCAATCAACGGTTAAACTAAAACATTTCAATGATTTTAGACATTTTTTATCGGCTAAAACTTGTAAATAATCGATACCATTATTCGATATGATTACAATTTCATTGTTATTTGTCCAAAAAAATCCAAGAATTTTACCATTTTTCTGCAAATATTCAAACAAAATGTTGAAAACTTGTTGATATATTGTTCACTGTTAAAAATACCTTTAATTTATGTGTAAAAAACTCTTGTGGTTGATCGTTTTTGAATAGAAAAAATTCAACATATTCAACTGACCGTTGTAATGAAAGTATTTCATAGTTTGGTGAAAATTTTATTGAAAATATATTGCCACGATCTTGTATGCTGCAAATGGAAAATTCTAATGAGTATTTTGATGTAAAAAATTCTTTGAGTTTCTCATACCAGAATTTCATAACAAATCCATCAGGATTTTTAACAATAATCGCTTCACTACCTCTATCGATCACAATGAAAACCTGAATATAGTGGAATAATGGTTGAATTGAATTGAATTTCAATCAAAAAAAAAAAAAAAAAAACATACCTGTCGATTGGATTCATCATAGAAAACGCTCACATTTTTCGACACTGGCTTGAAATCAATACGTTGATCGCTTAAATTTAGAACATAATCCTCTTCTTCATTCTGTAGATTCATATTGGTAATCCTATCAAGAAAGATTTAAAATCCGTTGATAATATATGACAACAACAATCACTGAAAAAAATATATCCAATATATCTCGGTGATGGATCCTTGATTGAAATCAAAGATTTACGGATATTTTGTCATCTCCTATATGAATGAATTCAAGTTTTTTTTTCAAAACATGAATGAATTTTATTATTTCACACATTATAATCTCCCGAAAAACAAAATGGATCTTGAATCTTATCTTTTTAAACTTAAATCTGTGAATGATTTTTCTGATTTTGATAATCTTTTACAACATACATTTTCGATTATTATAAAATATTCTGAAGATGAATTCATCAACGAATCTAGCAATATTATAATGTTATTGGATTTTCTTTGTGAACAAATTTGGCCCAATAAAAGGATTGAAACATTACATTGTCGACAATTAAAAGAGATACGAATATTGGCTGGTTTGATTGCAAATTTTCTCCATTCTTTAATCGAAAATTTTAGAATTTCCAAAGAAATTAATGAAAAACTTTGGCTGTTTGCTCTAATCTTTCAATGTGATTATATTGGATTGATTCAGCAGAATCGTAATGAAAAATTCTTGACAAAATTTTTATCATTGAATAAAAAATCCAATTTCGATGATTATCTTAATCGAACAGTGTTGAAGAATATGATTTCTATATTGAAAAAACGAACAGGCGAAGGTGAAGAATGGCCAACAATCATTGGCAATTCGAATATAATTGATTTCATCTTTTCAAGTTTACGGTAATCCATTTTAACAGAATTTCGTTTGACATTTTTTTCACTCCTTTACTTTCTAATTAATTTATACAGCTATGAAAAAATTTGTGATTACATTTTTGAATTGTTTCCAATCGCAATGCAAATTCTGGATAATCCACTAGAATCAAATCAATCGATTGGTTTAAAATGTCTAAATAAATTACTGAAAACTCCTCGGGATCGAGAAACAGATTCGAACAATAATTGTTGTGATATTCTAAATCAAAATGGCTATTTGGAACTTATTTTCGAGAAAATGAAATTATTACTACACAATTTAGACATGAATCCATATTATTTTGTCATATTGATTGATAATTTTCAACTTTTATTATCCTATCAAGATAAATTTCATCGTCTAGCTAAAGATTCACAATTGAAAGATTTAACAAATCAACATGACAATCATAAAGATGAAATCTACATGATTATGATTGAAAATTTATACCGTAAAGATAATGTGGAATTTCTTCAAAACAATCTGAATGCCCTTATGACTCAAATATTTCCTTTGATGCATTGTAACCTATTGAAACATGGAAAAATCACTATGAATACAATTTGTTTTTTATTGGATCGAATATTAATCTTTACACCAATAACATTATCATTGCTGATCATGGAATTCACTAGCGATTATATTGCACGAATCGATGGTTGTATATGTCTAAATGATTTACAAATGATGGCTGTAAAATTGGCTAAAATTCATATAAAATCAAATATGGAACATCATCCAAATGATGATTATTCAAAACAACTTGACCAACAAATATTCAGTATTTTTCATCAATTGGAAAATTCATCGAATGAAAAGAATGCCAAATTTCTTTTAGAATTTCGATCAAAATTAAAAATTCTGAATTGATGATATTTGATTAAAAAATCAATAAATAGATGGTGCTCATTGTCTGGTTTTTTTTGACTGATTCTTGTTAATGAATGTTTTGTTTGTGTTTTAATCTTCTCGTTTTTTGTTGTTGTTGATGGATTTTAATCCAAATCTAATTATTATTACTGTAACTAGATTAATAATCAAATTATGGATATTGAATATTATATTGTTAAAAATATTCCATGGAATAAATTACCACCTGAAGTGCAATCGGTAATTGTCAATCAATTTTTGTTTCATTTTAAAACTTTTCATCATCATCATTTGTTTTTTTTCATAGCTTATCGATAATTCCGATGAATATGCCAAAAAAATTAAAGAATATTCAATTGTAAATCAATTACGTTATAAAGATAATCTAAGTAAGTTTGATTGATCAATGTTCGATCGATTTTTATATAACGATTCTTTTAATTAATAGTTCGACAAGTTGAAAAAAATCAACGTGCTTATCATGACCAATTATTACGTTATAGCCGTGATCATTATATGCTTTTTCCATATCATCTTTCTGAATACATTATCAATGGAATGCGTATAACGCCATTTCAATATTATCAAGCAATACTAATACAGATGATTGAACAGGAAAAAAATTATGATACATTACCGAATTTTACCGCTGCCGATTGTTTTCGTCTAATGGGTATTGGTCGTAATCAATATATTGATCTAATGAATCAATATAAATCATCGAAAAAATTTTTAGGCATGATCAAAAAACCTATCCGAGAATTGTTGCCAACAAAACCAGTGGAAACACTTTTCATTGATTTTTGGTGGACAATACGACCTGGTTATATCACTGAAGATGATATTAAATCAATGGTAACATCAACAGAAAAGGTGGTCATCGATATTGTTGTCAATGATTTATCGAAAACATTTCCAGCTGGAAATTTTCCATATGAAATTGTTTCAAATTTATATATTAAAGGATTGATTTATTTTGATATCATCATCGATGATAATGATCTGATCTACATACCACCATTGGAAGGTTTCGTTATGAATCGTACAACTGGTGATTATTTTGAAAAATTATTATATAAAATTTTCGTATCCATCGATGAAAAGACAACGATTCTAGAATTATCGGAAGTTTTAAAAATTGATTTGAATTTAGTCAAGAATGCCATTTCTATGTATTGTCGATTGGGATTTGCATTCAAAAAAAACAATGATATCAATGTTAATAATTGTCATGATTCATGGCTCAAACATGTGGCTAATACATCTGCTGAAACTGCTGGACAGACATTTAATTTGAAAGAAAATTTTATCAATTCTTTAAATATGACTGATGAAACATCAAGTTTATCTTTGATTGTTGATCCAATGGAACAATCAAATAATAATTCTTGTTCAAAGAAAAATACATCCGATATTTCATCAGATTCACTATCGATTGGAACACAATCGAATGATAATACTAAACGTATTGGTCTACTTTATGATTCAACATTAGCCGCTTTTTTAATGATGGGTAATTTATCACCTGGTCTTAAATCACATGCTGTTACAATGTTTGAAGTGGGAAAACTTTCGGATGAATCTATGGAAAATTTTGTCTCTGAATTGGCCAAAATTGAATATGCTATTGATGATGAAGGTGGTGAAGCTGAACGTTATTTTCTGCACGCTATTTTACTATGTCAAACAATCCAATTTTTACGTCATAATTTTGATCTTACAAAAGATTTCATGATCAACGATAATAATGATACAACTAATGAATCCATCACACACACAAAAGGCTTAGGCCTTGATCTTATCCGTTGTGAAAGTCTATTGAATTTAGATCAAGATTCATGTGAACGATTATTGATACGTAATTATGAACTACTCATGTCCGTGGCACCATTAAGTAATGAAACACAGATTTTCACCAGTGATCTAATACCATATTTTGGTGCATCATCATTAGTCAATTCAATTTGGTTCAAATTGTATCTTTATTCAATCACAAATTCTGGACCAGTTTCATTCCTAATTGCAAAAGGTGTTCGCCTGACAAAGTTACCGGAAATTTTTTACAATTATGATTGTATTATGCTAACACCATGGGGTCGTGATTCATCGGTAGTGTCCATTTCCAATGCTTTGATTGCCATTAATGAAACAACAATTTTCAATCCAGTATTAATACAAGCTTATCCACAAAATTATTTTAAATTATCTAAAAATGAACTTGTTTACATTCCATTGCCATTATTGGATGATCCACAGAAAGATGAACAAATTTATCAAGAATTTATCACTAAACATCCAGCCATTACGAAAATGCGTGAACATATAAATCTTAATCGTATTTGTGGATATTTAACATTCATCAATTATCATAAACAACCAATTTTTGATGTTGATAATCTTAATCCCAATGAATGGTTTATTTATGATTGTCATTTCGGTATACCATTGTTTGATCGTCAATTAAACAATGATGTTTGTAATCGTATTCGTTCGAATCGATTATTTGATAAAGAAAAGTAAGTCAAAACATTCACAAATTATGTATTATTATCATAATTTATTCAATTTTTTTAAACAGATTAAAAGATTTAATTGAATCGAATAAAAAATTATTCCATGAAATTGATATTTTTATTAAGAAAAATATAGCTCCACAATCGTCGAGAACAAATTTTAAACATCATCATCATCATCATCAATCACAACAACAACAACAACAACATCATCAGCAATATCAACGAGTTCCACTTCCATCTAATTGTATAATGTTTGATGAATATGGAAATTTGGATCGTTTGTGTTTCAACTAAATATATAAGAAATAATTAACGGCGTAATTTTTGATCGATCAATCACGTATGTGTGTGTGTGTGTGCAAGAAATAAATATATAATATAATAATAATATGATGTTTCGTCGTTCATAATATATCACAGAAGTTCCAAAATTTCATCATCTTTGGCATTTTTTTGGTGGCAAAATTTCGTTTCAACAAAGCGATTCTTCGAGTTTGAGAACAAAAATGAGTTTTAGTGTGTGAGGTCAAATAGATATGTCGGTGGAACCATATCGATAATTCGAATGGATTATTATTGCTATTATAATGAAAATGATACACAATGAAATGATTCCGATGATGATGAATGTTAATGGATCTATTATTTTGAAAAAAAATGAATTTTAATAAATTTTTAAATTAAAAAAAAATTGATTTATTATTACTTGTTAGAAAATTATCAATTTTCTCAATAATTATTGGACCATCATCATCATCATCATTTTGATGGTCAGAAGATTTTATTCCCATTTTTCGATGACTTAAAGCATAAGCTTTTTCCATTACCATTGGTTCATTATCATCATCAGCATCAATATTGATCGATGATTCGATGGTAGTATTTTCTTTTGCTTTAGAAAAGGTGAAAAAAATTTTTTATAAAAAAAAATGGAATAAGAAATGATCATTCCATTGCGCTTACCAATACACCGTGTAACGGTACCATTCCAATATGTTTCATATTCACAGAACAATATTTTCGATGATTGGCCACTATCTTCGAAAACATAATCAAAATAGCAATTATAATAAGCATAGCTTTGATTACGATACATATAGCCATTCGATGGTGGTTTCAATGTTGGACAATCAATCACTGAAATTGAATTAATCGAATTAAATTAAATTAAAGCCAAATCAAATGTCAATGGTTGATATTGCTTACTTGTATAACGGAAAAATATACCACGTGTTGGTGAAAATTCAAAACTATGAAAATCAATGATTAGCTCATTGGTTTTACTACGATATTCAATTAGATTGGATTTCGTTTCACCACATAACATCATACGTCGTACATTCATATCAACGATGGCTAAATTATCTGTACATTCATAATTATTCAATAATTTTTTATTACTCGTAAATCTTGGTTCTTTCAACGATAGATCCAGTATTTGTATCTCAATACGTTGTCCTGGATAGCCAATTATTTTCCATTTACAATCATATGGTGGATAGAATTTTGGATAACCAGGATTCGATACATAACCAAAACTGTCCGTTAATTGAACATTACAATAGGAATTCATTTTAGCTGCTGTAGTAAAATAAAATGAAAAATAGTTTATTAAAATTCGACGACAAAAAAAAAACTTACCTGGAACACAAGTATATTTCAGATTGATCCATCCATCATAACCGGAACATTGGTTAGCATGTATTTTACGCAGGTTTACCACACAAGCTGGATGGCCAGAACATCTGGAATCGATTTTTGTTTGTTTGTTTGTTTGTTACAAATTAGAATGTGAAAAAATTCATTCCACTCACTTTGAATTCAATGTTAAACGCAGATCATCGGTACATGAAAGTTTTTGTTGACCATTTTTTATTTTTGTTTTTGTCGAGGTTCCATCATCATCATCATCATGATCAACATCATTACCAATAAATGGACATTGATGATCAATGATTGATGAAGTGAAAAATGCTTCACGTATGGCAATCACTTCATTAAGTCCACATTTTATTGTAATATTTTCCATATCTGCTTTTGGTAAACATCTTTCCAGGATAATTTCCAATCGACCTTTAAATTCAAACAAAAAAAATGAACATAAATTCATCAAAAATGTACCAACACACACATACCTTTTGCAAAGGTCAAAAAAAGCACAATTATTAGAATAAAAAATTTATTCATATCTCTCTCTCTCTCTCTCTTGTTGTTTGTTTGTTTTCAATGAAAAAAAATAAATAAATAAATACTTTATCTTCAACGAACTAAGAAAAAAATAAGTTTTTTTTAGGTTATCATCATCATTGCCGGTAATTTGATGACAATTTTGAATATTATCTGTATTGTCGATGTATTGGATGATGAAGATGAATATTCGTCAATAGTCAAGGTTAGATTTGATAATAATAATAAAGTGGATGATGATGATGAAAACGGACAAATGTCCAACAACAGAAAATGTAAACATACACATTACATGCACGTGTATATGCGTGATATGATTTTGGTTTTCACTTGTATATATAGCGCGTAAAAAAAAAATTGAATGAAAATTGAACCAAAACCGAACAAACGAATGAATGAATGAATGAATGAAATGGATGGCAGAACGACGCCTGACAAAAAAAAAATTTGTGATCCAAAAACGATATGTGTGCGTGTGTGTATTTGTGTCCCGACCAAGTAAAAAAAAACCATATATCTCACAATCTCAAGGACGGAAATGATGACAGATGTGTGTGTGTGTGTGTGTGTGTGTCACCACCACATTTACATTCACCCTCCTCGCCACATCATTTTATTCATTGCTACAATTTCAAACAAAAAACATTCCGCTTCTAGTAAATGAGAAGAGGTTCGGTTATTATTATTCGTTCGTTGTGGCATTATATGTCGATTATAAACGCGCGCAATTTCTATATATACCACACCACACCACCACCATCAAATCGGTCTTTTTTTTCGTCTTCTTTTTGTGATCGAAAAAATATGTAGATCTCATCATTATTTATTTTCGGCATATTCGTTTGTTTGCCACGGAACAGACACACAAAATATCAAAGTTTCGGGCTGTTGCATTTCTTGTGTGCGATAATGATGATCACCATTTATTATCCACACAATGAATGTAATAATAATAAAAATTAAATTAAATATAAATTTTCAAACAAACACAAAGTCGTGTCGTGTGGCACACATGTACACACAACAAAAACAAACAAATGTAAAGTTTATACCATATAATACAAAAGAAAAAGTTTTTCTTTTCTTTTTTTTTCAAACATCTGCTATCGGTTCGAAATGTATAAATATAACAGCAATATTTTTGTTTTGTAATGAATATATGAATTGTAAATGATGATGATGATGATGACAATTGATGTCATGATATTGATCATGATGATGTTCGAGATCCTTGAAAGTCTTGTCCGTTTTGATGATGATGATGATCATCATCATCATTATTAGGAAACTTGAAATTTATGAGGGCCAATAGTAATAATGATGACGATTGATGATGATTGACTTTTTGACAACTTTTTTTCTGTCTTCGTCTTCAGTTTTTTTTTTTTTAATTAAATTTTGAACAATTGATATTTGCAAAACCATTTAAAAGAATGGATCCAATTTATGTGTACGTTCATGTATAATCATACTATATAATCTTGCTGTAGCATAATTACAAGATTTCCATTTACAACGAAATGGTTTCTCTCCAGTATGTTTTCGTTTATGTTCGACAAGTTTATGATATGCAACAAGTGATACATCACATCCAGGCCAATCACATTTAAATCGATGCATCGATAAATTTGATGATTTATCAATTTTAATTTTTCCACTATGCCGTTTATAACTATGACGTTTTACGACGCCATTATAGAAACTACCGAAACTACAGCCATCCCAACCACATTTATACCATATTCTTGATTCATTTGTTTTTAATTTTTTTTGATTCGATGTCGATGATGATGATTTGTTTGTTGTTGTTGTTGTGGTTTTGTTTTTGTTTGCTAAAATAAACAAATTCAATTTAGAATTTAATTTTAGCAAATTCATTAAAATAATGATGATAATATATACTTGCCAGATTTGTTTGATTTCGTTGTTTTCATTTCATTCTTTTGTTCGATTTGATTATTGTTTGAATTGACTAGTATGGATGTCGATGATGGTGGTGTTAGTGACTGATGATGATGATGTTGTTGTTGTTGTTGTTGTACAATGATACTATTATCATTCATGATGATTTGTTGTTGATGCTGACAATCGACATCCACATCATCAGTAATATAATTTAAATTCGAATTCAAATTCCAAGATTCATAGTAATGAATGTTATTATTGTTGTTATTATCATCAACATTGTCTTCATTCAATGGTAGTAATGTTGAATGTGGTAATGATGTATAATAATAATGTAAATTTGATGATGATGACGATGATGAATCATTGATTGATATGGCTGTCGATGATGTTGATGTTGATGATGATGATGATAATGTATCTAGAAAAACAAAATAAAATAAAATAAAATTATGCAAAGAATGGATTCAAAATCGATACTATACCATAATGTGATGATAATTGAATGAGATTCGAATCAATAATGGATATATCCTGTACATATCTATCTAATTCGGTTTGTGAGAAAATTTTTTCACCAGGAAGTATAGTGATTAATTCTTTTAGTGATTCGAATGCAATACGATATTCACGGCATAGATTTTCAAGATGCCAACGATATTCATTGTTATTATTATTGTGAATATTTGAATCCATCATTGATTATTGATTATTGATAATGATGATGATGGTGAAAATTTGGTTTTTTTCTGGTTTGTCGAAAAAAAAGTAATCACAACAAATGTGAATGAATGACCAGAATGGCAATAGTACTTTTTTTCTGTCTCTTTTTTTTTGGCTGCAATATATCTAGACAAGGAAATTGAAAATGAAAAAAAAACATCAAAATCTTTGTTACTAAGCTTGGTTTCATCCAAAACTAAAGAGACGATGAAACACACGACGTCTTGTGCACGAACATTTGATCATCGATTATCAGATTGAAATAAAACATCCTTTAAAAAAAAAATTTTTTTTTGTTCACAAGAATTTTTTTTTAAAAATTCGAAACAACAACAAAAAAAAAGAAATTCTCACATTGTTGCCTACCTATATTTAAATCCGTTGTAAGGTTGAAATAATCGGAAAACAACAACAACAACGAAAAAATTCAAATTACACAAATAAACACCACTATATATGCATCCAGCACCACCACCACCAACGACAACAACAAAAGGTTCGAGGAAAAAAAATGTTATTGTCCATGAATGATGATGATGATGATGATCACAACAAACAAACAAACAAGGAAAATCTTTACATAAATTAAGCGATTAGCAGCACATCGTCATGTTTAATTTTATTTTTTTTCGCATTAATTGAATTTTATTGTAATCTTGAAAAAAAAAATTTTCTTTTTCTGCTGTTCATTAAGTCGAAATAGTTTTCAAAATCTTTTTATTTAAACAGATAGAAACGATACCAAACCATCATTATCGGTGGCCAATTTTTATGGATTACAGCCAGAAGGATTGAAGAATACACAACATGAATCATCATCCACGACAACAGCAGCAACAACAACAAGTCCATATGATTGTTATGTATTTGTTATCTATTGTCCAAATCATAGAAAAGTGGCCATATCAAAGCCAGATGATCGACCAATTGTTTGGTTACCATTTACGACATCATTGATCACATCGATTATTGATGATTATCATTACACGGATAATGCCTATAATGGTGTTATGATTATTTTGACCGATAATAATGAAAATCAAATGAAAATTTTGCGACAACAAAATCATCCACAACCATTCAATCAATGTCAATGTATAGAAATATTTCGTCTACAATCACCACAAACATCGAAATTCGTTGTACGTCAAACATATTTTGTTGAATTAAATGGATCATCAAATCAACAATTTGTTTGTTGCCAAGACAATAAACATGTTAAATGGATCGCCGTTGATGAATTATTAAACAATTATGTAGCAAACCTATGGGGACCAGAATTGATACAATTCTTACGACAATCGATGAAAAAACCAATTTTGCAACAAATACAAGAATATAGCCTTGAAAAAGCATATCATTTTCTGCCAAGAGAAGTGCCAAGAAATATTGAAGAATCAATTCTTCGATCAGCACGTTTAACTGAAAAAGATGTCGAACGTCTTTATACGGATTTTGTGGAACATTGTTATCCAAGTACATATCAAACATTTGAATCATTTCGTTGTTATATGGAAAAATTTGGTTTCAATCGTCGTGATTGTCGTTTAAATTCATTGTTTAATGCTTTTAATTTTAAAAATAATGGATTTTTATCATTTCATGAATTATTACTTGGATTGGCAACAATTGAACCAGACACTGTCCATGGTGAATGGAGAGTACGATTTATTTTTCGTTATTACAATAATAATTGTACCGGTAATCTTGATATGAATGAATTTCAAAAAATGATTTCCGATATGAATCCAGGATTATCATCATCATCATCGGCGGAATCAATTGATTTGAAAATGAAACAATCAGCGAATGAAATTGGAACGAAAATTGTTAATGGTAAAACAGTGATTACCTGCGATGATTTTGTACTGGCTATTGGTCAACATCGTTTTCGTGGCACTTCTTCATTATGTAGATCAACCAAATCGTTATTCTTGCAGATTTCACGTGCAATGGCAGCAAAAGCTTTGAAAAAATCAGATAAATTTCATAATATTGAATCAATTATCGATCAATTTCAAGGAATTTGTTTGAATTGTAAAGAAAAACAATACCGTCTTGCATGTCATTCGATAAAATTAGATTCAAATGGTTCAATTATCGATGTTTCACAAATCATCAATTATCATAATAATCAATTGAAATCACCAGAAGAATTGGCTGCAATTAATTATTCCAATGAATTTCAATTCAACATGGAATCATCAGCGCCGAATTTGATGATTAAATTAATTCGTGAATTTCATCCAAATAAAGGTACGAATAAAAAACCAAATGGATTATTGGAAAATGATAAAGAATTATTATGGAAATTAATCACCGCTTTATGTAATGATATGAATCGATTATTGGATCATGAAGATAGATGTGTACGAATTTTGTCACCATGTTATGTTATCGGTGATATACACGGTAATCTTGATGATCTACTTACTATGGAACAAGTTCTATGGAAACGAATACCATGTGTTGGTAGTAATTTCCTTTTCCTAGGCGATTATGTTGATCGTGGCCAGTGGAGCGTTGAATGTTGTTTATATTTGATGGCATTCAAAATACTTTGTCCAAATAAAGTGACCATGTTACGTGGCAATCATGAAGTACGTAGTTTACAAATATTTTATTCATATAAAAAAGAATGTCTAAGAAAATATGGTGAAACAATGGGTGAAAAAATCTGGGAAATTACAAATCAAATTTTTGATAAATTACCAATTTCAGCAACAATTGATGGCACAATATTCTGTTCACATGGTGGAATACCAAAATCGGCAAAAACATTGCAAGAAATAAATCAAATTCCCAGGAAATTACCGGAACCAGAAAAAGAATCACCCATTGCATGGGAAATATTGTGGTCAGATCCATGTCATCAGCAACAATTTATTGAAATGTGTAATTTTTTCGACATCGATCATCATGATACAAATGGTTATTTGAATAATATACGCAGAGGTACTGCATATCATTTTAATGAATTTGCAACGACAAAATTCCTGGCCAATAATGGCCTAACAAAAATGATACGTGGACATGAAGTACCGCAACAAGGTTATCAATTTCATTTCAATGATGGTAAATGTTTGACAATATTTTCTAGTTCACATTATTGTGGTAATCAAAATCATTGTGCATTGGTATTGATTGATCAACAGCAACAAATTGTTCGCATTATACGGTTAGATACTTATAATAAATTTTGAAATTTTAAAATTTTAATTTAAAACAAAATAAAAGACAAGATTATATAAATTGGAAAAATTGGAAAAATTAAATAAATATTTTTTTTTTTTTTCAATTTAGTCAATTGACAGCGATTGTATTTTCTTCGACATCATCAATCGGTTCATGTTGATCATCATCGGAATCTAATGATAAACGATTCTTTTCCACTTGTGTTAGATAGCCAACACTTTTGACTAGACCATAAGAAAAATAGATAATGAATCCAAGAAACATCCAGCCAATAAAACGATACCAAGTCATTTGATTCAAATGTACCATTAGATATGTGTTGGCGAAAACGGAAAAAAATGGTATATATGGTACATATGGAACCTGAAATGATGTTTCGACCATTGTTCGTGGTTGTCGTGCCAAACATATGATGGACAGTATGAATAGAATGAATATTCCAATTAAAAGTACGATACCATAAATTGGTAATGTTAATGACCATATATCATCTTCAAATATTATGAACATGAAATTACAAACAAATACCAGAACAACTATGTGTGTGTGTGTGGAAATAGACAAACGTTAAAAAAATTCGAAAAATTTCAAAAATTCATTCTTACATGATATAGCAATCAAAATCATGCTCATGTTTGATGAAAATTCATCCGGTTGATCAGAATTTTTCCAATTAACAATTCTTTTCAATAATGATCCTTGATAAATATGTTCATCACTTGTTATCATTGATGTTAATTGATTATCAAAATCTGAAGGTGATTGACGTTGGTATCTGTGATAAAAAGAAAGAAAAACATTTTCAGATTTAAAAAAAGTAATGAAATGAAATAGCCAAACCTCAGAATTAATACAGAAATCGCTACCAATGTATAGGCAAGTAATGTACCGATGGACATCATTTCAGCCAATTCATCGATATTAAAAAATGTGGCCATTAATGCTGCAAGAAATCCGGATATAATTGTAGCTACGACAGGTGTTTTAAATCGTTGATTAATACGAGAAAGAAAACGAAATAACAAACGATCATCGGCCATAGCATAAATGATACGTGGCATCGGAAACATAGCACCGATTAAACTTGTTGAAAGACCAGCTAAAGCTCCAACGGTGATAACTTTTTGAGCGAATGGATAACCAACCTGTTCGAATACATATGGTAATGGTGCACCATGATTTTGATCCCAATATGGCCACATTAATGTTTGTACCGATGATACAGCACAATAGGCAATTGTGACAGCCGTCAATGATAAAATGATACTAATCGGTAATGATCGTTGTGGATCCAATACCTCTTCACCAGTGGTGGCAATAGCATCAAAACCAACAAAACTATAAAAACATGTGGCAGCACCAGAAATCATTCCTTTGATACCGAATGGAAAAAAACCACCTTTACCGCCATCAACATCAGCGGGTATTTCATCTTTCGATATGTTCCAATTATGAAAATTAATTTTAAATGATCCAACAATAACACAATAGAAAACAACGAAAAAATTTATAGCTGTAAATATCAAATTGAATTGTGTAGATTCTTTTACACCGAAACTAAGAACAACTAACGAAAACAAAACAAAACAAACAAAACAAAATTAATTGACCGTTGAACATTTTTAAAATCAAATACCTGAAAGAATCATTGTCAATGAAAAGGCAAATAAATCTGGATAATCAGAAAACCATTTTGTATGTGGTAATTCAAGGTGTAAAGTTTTTTTAAAAAAATTTTGTATTTTATTATCGAAAATTCCATCCAAATAATTACTATAACCACGTGCAACCGAAGCAGCACCAATAATGTATTCAAGAATCAGATTCCAACCAATAATGAATGCCATTAATTCTCCAACACAAATATAGGAATAAACATATGCTGATCTAAATTTGAAAAAAGAAAGAAAAAAAAATTTACAAAATCAATCTATTGAAAATTTGTGGGACACACCTACCCAGCTTTTGGAACTAATGCACCGAATTCTGTATGGAAAATGAATGTGTTTTTTTAAAGTTACAACAAAAAACTAAACAAAATATCAATATACTACTACTGACCAGCATAACAAAGTCCGGCAAAAATACTGGATATGGCAGCAATGATAAAACTTAAAACAACCGATGGTCCTGCAAAAAAAAATGAAATCAAATTTCACACATACGGAATGGAATATTTACCGGCTTGTTTATAGGCAACAGTACCGATAATAACATAGATACCGATACCAAGTGTTGATCCAATACCAAGGGCAGTTAATTCGGTGGTGCCTAAACATTTTTTCAAACGTGTTGATTGATTTTTTTCAATTGGTTTTCTTCTTGAAAATGAACGCCATAAAGCAAACATTACGTTTTTCATTTTATGGATTAATGAATTGAATGATTTATATTTGACAATGGATGATTGAACACGGGGAGTTTTTTCTTTTGTTCGTTCGTTTGAAACACAAACAAACGACAAAAACAAATAAACAGATATTGTGATTCTATATAATGGAAAAGTTTGTCTAATTTTTTTTTGGTTTGGTTTGGTTTGGTTTGGTTACTTGGTTTGTTCGTTTTTATAGCAACATTTTCTTTTTCTTTTTTCGTTGTTAATTATTGAATGATTCAAAATAATTTAATTGAGCATCAATCAAATCCATCGAATGGATGATTGATTTGATTTAATGATTGATCAATACCAATAAATCAAATATAATAATTATATCGGATGGAATGCTTCCCATATAATGACAATGATGATCAATGATCTAATTTAATCAATCATCACCAGCAACAACAGTGTATCGTTACATTTTACTTTTTCTCTGATTGTTTATAATTGATTGGTGACGATGAATGATAATGGTGACAAATCGTACACACGCACACACTTCAATGTTGATATTCCATCAATTTTTTTTCTCTCGATGGAATGCACTAGAATCACAATCAAGTTATTGAGAACATTTGTTCCTTTCTATGGAATTTAATAAAAAAAAAAGTTCATTGATAAGTTTTTTGCTCTCTTCAGTAAGATAATAAAAAAAAAGATAAAGTCTATCTGTATAATTCATAAAACAAACCTGATATCAACATTTGAGTAGTTTGCTCAAGATAAGATTGTTTCATTGATGAAACAAACAAACAAAAAATAACGGTACTTGAAACGGATTAACGTCGTTTTGAAAGATATTTGAGAAACAAATACATCGACATATCGATCGATATTGTGAAACAAAGAATTTTTTTTCTGCATGTTACATTGTTTGTGAATTTTTCATTTTTTTTTTTGGTTTTTTCGAAATTTTGTGGATTCGATTTTCGAAATTTTTTGTTGATGAAAGAAAACAAAAAAATGATTTATTTTCGGTAAGATTTAAGATGATTAACAAAAATTATGAATTATAATGTTGTTTATTTATTTTCCGCTTCTTAGTACGATCATTTCGTTTATCATTATTGCTATAGTTTCATCATCAACAATCACTTTGTCGGATAATAATAATAATGATAATGGTGAAATAAATTTCAATCTATCAAATAAAGAAAACATTGAACTTTATTTTCGTATAAAACGTAAACAACAATTGAATGCTGTGCAAACATTATTAAATTATGATCGTTATGATCGCCAATATCAAATGGTGGATAAATTGTTTGAAAAAATATTCACCATTATAGATGAATCTCAACAACAAGTGATCAATAATTCTGATTACAATATTGGTGATCAATTGCCATTGAATCAAACGGAAATTGTACGAAATATATTACAAGTGATTGATAATTGTGCATTTTTTGCTAATATTGTATTGAAATTACCCGATATATCACGACGATTATTGGACAAGAGAAATGGAAAATCCAATGATTGGGCACAATCTTATCGATGGTGTTTAAATTTTACCACAAATTCGAATATTGTTGATGATTTAAGTTTGAAAATGTTCAATCTAGCAGCACAACAATTGAACATTGTGGAAAAAGAAGCAGATTTTCTAAATCCATATGAAAAAAAGAATCAAAAAAGTCGTACGTCATCAAATTCTATTATAAAAGATCCAGTGGATAAAAAGAAGAAAAATTCAAAAACTAAATCATCAAAAGGTCCACGAATGAGCCGTATTGAATTATGATGATGGCAATTCATTCCTATCATTCAGTCAAATAATTTTGTACTCAAAAAACATAATATTCATTCCAATAACCAAAAACCATTATCTGCCAGTGTTTGTATTTGTGTCATGACAATTTTTATTCGTCCAATATCATTACATTATCGCCAGTAAATTTATTGATTTATTTGGGCGTCGTCGGTTAAAATTTCCCAAAAAAAAAATAAATATTCGATAATAGCATTTGTGCATATGTTTGTGTCGTTTGATTGGTGGCGTGTGTGCGTGACACTTCAATTTCGAATCGAATTTTTTTTTATTATCATACTACATAACCTACATCATCATCAAGATATATATAGGATCGTTTGGATCCTTAATTCTAATCAATTTTTGTTTTGTTGTTGTCTATTTTGTTATGTGCATGTGTGTGTGTGTGTGTGTGTCTCACCTGTTTTCTTGAAAAAATTTTTTTTTTCTACTTCGTCTTCATCCGAATGACAATGGAAAAGTCGATTCAATCGATGATGATGACAATGGATTCGAATCAAATGATTTTAATCAAATTATTCATATCCGGTTTAATGTGTAAGAATATTTTTTTTTTGCTGTTGAAAAATTTAAAATTTTTTTTTTACTCTTTTTTCCCACTTAGCTTACATTCTTGGCATTATATATCAATTGTGTTTGACAAAACAATCGATACGTGTGAAACATTTTTACAATATTTCCACTGGATTATTGATCAGTTATTTTAATTTTGGTATGTTTTATTTTTTCAATTTTTTTCCGAATTGATAAAATTTCCTTTTTATAGGCATACAAACTGGTCATTCATTCATAACATGTATGATTATATGGTCGACGATTCGTTTATTTGGCGCCACACGTTTAATGGTCGCTTTGAATTGTATTTTTTGTATGGTAAGTCTAAAAAATCTGATGATTTGATGATTGATTGTTGAAATACTTTATTTTTCTTACCATAATTAATTTTTTGTATTCTTTTTCCAAGTCATATCTTTTATGTGGATATTATGATAAATATGTGAATGATGTCCATGAAATAACATGGACAATGCCACAATGTGTATTAACATTATCATTAATGGCTTTATCATTCGATATTTATGATGGTCAACGAAATTTAAAATCACGAAAACAATGTTCAAATGATAAAAAAACTCTACCACTAATGAATGAAGATACAGCATTGGAAAGAATACCAACATTTATTGAGATTATATCAAAAATATATTTTCCACCAATATTTTTAATTGGTCCACAAGTTAAATTTAAAGATTATATTGATTTTATTGAATCTAGAGAATCGATATTTGAATCATGGTAAGTCATTAATTAATTTTAAATCAATTTTAATCAATCAATTAATCAATTCTACAAAAAAAATAGTTGGAAACCATCAATTTTACGATTCTTTTCTGGTATCATTTATTTATCCATTTTTCAAATTGGTAATTTGTATTGGCCAACCAGATTCCTGCTAACTGATGATTTTGTAAGTCAAAATTATTCTTTGTGTGTATATGTTTTAATTATTTTTTTTTTATTGGGGGAATTTTAGAAATCAATGGGATTATTGGCAAAATTATCCTGTATAGCCGTGTTGAATAAAATAACATTATGTAAATATATTTCTGGTTGGCTTATATCGGAAGGTGCTTGTATTATGTATGGCATCGCCAGAAATCCATTGAATACACATCAACATGATCGTTGTAGTAATGTTAGTATATTTCATTTTGAAACAACAGCTACCTTCCGTGGTATAATTGAATCATTCAATATAACAACGAATCAATTTGCAATGAAATATGTTTACAAACGATTACGATTTCTTGGTTCAAAAATGTTGAGCCATTTGTTTACATTATTCTTTCTGGCTTTATGGCATGGTTTTGCCACCGGTTATTATAATACATTTGCATTAGAATTTCTTATCGTAAAAATGGAAACAGATGTAAGTGTCATAGTGTTATTATTTTTTTAAATTTATTAATTCTCATTCAATTTCTAATTTCTAGATTGCCAACAAAGTGATTGAATATCGTACGAAAAATCATCGATTCAATCAAATTCTGAATAACATTTATATTCGTTGGATCATTTATTTATTGATGCGTATACATGTCATTTATATGCTTAGCTATTCACTTGTATCATTCACAACATTAGATTCTCAACAATGGACATCCATATTAAGTGAAGTTTACTTTTTTGGACATTTTATCTATATCGGTTGGTTTATCGTATCCATGTTGTTCAATTATTTCATACCAATCATTTCATCACAACGTAAAGTTCCTATTGAAATGAAAAATAAATAAATGATGAATATATAAAATAAAATACCAAATTAGAAATTTATAAATACAAAATTGAAAATTATTTGTTTGTTTTTTTTAATTCACAATAAAATACACAATCTTACAAGATAGCCAAAAAAAAAGATCACCATTATGAAATTCTGCAAATCATCAATCAATGATCAATCATCATCACGATATTCACTTATATTATCTAAAGCAATTGCAAATGGTTTCGATATATATCCCATTAGATTAATCATAGCTTTTTCATGTTTCCAATCAACGTCTTTAATTTTTGCTAATTTTCCACGATATTTTCCACGTAATATCATTACATAAATATTCGGATCAGATAATGATGGTATCACAGTACGTAGCATTGATTGTGTTATATTACTTAGGATTTTTTTATCTTTTGCACGACATATACATTCATTATGACGTGTTTCCGTTATTACAACTTTTTCTTTATAATATCTTCCATTTTTATAATTTTTATCAATAATTTGAACACGTATTTTTGGCACAATCCATATATCATCATTGTTACCACCACCATCATCATCATCATCATAATTCATACGTTCATCTCTTGATGAAGATCTATGTCGTCTTTCACGTGACTGTAAATAGATGGAAAAAAATTGAATTAAAATATCAAAAAAAAAAAAAAAAAAAAAAATTATAGTGGATGGAGGAACATACATGTGAACGGGATTTACTACGATTCCTTTGATTGCTATTGTCTCGTTGTTTCATATATTCATCATAACGATTTTATTGATTACTTTACTTTCAGAATCATATTCTTGCTTTGTAACAATACGTACAAAATCTTGTAATAGTTGTACACTATCGTTCATTAATCTTAATTTAACGGTAACATATATTGATTCATTTCCAGATAAATTTTCAACAATACCATAATAACCTTTATGGGGGCCAAATTCCACACAAACATGGCAACCTAATATGGAAAAAAATTATTATTCCAGGATTTTTTATTCTTAATGCGGTGATAAAATTTCTGACCTTTTCGTAAAATTGGTTCATCTTTTTGACCACCACCACCACCAGTTGTTGTTTTTTGAAAATTATTTTTCTGTTCCAATTGTTTTCGTAACGATATATCGGCACCGATACCAATACCACGTGGTCGTAATTGGTGTTCAATAATTGGTGCTATTGCTTTTCTTTTACCACCGATTGGTCCATCTTCTTTCCAGCCCATTCCTCTTAACATTGCAGCACCATATACATTCAGCGGTGTTTGTTCATAATCATTTAATTTAGGTACTTCAGGTCTCATTGATATATCAAGTTTTGTATCATTTTTAAATTCATCTGGTAATTTATTAATCATTAATGATTTCCAAGCAGGTAATAATTGATCATCATCATCAATCATTCGTGATTCTTCCAACAATTCTTGTTTAGCTTTCGTAATTAAATCATCATCATCATCACAATCATCTTCATTTTTTACAGGTAATTGTGGTGAAGCTTCAGCTGAATCACATGTACGACTTTTATCATTACGATATTTATTCACTTTAATCAATGGTATAATAATGGATTGTTGTTCATCATTGGAACATTGAATCTCATTATTATCAATCGAGGTAATGAAATCTTTTCCTTTATCATCATTGCCATGACCATCATCAGGATCATGAATATCGATGAGATCATTTATCGATGGTAATTGTTTTGTTGTTAATAGATTTGATTTTGGTTTAGCAATTTTTTTGAATGAAAAACCAGTCATTTTAAATGTAGATTTATTTTCATCATTTTCAATTTTTTCTTCATCAGCCATATTTGATGATTAGATTGATGATGAACACTATTTAATGGTGGTAGACAATTTTTTTGCGCCATAAAACGTTGTATTTGAAAAATTCTTATCTCGATGGTTCGAGATCCAAACAATTTTTAAAAATAAATATTAATTGTTTGTTCAATTAATCTAAAACAAAATCGAAACATTAATCAATTGATTGATTTTGATTTTAAATGTAGATTTATTTTCATCATTTTCAATTTTTTCTTCATCAGCCATATTTGATTGATTAGATTGATGATGAACACTATTTAATGGTGGTAGACAATTTTTTTTGTTGTAGAATTTTTCAAAAAAACAAAAATCGAAACATTAATCAATTGATTGGACAGAATTGTAGACAAAAAAAAAATATTGAGCAAACATGAAAAAAAATGACGAAATCACAATCAGTGAAGCTCTCCAAACAAAATCTAAAATTGAGATTACGGTTAAATAACGTGATATAAACAACAACAACAATAACACAACATAACACATCATGAAACGTAATTAGATGCTCCAAAAGAAGTATTCGTTAACGCCATCTATAGCCGATGAAAGTAATCGAATCAAAAAAAAAAAAAAATTAATTCTTATACATCTACCTAGGGGGCGCGGTGGCGGCAAATTTATTGTATCGCGGTGTGTGAGTAATAATAGTTTGTGTCTGTCCGTGTAATTTTTTTTTCTTTATATTCGAAAATCGAACGTGTGTGTGTGTGTGGTGTGTGCCCCTCCCCACAAAGATTAAGAGGTATATGATGATGATGATGATGTTCATCATCTTTTATGTGTGTGTGATGAGTATAAAACACACTCTATCTACCTGTCGGTTGATCGATTTTATTTTGTTTTGTGTTTAATGTCAGCAGCACCAATTATTATTATTATTGCAGCAGCTAAAGTAATACAGGTAAAATATATTTCGAGTCGTCGTCTTCGTTTGTCGTATAGTATAGTATAGTGTCTTTAAGTTTCTTTTTCTTTCTTTTGTCAAAGCATTTTATTCATTTTTTTTTTAAATTCTAGTAGCAGCAGTATTAGTTAGTAGTGGTCGATCATTCAAGGAAAAAGAAGAAGAAGTTGATAAAAGAATAAGGAAAATTTTATTATTATTTTCATTTATCCCCGCATTCAAAGTATTGCTCAACTTTTTTTTTTTTGAAAAAAAAATCAATACTATATGGTAGGAGTTGGCCTGTTATTTTTATATATTTTTCCTTACATCTCATATTGCTTCCCCTTTATTCTCTCATCATCATCATCATCATCATTATGATCATCAATACCACCAACAATGTCCAATCCAACAACATAGATCTTCCTTGTATATAATTTTTTTTTATTATTATAGTTCCAAAATAGCCGGAGCAGCATTAGCAGAAGAAGAAATCAAGTCTAATAAACAGCAACAGGCATCTATCTCATCTCACATCACATACACAACACCCGATCCGTAATAATAATAATAATAATATAATTTTACGAATGAGCCGTATTTGATTTTACCCATTCCAATTTTTTTTTTATCTTTGAAAAAACAATTTTCGATTTCTCATTCGATTCAAAATTTATTCTGTGATTTTTTTTCAAACAAAAAAAAAATTATCTATCTATCATCAACGAAATTTTTACATTCTTCAACTTTTGTGAGAATATTTTCTGCCAAAGAAAAAAAAATATTTTTTCTTCGATTCATTCGTCTGTCTGTTTTTAGTTGTTTCAAACCAAACTTAACAAAAACGTTATTGCAACGTTTTTTTTCTCTCCATTCGTCATCATCATCAACATTATCAGGCGATATTAACCAAAAAAAAACATGTATACAATACATACATTTCTTATCCTGGATCAATCATCATCACCACCACCAAAGTGATGATGAAATCAAGATGCAAGAATATTCTTCAACCATTGTTTAACCAAAAAAAAGAAAAGACAACCAAAATTTTTTTATTTTACACTTTTCATTCATTGAAGAAGAAAACGAAGATTTACATATTGAGATCTCTAATTTTTCTATCGATTAACTTGTTTTTTTGCCCTGAAAAAAAGTTCACCGAATCAAACCAAAAAAAATGGGTAATTGTGTAACATCAGAAGAATCGAATAATTTCTTTTCCAATTCAAAAGAATCCTATTGTGATCAAACAAGATCACAGAATTCAAAATTGGATTCAAATCTACATCGAAATTCAGTGACATCATCACAGAATGTTAATAATAAATCCAATACAACTAATAATCATGATGTAGTGAATAGTTCAAATAAAGCTCAATCATCACAATCATCATCGGCATTAGCATCGGTTTCGAATTCATCAAAACATTCAAACAAAATAGTCATTGCATTATATAATTATTTTGCTAATGATGAAGGTGATTTAAGCTTTCGAAAAGGTGATCGTTTACAAATTGTTGATGATACGGATCCAGATTGGTGGCTTGCAAAACATCTTACGACCAATCAAAAAGGTTACATTCCCATGAATTATGTTGTATCCGAAGTGATTGAAATGGAAGAGTAAGTGTTTAGGATTCAATATTTTGTTAATTAATCGGTGATTTTTTTTCTTGATATTTATAGATGGTTTTTTGGCAAAATCTCACGAAGAGAAGCGGAAAAACTATTACTTTGTCCAAATAATCCAAGAGGAACTTATCTTATTCGTTATAGTGAACAAACTGCCGGTGCCTATTCATTATCAATCAAAGATATTGATCAACAAAAACGGGAACATGTTAAACATTATAAGATAAAAGCCATGGATAATGGTGGATTCTATGTAACCACAAGAAAAACTTTCAGTTCATTACAAGAACTTGTTGCATATTATTCTGAAAGTGCTAATGGTCTATGTCATGTATTGACGAAACCATGTCCAAAAGCTAAACCATGTCTGTGGCCATCGAAAAAAGATGAAATTGATCGTGATGATCTACAATTTGTTCGTGAATTAGGTGGCGGTAATTTTGGCAAAGTATTCTATGGTACATACCGTGGCCAAGTTGAAGTAGCAATCAAAATGCTTAAGCCGGGTACGATGTCACCACAAGCATTCCTGGAAGAGGCGGCAATCATGCGAAAATGTCGACATGAAAAACTTGTCCCATTATTTGGTGTTTGTTCACAAGGTGAACCATTATTAATCGTTACCGAATTTATGTGTAACGGTAGTCTTTTGGATTATCTACGGAAACGTGAAGGCAAATTATTAAAAATCAACGATCTTCTTGATATGGCCGCTCAAATAGCCAGTGGAATGGCTTTTCTTGAAAGTCAAAAACTTATTCATCGTGATCTTGCTGCTCGAAATATTTTGGTGGGTAAAAATCGTATCGTTAAAGTTGCTGATTTTGGTCTAGCTCGAGTTATCGAAGATTCCGAATATACCGCCAGACAAGGTGCTAAATTTCCCATCAAATGGACAGCACCTGAAGCTGCTTTATATGGTAAATTTTCCATCAAATCTGATGTTTGGAGTTATGGAATTTTACTATACGAACTTATAACACATGGACAAGTACCATATCCAGGTAATGTTTAGATTTTTCTTTTTTTCGTTAAAAAATTCATTAATTAACGATATATAATTTATATATTATATAGGCATGCATAATCGTGAAGTCATTGAACAGGTTGAACGTGGCTATCGTATGCCTAAACCAACAAATTGTGAATGTTCCGATTCTGTCTATTCAATAATGCGGCAATGTTGGGATGCTGATCCAGAAAAACGTCCTACATTTGAATATTTATACGGTTTTTTCGATGATTTTCTTGTGGCTGCTGAACCAAATTATAGAGATGCAGAAGAATTTTGAATAATGTATCAAATCAAAAATGCTCATCTGAATCGACATCGAAATCTCTCAATCATTGAATCCAAAAAAAAGTCATCATCATCAATATATCCAAAGAAAATTATCATTCAACACACCAACAGACACACTTTTCTATCACGAATTTGTAATTAATTTCTATCATCGAATTTTTTTTTTTTTTTCAAATTTGTGTTCTCTATTTTTTTTCCTCTTCTTCTTCTTACGCTTGTCTTGTATTATCTATATATCTCTTTACATCTTATATATTGTGATCCATTTTGATATGTACATAACGAAACTATCATCATCAATTGACAACTACCGAAAAAACGAAAAAATAAATTCAAAGGGGCAACTCTGTGTATTAATTTTTGTTAACTGTTGCCTTTTTTCAATTAAATTCATTCATGTAAATAAAAATTTTTTTTGGTAAATTTCAAAGTCTCTACCATTCATAAAGTACGTTACGCTGTTTTGTGTGTGTGTGTGTGTGCATTTTTTCCACTTCCTTTCTCGACTCGTGCATTGTTGCCTCGTGTTCATCAAAAATTTGTATTTTTGGTTAAATTTTGTTCCAAACAAAAAAAAAACTAATTTTAAAATGGCTGAGTAAGTTTTTTTTCGATTGAATTCAAATGTAGAATTGCAATTTTATTTTTCTTTAAATAATATAGACCACTCGATTTGAATACAGCTTTGCAAGAAGTTTTAAAAACCTCACTTACCCATGATGGTCTTGTAAAAGGTTTACATCAGGCAACCAAAGCATTAGATAAGTAAGTTATTATTTTGGATCATCATTATTCCATTGTAACTCCCTTTTGTTTTCCCTACAGACGTGAGGCTTTGCTTTGTGTTTTGGCTTCGAATTGTGATGAGCCAACATATATTAAATTGGTTGAAGCACTTTGTGCTGAACACAATATTGATTTGGTTAAAGTTGATGATAATAAAAAACTTGGTGAATGGGCCGGTATGTGTAAGATTGATAAAGAAGGTAAAGCCCGTAAAGTTGTTGGTTGTTCATGTGTCGTGGTCAAAGATTGGGTGGAAGCAACACCGGGTTTGAATTTTTTGAGACAATATTTAAGCGAAAAAAATGTCAAAGCTTAATGTATTTTGAACAGAAAAAAAACTTTTTTATTAATTTCATCATAAAATAAAAAATATGAATTAATTTTAAAAGAAAATTGATTTCATTTTTGCCATCTAATATTGTCAAGATGGTCGTGATTGTGCAATGGTTGAATGTGAACGATTTGTTTGTTGTGTAATGATTTTGTTGTTATTGTTGTTGATGTTGGTTGAATTATTCAATGCTTGCGATGATGATGTTGATATTAATGTTTGAACCATTTGTCCATGTGTATTGGTGGCAAGATATTGTGTGGGCAATAAAATTTGTTGTTGATTAGAATTTTGATTCTGTATTAATGTTTGATATTGTTGTGATGATAATGTTATGGGTAATTGTTGTACTAGAAAAACAAACCAAAAATTAATCCGATTTCTAAAACTGAATATTTAGCTTACCTTGTGAATTTTGATTGATAATATGTGTGGTGGCATCATGATTAGTCGATGATGATGATGATGATTGAATTGGAACTTGAATAATCTGTGGTGATAATGAAAATTGATTTGACTGATTTGGTGTTGTTTGAAGTATTTGTATAGGCTGTCCAGTACCCGTATGATGATGTATGGTTGATGGTGTTTGTGGAATTTGTACCAAATAATTATATTGATCTTGATTTGTAATCGTATTCGATCCACGTGTATCTGATTTTCTATTCACTGGTTTTGTTTCACGTGGTACAATATCGATAAGAAAATCGAATTGATCATATTTAGATATTGCTGTTGATATATCATTCCTTTGTAATGTTCGTCGTTTATTCTCTTCGGTATTAATCCATGCACGTAATGATAATTCTGCTATAAACATTTCGACAGCTTTAGCAAATAAAACAGGCGCTTCAGCGGAGATCATCTGAAAAATTGAAAAAGAAACAAAATCAAAAAATTTAATGAAATGAAATTATAATTGAAAATCAAACCTGGACATCTTCGTCTAGTTTCATAATTTTTTTGATTCTTGCTAATGGCAATTCTTGATTTCTGAAATCATTCTGTGAATAATAAATGGATAATCATGATTCAAAAAATTTTTTTTTACTGAAAGAAAAACTTACACAAGTAGTATTCTGTACGGATACCATTTCACGTTTCCAAAATGTTTCCAACATTTGTATGGCTTCAGCCGATACATTTTTTGATATTGATTCCATTTATTTTGGATTGAAAATTAAGAAATAATTTCAATTCTTCAGGAATTTGAAACAAAATCTAACAATCGAATGCTCCAGAAATGAGCAATAAATTCATAGAAAACAACTCAAATCAATACATTTTTAAAAAAAACATTTCATTGTAATAGTGTAATGTATGCTTCATAAAGTACGTGACAAAATTCTTTTCAATTATTTCTAATTTGAAAAAATATTAACATTCTACGGTCAAATGTGTGTGTGTGTAGTATGATGATATATCCAAAAAACAGGTTATCATTAAATATTACAATCGTTAAGAATTCTTAATCATTATCATTAGGATCACTGATACCATCATTATGGATTGAAAATGTAGCATCACCTTCAGGTAAATTTGGTGAGTCGTAAATACGGCAAACACGATTATCGCCTTTTCCTTTTTTTAGATATAAACGTGTTGTTGATGCATGTGCCACTATATGGCCACCAATCGGTTTTTTATTATCCGAACTAAACATAGCACTTGCATCGACATTTGCAACAACTTGATTGGTAATAACCACAGCAATACCAAATTCATCGGCTAATCTTTGTAGCATACGCAAAAATCTTGCTAGATGCATTTGACGAGCAGCTAATTCTGAACGGCCATTATAATCTGTACGATATAAAGCTGTAGCCGAATCAACAATCATTAATGCATAACGAGAATTTGACATCATTGATGCGGCATCAATTAATAATTGTGTCTGATGATCACTGTTATATGCTCTTGCATATGCAATACCCTCCAAGCAATTGTTCTCATCCATCTTATACCGTTTTGCAATGGCAAGAAAACGTTCTGGCCGAAATGTTCCTTCTGTATCGATGAATAGACATTTTCCTTCGGCACCGCCCATGTCAATCGGTAATTGGCATGTTACGGCAAGCATATGACAAATCTGAGATTTTCCAGTACGGAATTCACCAAATAACTCGGTAATCGAGCCCGTTTCAATACCGCCTTTATGCGAAATAATAATTTTTGTTTAGAATTAATTATACACATTGAAAAAAAATTTATGTCCAAACCTTTAAGCAGGGCATCTAATTCTTTAGAACCAGTAGTTATCATGACGAGTTCCGAACGTTTCATATGATATTCGGTTGCCGTAGAAAAGCCCATAGGTACCATTTTTATAGCAGCACTCTAAACAAGAATAAATTGGTCAATTATTTTAAACAATAAAAAAATTATTTTTTTATTAATAGACTTACAAGAATTTTTTCGGCTTTTTGCTCACTAATTCCTTTGATTTTTTCCAACGCTTTACGTGGAGTATAGGCAATCGCTTCAATTGTATGGTAACCATTTTCTTGCAATTTTTTAATATCCTGTGCTTGTATACCACAACCCTAAATAAAAAATGAATGAAATGAATTTTGCCATCATAAATCTCAAAAATACAAACTTCTAATTTTTGTATATGCATAAAACTGGTTTCAAATTCGCCTTCATTTTCTTCAGCGTTTTTATCAACAACAACAACATCTTGTACTTGTTGAACTTTTGATTTTTCTTTGACCGAACTCATTGTTTTTTTATGTTGAGAAAATTTGAATTTCAAAAAAATTGTCGTCAAACAAAATAGATGGAAATAAAATGAATAAATATTTGGAATAATTGACAAAAATAAACTCGAAAAAACGATGTCATCACCGTTCGAGAGAGCAGAAAAAAAATTTACGGCGCGAATTCGAATGATTCAATGACTATTTCGACCGAAAATGCTTACAAACTGTCGAAATAGTTGAGCAATAATTTCAAATTTCATTTTTTTTTATTTTTCAATTTTTTATTCAACTTTAAAATTAATCACAAAGGAAATTAAAATGTAAAACATCATTGGATTATGCAGAATCATCATTATTTGATCAAATCATAATTATTCATGTTGAATGTTCTCTCATATAGAATCCCATGATGAGAAAGAAAGCGGCAAAATAGCCAAGAAATGCTTCGAATAACCCCCGGTACGTCAAATCGCCGAGATAGCCAAATGTAAAGGCAATTTTTTTACCAAACATCAAACGTTCATAGAGATCATCATATTTCAATTTCATTCGAATATGTGTCGAACGATTCAATCGTAGCTGCATAGCTGGTATATAATCTTTGATTTTATGAAAAGCACTGGAAACAAGTGCTAAAGTTATGAACGGAATAAGACCAGTAATGGCATGTACCGATGACATCACTATAAATACAAATTGTGTTTGCGCCGGTATATCTTCGACGATTAATTCACACATAAATAATACATTAATCGGTATGCTAACCAATGCAAAATAGTAAAGCGGTCGGCTCAATGTATATTTATCACTCTGTAATACATAATATGCCAATGTATTATGTTCAATATGAATGAATCGCAGTTCTTTTAACACTGTCATATTGATTGGTTTTCTTTGTCGTGAATTTCTTAAAATTTTCATAAAATTTTGATTAATGTGAGCCAATTGATTACGAAACACATAATATGTTGCCCATATTGTACCGTACAGTAGCATTGCACATTGATTAATTGCCAATGAATTATGTATGAATAATATTACTTCAATCATTATGCTGAATTTCATGATCGAGGAATTTTTTACGAATTCATATTGTAAAAATTGTGAAATAATCTTAATACCACTGATGATATTGAGGAGCACTTTATCCATAGAAAGAGAAATTGGAAAATTAAATTAAATTAAAATACGAACAAAAACAAAACATGATACTTACAAATAAAAATGTGAATAATATGATTGCAGTAATCAATAATCAATACGAATAACAAAACATGTGTTCGACTTTGACGATTTGCATTGGGAAACAAACGCATTTTATTTCGATTTTCAAACAAATTCCTATCGACACGATCCAATTGCAACCACGAATCAATCCAAACACGAATTCTGAACCAATGATTCAACAATCGTGGAATCATTTTCGATAATAAACTATGATCACGAGCAAATCGCTGTTGATAATCCTCTAAACGTTTAGACAATTTCTTTGCAATATTTTTATCCGTATCTCGACTTTTATAATATTGATCCGTATTATATACGATACAATCATAAAAAATCTGAAAACAAAGTTCATTCACATGGTTAAAGAAAAATGTTTTGATAAACCAAAATCCAATCAATGTAAACAATATTAGTATGATCATAAAGAATTTATTAAGAATTTTTCGATGTTCCCAAAAAAAAGTGACATATAATCATATCGATATAATGGAAATCGTTCTGGATCTATATAGATTAATGAAATGAATAATGCTCGCATGAACCAATAAAGATAAAGCGAAATATCAACACTATGTAATAGACGATATCGTACGGTGCCATTTTCTTCAACAATATGTTTCAATGCATCGTAGAGAAATGTTTTGATTTTGAACAACATTTTTTCACATTCAGGAAGCAGTTTTTCTACGTCTGAATGTGACAAACGAATGCGGAATTTTTTTCCGATCTTGCACTATACTTAAACTATCTTTATTCATCATGATACTTCATTATTGTCAATTTTTTTTGTATTATCAATTCTAGCCAAGAAAATTAATGAATTTCCAATATTATTCTCTATAGAAATGAAATATAATCTGTTTTGTGTTGAAATCAATTTATCGATCAAATGATTTTCATCAATAAATCGATGATACTTACCAATCATTATTAATGACTTTGTTAAATTTTTTTTCTGATCATTTTCTGATCATCGCAAAACGCATATGCGCACAGAAAAAAAACGTGCAAAATAAAAATTTACATGGGATAAATGTTTAATCATGATTTTCATATTTATACTGATGGTTCAAAATTTGCTGTTGTCGTGTTTGGATGTGCTTTTTGTTTGTAATTCTTGTTGCTAACTCTAGTCATCCGGTTGATATCTTAAAATTTCGTTTGGCCAATTCATGTTCGATTTTTCAGGCGGAATTATAGGCAATTTTCTAAGCACCATTATGGTTATAAAGAACTAAACGATCTGCAATAATTTTTTATTGATTCGTACTCTGCTATTGTTCGAATAATTTCAATGATTTATTGGTTCATGGTTTGGAAACTTTGATATTTTTCCTTTTTATTGGTTCATCAATCATTTTAAATGATCGTGTTTTGAGTTTTTGTATTTGTTGATCATCATTTTGAAATGAATCGATACTTGATAAGAAATTGAGGAAATTTTTTGTTTTCAAATTGTCATTTTATTATATATTGAATATGGAAACAAAATGAATGCAGATAGAATGGTTTGATTTAGTTTAATGATATTTTAGCCTAAAAGAAATAAGTGATACAAATATGAACGATGAGATGATTATGATCGATACAAAAAGTGTGTGTGTTTGTGTTTCACTTTAGCGTAAAGAGAGTAGAGTTTGTTGCGGCTCCAATTAGAAATGAAGTTTACCATTCTTTGATGGAGGTTAATAAATAACTTTGAAGTTTAGGCTAACTTTTGCTCAGTGCAAAAAAAATTTACGCTGCGAATTCAAATGATTTAATGACTATTTCGAGCGAAAATGCTTACAAACTGCCGAAATAGTCGAGAGATAATTTCAAATTTCATTTTTTTTTGATTTTTTAATTTTTTTATTTAACTTTAAAATTAATTACAAAGGAAATGAAAATGTAAAACATCATTGGATTAACATCAAATTCTCTTTGAATTTTATTTGAAAGTTGGTCAAATTTTTTTTTTTTTTTTAAAAGGAAAAAAGTCGTTGCGATTATAAATATGACTTAAGGAGGCAAAATACAGCGATTCGTTTAGAAATAAATTATATAAATAAATATCATATATCAATACCATCCAAAAAGTCAACGAAAACAATAATTATTTGTGACTTTTTTCGAAAAACATGAAATCCTATGAAATATTGATCAAAATAAAATTAGAATACTATTACGTATTAACATCTCAATACTTACAATCAAAAATGTGGCACCCAATAAAACAGCTTTAATCGTTACATCCAAATCCTTCGGAAATTGAATCCCAAAACGATCAGCATCGGTAAACATTTCTCTGGCTAATCCACTCCATTGTTTACTGATTTTGCCAACTTTAGTTTCACCATCATTCGAAAGAACATTGAATTCGACATCATTACCACAAGAAAATGTAATCAATGGTCCTTCAATATGTAAAACTTTTTGACCATTTGAATTCAATATACTGAATATTGGATAAAAAATGGACCATTCTTGTCGAATTGATCCCAATTTCTGTGCACCACTATAGACAGTTAATTCCTGTGCATTAAAAATATTAAATTCTTATTCTTTCTTTTCTCTAGAGTCTAGACCAAACCTGTAAGAAACATGGACAAAGGCAACTAGAACTACGCCAAGGACGATCCAATAGTAATACTTCATTCCGCTGATTATCATATAATTGCATAATGAATGGACGAGCTTTGAGAAAACAATTTCGTGTGCAACAATCATTTTCTAGAGTAAATAATTGTTGAAATGAAATTAGATGAAAATCGAATTCAATCCAATAATGCAATCATACCTTCAGCAGCATAATACAAATGTTGTCCATTTAAATTTTTAACAATATACTTGTTATTAGTTTCAAAACCAGTGAATACTGCAATTTTAGAAGAAAAGAAATTTCAACTTTAAATATACGTCAACAATCAATCAAACTGAAATTTTTACCTTCTAACATTTCAACTTGTTGTTCAATAATCAATTGATCAAGTGTCAACAGAATTTCCAAGCCACGCGGTACATTTGCAACGGAATATGGTCCAAATGGAACTGAATAAGTTGATGGGTGGGAAGGAAACAAAATAAGAAAAAAAATTTAAAATTAAATTATTCATATCACATTATATACCTTGTTGTGGTTGTTGCATCATTGGCATTGGCTATCCAGTTTGTTGCGGTAGTGCTGGCGAATAAACAACATCAGTCATTTGTAACTGTTGTGGTTGCATATTATTATTAGAGCCAATCGTTACTGGAGCTGGATAACCAATTGTTTGGTGGTTCATCACATATCCGGGATTATTTCGGCTGATAAAATTTCTAAATCAAACTAATCGTTTGTTAATCCAAAATCATTGGAAAAAACAAATCAATAACTTACTCTTTTGGATCATACATGATTAATTAATAATAATAAAACTCAAGTGGTTATCCAAATAGGAATAAAAGAAATTTTAATCTTTTGATATGGCCTTTATATGACAGTGATTTAAATGATAATTTCAAAGTGACAACATTATAACGAATGCTTTCCACCTACGTGGAGTACAGGCAATCGATTCAATTGTATGGTAAACATTTTCTTGTAAATCTTTTAATATCAAATTTTATTTGAAATTTGGTCAAGTTTTTTTTTGGTAAAAGGAAAAAAGATCAAATTCATCATGAATGTGACTTAAGGAGACAAAATACAGAGATTCGTTTAGGAACAAATTATATAAAGATCAATACCATCAACAGAGGCAATAATAGCAACATAAACGTCAACGAAAACAATAATTATTTGTGACCTTTTTCGAAAAACATGTAATCCTGTGAAATATTCATCAAAATAAAATTAGATTCTAATTAGATCAATTAGATCAAAATCTCAATACTTACAATCAAAAATGTGGCACCCAATAAAACAGCTTTAATCGTTACATCCAAGTCATTAGGAAATTGAATACCAAAACGATCAGCATCGGTAAACATTTCTCTGGCCAATCCACTCCATTGTTTACTAATTTTGCCAACTTTAGTTTCACCATCATTCGAAAGAACATTGAATTCGATATCACCACCACAAGAAAATGTAATCAATGGTCCTTCAATATGTAAAACTTTTTCACCAGCTGAATTCAATATACTGAATATTGGATAAAAAATGGACCATTCTTGTCGAATTGATCCCAATTTCTGTGTACCACTATACACGTTTAATTCCTGTTCAATAAAAATATTAAATTCAGATTAAATGGCATTTTTTATATTTTTTAGACCAAACCTGTAAGAAACATGGACAAAGGCAACTAGTACAACGCCAAGGACGATCCAATCGTAATATTTCATTCCGATTATTATCATATAATCGCATAATGAATGGACGAACTTCACCAAGACAATTTCGTGTACATAAATCGTTTTCTAGAGCAAATAATTGTTAAAATGAAATTAGATAAAAATCGAATTCAATCCAATAATGCAATAATACCTTCAGCAGCGAAATACAAATGTTGTCCATTTAAATTTTTAACAATATACTTGTTATTGGTTTCATAACCAATGAATGCTACAATTTTAGAAGAAAAAAAAAATTTTAACTTTAAATATACGTCAACAATCAATCAAACTGAAATTTTTACCTTCCAACATTTCAACTTGTTGTTCAATAATCAATTGATCAAGTGTCAACAGAATTTCCAAACCACGAGGTACATTTGGAAGGGAATATGGTCCAAATGGAACTGAATAAGTTGATAGAGGAAAGAAAACAAAATTAGCAAAAAAAAAATTTTAATTATTCATATCACATTATATACCTTGTTGTGGTGCCATTGGTGGTGGATAAAAATTAACTGGAGCTGGTTGTTGCATCATTGGCTGTTCAATTTGTTGCGGTGGTGATGGTGGATAAACAACAACGGCCATTTGTGGCTGTTGTGGTTGCATATTATTATTATAGCCAATTGTTACTGGAGCTGGATAACCAATTGTCTGATGATTCATCACATATCCAGGAGAATTTTGGCTAATAAAATTTCAAAATCAAACAAATCGATTGTTAATCCAAAATCATTGGAAAAAAACAAATCAATAACTTACTCTTTTGGATTATACATGATTAATAGTAATAAAAAAAAATTCAATTGGTAATTCAAATTGGAGAAAAAGAAAACTAAATCTTCTGCTATGTTATGGTCGTTATATGACAGTGATGTGAATGGTAATTTCGAAGTGACAACAATCTAACGAATGCTCTGTCTATGGCTGCAATCATCATATGATGATTTTGATTTCGTTTTGTTTTGTTTAGAACTTGTCCATTTACTAATAGACCAGATGGTGCTACTTTACACACTATAGTTTCAATTGTAAAAGTGAAACAAAAATTCATCATTCGATTCGAAGATCGATGATGATGACTAATAAATAAATGACGTTTATTTTTCGTTTTTTTAAATGAAAATTTTTTTTTTTTATACAATGAATGTTTTCTTTTTTTGTTTTGATTATACATACATACATTTACGTATATATAAAAAATGTAAAACAGGTAAATTTAAAATAATGATGATGATGATGATGATTTTTTCAATTCATCATATTCACGTTTTTTAGCCATTTCTTGTTCCCGAAGATCATCGATTATGGCTTGAAAACGTTGTTTTAAAGCCATATTTTCAATACTATCCAATTCTGTTTGTTGTACATGTCGTTGTGTTTGTAGATTCAAAATTTCTTGTTCCAATTCTTGTAATTTAATTCGTATGGATTCATTTTCAAGATTTTTAGTCAAACTATATGATGCTTCATTATTTTCTTCAACACCACCATCATCATCGATTCCGGTTGTTGTTGGATAATCATATACATTCGATGATGATGATGCAATATCCATATTATCCATCGAAGTAGAAGGTTGTTGTTGAGAGAATACTTGTGAAAATGAAAGATTTTTATCCAAATTAATTTTACTATTATCATCAACATTATGATCACGTAGATAATCTCGAAATGTCGATGACATACGACTACCATCATCCGAATAACCGATTCGTTCATCATCATCATCATTATCATCGCTTGAACTGACAACATCGCCAAAAAGATCACGATCATCTAACGCAGAATTCGTTACATTCATCAAATTGGATGATTCTTTTTCTTTCGAATCGATTTTATCTTTATTCTCTTCTTCAATATTAACGATTTCAAAACGAACATTTGTAGCTTCATTATCTTGCCTCAATAGACGTTTAACTTCTTTTTCAATTTCAGGAAAATCAACATATTTTTTACGTAATGTTTTACGAAATCTTCTTTTTCGAACATTTTTCAATGGTTTAGTTATACCATGTGGATATAGATATTTTTTATCACGTCCATCTTTAGTTTTTTTAACCACTTCATCAGGATCTTCTTTCACTTCATCCGTTTCTTCTTTACATATCATTATCTGGCTTATATCAGATGTTTTATAAAAATTTTTATTATCCAATGTTTTCAATGATTCTAAAATTGTTGGCAGATCAACAATTTTGGCCGGTAGCACCCAGCCATCGAAACGAACAACACCATTTCGGATATCTTGATCGATTTGTATGGATAAACGATCTTTGAGGTTTAAAACACCTATTTTACGAAAACAAAATAAATAAATAAAACGATGATCTTAGATTCATTGATGATTGAAAAATAATATTTACCTGATTTTATAGCCGCTCGAAGCGATGCAGCCGGTAATGATGGTAAACGTAATATAAATTGTGATTCTAATTCAAAATTATCATTTATAGAATCAATTGATTTCTGTGGTTGTTCTTCTAGAGGCATTTTTTTTTTTGAAAATCAAGAAAAAAAATTTGTTATGAGCCGATCACGATGCAAATAAATAAAAGTGCTCAAACAAAAAAAAATCATCACATTGTTTATGAACAACTTTTTTTTTTTTTAATGAAATTCGAGCATGGAATTCTCATAACCGTTATTTGTTTACATTTTTTTTTTTACAAATTTAATATGTAAATGAGTAATTGTTATAGTGTTTTTTTTCGAATAAAAAACATAAATTTTATGTAGATTTCTTTTTTAGGAAAGTTTTATTGAATTTTTTATTCATCGAAAATGGCACGACATTCACAAAATTCTAGACGAATTTCGGAGCCAACAACACCGGGTAAATCACGAATATTACGATCAAGTTTACAGGTAGATGAAACGGATCAAATTTTTTCTATCATCAATTATTTATTGTTGAAAATAAAATCACTGAATTTTTTTTTTTAAATAGCATTCTACCAAATCGCCAACTCAAAAACGACGATATCGTCCTGGTACAGTTGCTTTACGTGAAATACGAAGATATCAAAATTCATCCCATAATCTAATTCCACGAATTTCATTTCAAAGATTAATTCGGGAAATAGCTCAAAGCATGAAAAATTCCTTGAGATTTCAGCCAGCAGCATTGGAAGCACTGCAAGAGGCTGCCGAAAGTTATCTTGTTCGCATGTTTGAAGATGCCAATTTGTAAGTAATGATTTTTACCAAATGAAAATGAATTTTATTCATCAAAAATTGAATTCAATTTTTTTTCCTAGATGTGCTATACATGCTAGACGGGTTACAATCATGCCAAGAGATATTAATCTTGCCAGACGAATACGTGGTGATTATCATTGAATTTGGCAAATGGCTAATCATTCATTTTTTTGGAAAACTTTACACTGAAATTTATTATCATTTTTAAAATAATGCCATTGATTTACATCATGTTTTATATGTAAAAATTGAATTGTAATAAAATAAAATTATAAAAATCGATGTGCTACATCCAAATGATGATGATGTGATGATGGAACGTTTATAATTGGTTCAAATGCTGCCGCTGCTACTACAGCTGCTGCTGTAATTGATGAATTTGCATGATGATAATGGTGTTGTTGCTGTTGATGTTGACGTTGTTGTTGTTGTTGTTGTTGTTGTTGCTGTTGTTGAATCATAGCATGAACATAATAATTTTGCATATAATGATTTTGTGCTGCAGCAACAGCAGCTGCCATCGTTGTTTCATTTGTTGTTGTTGATGCTGTAATTGTATCAGTTGTTGTTGTTGTTGTTATACCAGAATTTAGCATCATCGTACCAGATGAACCATTTATCATTGGTGATGATGATGATGATGACGAAGACGATGATGATGATGATGATGAGGAGGAGGATGCAGATGATAACAAATCATTTACCGAATGTGATGATGGCCAACCTGTTGATTTAATAGCAACTAATGAAAAAAAAATGAATTTCAAATTAAAAAATCCAAAGAAAAAATTTACCAACGGGTATATTTGTCGTTGACATTGGATTCGAATGATGATGATGAATCATTGCCTGTGCTGCTGCTACTGCTGCTGTAGTGTTATTCAAATTGGATGACGATGGTGATAAAAGATGATTCTGATGATGATGTGTTGCTGTTGTGGTAGGCGTCATTGTAATCGATGTAGGTATTGTTTGTGTACAAGAAGAATTATGATGATGATAAGCATTATATAATGGTGAATGATGAGGATGATGATGATGATGATAAATAGCATTCATAACATTGCGAACATTTTCTTTACTTTCCAAATGATTATTGGTTGTAGTGCAACCATTCACATTAAATTGTGAATGTTGCTGTGGTGATTGTTGTTGTTGTTGTTGTTGATTTGTATCCGATAATGATATTGGAATTTGTAAATTTGAAATAATCGATTGATTTGATTGATGATGATCAATGGCAGTATTCGATGATGATGACGACAATGATTGATGTCCATTTGTTAAATCATCATTGACGATGATTGATTGTGGATTTGAATTTCCATTCATTTTATTTCTTAAAATTCGGCTAATTGATTGAATTATAAACAGTGGAATGGAATGGATATTGTCCACAAAAAAAATGGAAAAACAAAATTTACAAGACACATACCTAATACTACTGACGGATGGAACATTAAATTTATCGCAAATACCATCATGCAGTAATTTATCACGAATTTCCCAAGCAAATATTCCTGGTTCTTTATTTTTCAATTCTTTTATATAGGAAACGACCTGAATTGTTTTGTTTTTTTTTGATTTTCGTATTGAAATTGATTAAAGAACTTCACATCATAAAAAAAACTTACTTTTGGTGTTGTAACACGTGGTTTACTACCACCAATTGTACCGGGTAATATGGAACCAGTTTCATGGAAACGTGATAATATTTTCGACACACAACCATGTGATACACGTAATTGTCTGCTTATATCACATGGCCTTACACCCATACGTGATAATTCAACAATTTTCAAACGAATCGAATTCGGCAATGGTCGTCCATTGACAAATACACCTCCCAATTGATTTACTTCACCAAAACCTTGTGATTCTGTGTTTTATCATCAAAGAAGAAGAAGAAAAAAAATATATCACAAACTCTTAGCATCATCCATATCATTTTTTTTCCAATGAAAAAACACAAAAAAAATGGTAATCAATTTTGTCTTTTCAAACAACAAAATCTGCTATAAACAAAATTTAGCTAGTTTTCAACTGAAAAACACACACAAACATCCGACACACATTTGACAAACATGGATGGATTTCTTGTTAAACCATTTGCTCAAGCTGTCCATTCATTCATTCATTCATTCATTCATTTAGTATCATCATCCACCACTTACCAAAATATAAATCATGTTCAATCTTTATTTGAGCGGAAGTGCCAACTGAATTTTTAAGAAAAAAAAAGAAAAAAAACAAACATTCAAAATGAGATTATTTGATATTATTAATCATCATGAACAATAACAACAACCTAATGTATGAAAATGATTGGCGGCCATTTTTAAAAAAAAAAATGATGATGATGAAGAACAATTTTAATTCACAAAAAAAAATTTCACGTTATTACAAACAAATATATGTCATCAAAATGATAAAAGTAACAAAGTTTTTCAATCTTAATCTATAAAAAAAATAACAAAGAAGAAGCTGCAACAAGGAAAAAAAATCACTCCATCCTCAGATGGTTTATACGGATAATGTAATGATGATGATGATGATGCTGTTGGAGTAAATTATTCGGATTTATTCAAATCAAACCAGAAAAAAAGGAACAAATCACACCATGAACAAATTTTTTTTTTTTTTTCAAACTAAAACAAACAAACAAACAAAAAATCAACAAGATTTGCAACGAACCATTCGTTTGTTCGTTCGTTATTCATATTCTGCATACATACATACACACACACACACACACTGTATGCATATGAACCAGAAGATTCAATAATAATCTGTCTTATGGCTGAATTAATCTTTCAATCCAATATATATTTTTTTCAGGCTTTAAATAAACAACAACAACAACAACAATCATGCAAAACGAATTGAAATGAAGCCACCACATAATCATAATCATCATCATCCATCCATCCATCTATCTATATGATCATCATCATCATGATCATCATTATAACATCCATATCGAAATGATACATTTCTGTACTTTTTTTCAAAAAAAAAAAAAAAAAATTCTCGAAACAAAACTATATAATATTTAAAAAAGTGCCTATTAGTAGCTTTCCTATTGGTTAAAAATAAAATTCAAATAAATGTACAGTAACTTTGGTAAAAGGTGGAGTTTGTAACAAATGTAGGCGGAGCTTGGTTGTATTATGTGTATATTATAAAGTGGCAATTTTGAATAAAAAATTTTTCATTGCTGATGGAGCTAAATATATATATATATATTTTATAATTTGTAAATTGAATAGCAAGAAAAAAAATGATGACATTTTCAAATTTATAAAAAAAAAAAATTTTAAAACAAGAAAAAAAAACAATGAACAACAAATGAAAAAATAATTTTATCAGCCAGAAAAATCATCATCATCATCATCATCATTAAATCACCAAATCGAATGAATGAAAATGCCAACAGACAAAACAAAAAAATTTGATCATGTTCATATACCATGGTCGATTGAAATAAACCAAACAAAAATTTACCTGAATGATGAAAAAAAAAATTTTTGGATAAAAACAAACCAAAATTCAATTCAATTCAATTCAAAAAAAAAATCACTTCAATTTGGTCTTTGAACCATGGTTTTGAAATGAACTTTGTTCACCATACATCGGTAACTTTTGTCTGTTGGTGTGTGTGTGTGTGTGTGCCAGCCACAAAACACCGAAAAAAAAAAAATCATCCATTAATTGAATAATTGTTTTTTTTTGTTGAATTCAATGAAAAAATAAAAAACAAAACAAAACAAATTTCTACTTCTGACATTTATATGTAAAGTGAGACTAAATAATAACTATAATATATTGGTGATGCGTTATAATCATCTTTCACTAACAACAAAACAAATATGAATTTCAAATAAAAAAAAAAATTTTTTTGGTATAATCAAAACACACACACACACACACACACATTAAAAGATTTTCAATGGTCGATTGAATTTTTTTTTTCTGTATTTTCAAATAAATGATGATGATGATTTTCCTTTGTGTAGTCATCACTAATGATCAAGTTTTTTGTGTGTGCATGTTGAGGCACAAGCATGCATTAAACAGAACAAAATGGATTTTGAAATTGTCGTTTTTTTTCCAAAATGAACATTTACCACACACACACATATATAAACCAAATATACATCGAGTATACTAAAAAGCAAAAAAAAAACCAATCTATCAACCGAAATGGCTTTTACACACACACTCATACTTATTGCCAATAACATTAACAATTTGATAATCTAAATGTCAAAAAAAAAGAAAAAAAATTGAACAAACTAAACATCGAAAAAATTGTAATCCAACACTGACCATAAGTAAAACATACTCACACACACACACAATGAACGATTCATTCAGATTCATGTGTGGACAATGGTGAAAAAAAAAATTTATTTCACACTCTCTCTCTCTCTCTCTCTCTCTCTCTAAAACAAAAACCAACCACTAAATTCAGAATGTCACAACATCAGTCATTTGTTGATGATATTCAAATACAAGTCGCTGGTTGAACATTGAACATTTGAATTTGGTCAGGAAAAACAAAAACAAAAACCAAATGACACCGATGATCGTTTGGTTTTTTTTGTTGTTTTTCCCTGACCAAATTACAAATCACAACAACAATTCTATTGAGGCCCAAATCCAATGGAAAACAAAAGTAAATCATTTATAGTGGCCTCTTTTTTTTCTTTTTGCTTCTGCTTGAAAAGCAGCACCTCTATTACTTGATTCATAAATTAGAAAAAATTCATGATAATTAAGAGCAACGAGAAAGAGAAAAAAAATCTTAAAATCTGTTAAGTGAGAAGAAAGAAAAAAAATGAAATATAAGTAAGGGGAAAAGGTGGCTATAAATATATTATATTATGATGTTTATGGTTTGTTTGTGGTTAATAATAATTTTTTTTTTTTTTTTTGAATTATTATAAAAATAACAACAAAACTTTAAGAATTATTACAATTCTTTGCCAATGATGATGAACAACAAACGACAATGTCTGTCTGTGTGATGATGATGAAGATTCTTTTTTTTTTTTTGAAATGTTCAACGAAGCAATAAGTGCCGATGACAAGTCATTTTATCATCACCACCAAACACCATTATCAAAGAAAAAAAAATTCACACAACACAAAGATGTAAAAGACACTTACCTTCTTGATGATGATGATGATGATGATGACGACGACCATGATTGTATAGCCGTTATACAATATCGTATTCAAAACAAAAATGTCAACTATAGAAGTATAAAAGAAGAAGAAGGAATTGCCGCAAGAATAAAAAAAAACTGAAAGAATTGTCTTGTTGTTGTCTGCATAAAAACGGTACAACAAAACATACTTACAATGGGAACATCTTTCATCATCATCAAATGTCGAATCTTTTCATTTTCATTCTTTTTGTTTGTTTGTTTGTTTGTTTGTTTGTTGTTGTTCGGGTTCGCACAAACCAAACCAGCCAAAGCCATCCATTCATTCATTCATTCATTCAAATAATTAAGCGAATTTTTTTTTTTTCGTTGTTGTTTGTTGTTTGTTGTTGGATAGTGATTAGTAAATAACAGCAGCAGCAGTACATACATGTACAAGTTTTTTTCCATTTCTTGAGATAGTAGCAACTTATATACTTAGCAAACTAATTATTTGATGTAAAAATGACGATGATGATGATGATGTTTTAGTTGTTGTTGTTGTTGTCGTAATAGTAATAGAATTTCAAAATTTTTTTTGCTTTTTCACACGACAACACCCATTTTCAATTCAACAATGTCTTCAAGTTCATCATCATTATTGTTGCGGCAATATTCTATCATCACATGGACATCGTTTTTCTGTCTCTCTCATTCTCGTTTGGATCGAATTCGTTCCGACGAAAAACGAGGACAACCATGATGATGACGATTTGGTAAAAATTTTCTGTTATATAGACAAATTTCGTTGTCGACATCATCATTATTATTATTATAATGATGATAAAGAATCTTGTGCAACGAAAAAAAAACCGAACCATTTTTTCGCCACTTTCATTCTCTGAGATCCAGATGTTTGTTTATAACAGTAACGAAAAAAAACCCACCAGTTCTTTATCGTTTACCGCCATATACATACAATATCATCACCATGATAATATCATCATCTTGGCGTTTGAGAATAAATAATATTTAGAAATGAAAATGATGATGGAGAATTGAATAGTTCGCCATTTTTTCTTTGACTAAATAATTAAAAGTCGGCTATTTCTCCATATGATTCTTTTTTTGATCTAATCATTGATGATGATGAATTCCATGAGATTCATTAAAATAATAATAAGTCGGCATCAATCTTTATGATTCTGTAATGATTTCGGAATAGTATGAAGATTTGTTTTCATGAAATGAAATGTCCTTACTTTTGTTTTGTTATAGCTGAATTTCAAATCAATGACGATGATGAATAATCGAATGTCAAAATTCATAGATGTCAATTGACAATTTTGTCATTAGAATATGGAAATATGGATGGCTTGTTTTTTTTTTTTTTTTTTTGGTTAAACATAAAAAATCAAGTTTTTTTTCGTGATTCGAATCAAATGTCAACCGAGTGGTCGATCAGAAAAAAAGAACGATTGTTTTCACATCATCATCATCAACATTGAGATCATGTCATGTAGATATAGCCATCACATCATTGTGATCATCGGAAGACAACAACAACAAATGTTCGATTTTGAATTCGTTTATGAATCACACACACACACATGACATGTAAATTTTAAATTAGTAAAAAAAATGAAATTTTCATCTTTTCCATTTTTTTATAGTTTATTTCATTTATCAATAATATCAAGATGATGATGATGATGACAGACAATGACAAATGAAATTTTATGTTATATCAAATTTTCGACAGATATTCCGTTTACACTCACTCACTCGCTCACTCATTCGTAATTCATATTTGGCGCCACTATTTTAAAACAAAGAGTTTTTCTGTTTTTTTTTTCTCCATGATGATGATGATCATCATCATTGGAAGAAGAAATTATTAATTTTTAAAAAAATGAAATGAAAAACTTGACCACCACCATCAAAACCGACAACAAAAACATGTCTAGACAGATAATGTTTCATCTTCGAGACTAGCCGGCGACAAAACAAACCATCAAGTAAAAAAAAAAATTTCATATTTTCTTTTCGGTTTATACACACCAAATTTTCATAAGTTTGTCATTGACACCATCACGTAGATGACATTTTTTTTCCTTTGGTTTATGATGATGATGATGACGATGATGGATGTATATAGAACTTATTGATGACTTATGACCACACCGCGTGCGTGAGTCGATATTATTGTTTCATGTTTTTACAAACATTCAATATACACTATGTTCATATGTTCTTCTTTAGTTTCGGTGTCAAATTAATTGTTTTTAGGATCGTGTTTTTTGGGAGAAATGTAAAACCAACTCATCATCATTGGAAATGTCATATGTCAAAAGGAAAACGGGGTGAAAGAGAGTGACAACAGCAACAACAACAACAACAACCAGCCGACAAAGGTCAGCTGGCTGTATATCTCGGAATTTCCGATAATTTTTTTATATTTTATTTTAACCATAATTTCAAACGTAAAGCATCCACACCATTTAAATAATAACGAAACAGACGTTTATCACGTATAAATCCTAGATTTTCATATAACATCAATGCTGGACGATTTGTAACCTCGGTTTCAAGTACAACTTCATCGGCATTCAATTCGATCATAACATTGATTGCTTTCAGCACAAGATTCGATCCAATTTTACGTTTACGATAACGTTCATCCACAGCCAACATGGCTATATAACCACGTAGAATTTTTCTTTTTTTATAATCAAGTTTACAAACAATTGCTCCAATGCATACATTCTGATCCATTGCCTATTATTAACAATAGAGAAAAAAAAGATGAAAAATTTTCATAATAATTGTAAAACAAATCGAATCGAATTTAAAAAAATTTACAAGAAAACATAATTGTGGCCAATTGTGAATAAAATAACGATATGTATAAATTGAATATGGTTCAGATAAATCTTTTTGTATTAAACGCATTATATCGGGCATTTGTGTTTCATTTTTATAACAAATATATTCAATTGATGATGATTGTGATGACGACGATGATGAATTTGATTCTGGTAGTTGATCATCATCATTATCATTATGGAGATTATTTGGATTTTCATATAATTTCATCATTGACGTATTGGATATTTTTATTTGATCAAATTCATTTGTTAACATTGTTGCCATTGTTGATGATGATTGTTCATCATCATCATTATCATTATGTTTGATCACAATATTAACATCGTCGCTGTTGTCGTTATTCATTGCGTAAATGCACACACACACACACACACAAACAGACAGACAAATAATTGTACGGTGATGGATAAACGATAAATAAAAAAAAAAAATATCTACAAGAAAAGATTGACAAAACCAAGAAATCAAAAATAAGTGATGATGATGATGATAATTTGAACAAAAACAAAAAAAAATCGAATAATTAAAAATCATTCAGCTGATTTGATAACTAGTGACATCTATCGTAATGTTTAGAAAATAATTTTTTGTTCAAAGAAAAATTTTTTTCTTTTCAATCATCAAATTTTATTTCAATTTTTTCATTTTATACAACAACAAATTGACAAAACTACAATAATGGTAAGAAATGCTCAATAAAAAATACTAGAAAAAATTTCCACGATGATTTTAATTAATGAGCAGCTCCTTTGATTTTTTTGATTTCCTTATAGACAACATGACGTTCGACTATTTGGGAGAACAACAACAGCAGCAACAAAAATGGAAAATTAGGTTACTTCATGAGAATAATTTTTACTTGGAATTTAAAAATCATACACACATACCATATGGATCATAACGTAACATTTGAATTTCTTCTTTGATTCGTGGACGAATGGCCACAACTTTATGGCCCGAAATCAGGCTCTCCAACAGAACCATTACAAATCTTGGTGTTCAAATTCAATTCAATAACTGAATATTTTTTCTTAATGTAAAATATCGATACTTACTTGGATTTTCCACCTTTAGCCATCGGTAATAATTGTTATGGTAAAAACATTCGAAACAAATGATTTTTTTCAGCTGAAAACACACACACACATGACGAGAATGCTATTGAAACCAGAATGAACTCTACTGAGTGTAAATAGGCAAATGTATGTTGTCCACATGTTTTTATGAAGATGATTTGAATTTTGTCGAAATTAAAATTTCGGAAAAAAATATGAGCAATTTAAGCCCATATCAACGTGTACAACAATGGATGGTATTCGCCCGTCAATGGTGGTTATTTGATGCAAAACAACAGGATGTATTCGATGCTGCACAGATGATAGCACGATATTTACATGGACGTCATAAACCAATTTATGATACCGAACAAGATGTTGGTGATCATGTTGTCGTCATGAATGCTAAACATTGTTCAATGCCATTCGATGAATGGCGTTATCGTTATTATTTTCATCATTCACATTATTCTGGTGGTAAAAAATGGACCCAAGCATATGAATTACATCAAAAAGATCCAAATCTTATAATGTATAAAGCAATCTATAAAGCATGTGGTAATATTGGCTTAAAACGACATGATCTAATTGCACATCTACATATTTATCCAGATGAAAATGTACCCGAACACATTATGAAGAATATAACCGATCATATACGACAATTACGTCCAGTTCATAAATCAATTGATGAATATTCTGATGATGAGATAAGAAATTATCCAAAAATATTTGATTATTCTGATGATTATACAAAAAAATAATTTGATTGATTAAAATTGTAGTTTATCTGTTTACTGAATTCTGTAATTCTTTTTTATTCATTGAATAAAAACAAAAAATTTATTTAGCAATTTAGTTTTGTTGACTGAAATTTTCGGCTTTACTGAACATAAAAATATAACCATAAACATCTACACAGGTGATGAATGATGATATATCGAATAGAAATCGAATAGAATCTGATAATAATGTTCGTGCATTCTGTCGTTGATATGGACAGAATGGTCGATAGTTATCATGAAATCTTAATGGCCGTCTTCGATGAAAATTGAAATAATCATCATTACAAACATATGGTGTTATGAATTTATTACGAAAATTTTGATTCAAAACATTATGAAGATCATTATTATTGCTAATTTGGTCAAGAATTTCTTTCGTCAAATCAATCAATGGATAAAATGATGGTTTCGATTGTTGTTGTTGTTGTTTTATACGTGTTTTCCATTCAAAATTTTCATTACTAAAATTCAATTTTTCAAACAATTCTTGTAATTCAAAACGTGTTTGACAACAATTTCGTTCATGTGGATGTTTACTGGCAATTTTTATATCACGAAAAAATTCCCACATACGATATGATTGAAAAAGTGTTTCATTCAGATTGAGAACGTCCAAATTTTTTAATCTCATATTCAGCCTAAATGCTTTGATCAGATTAAAACGTATACGTGAATAATATAGCCATTCATTCCAAACGAATAATCTATTGGCAAATTTTGAATAACGAAATTGATAATATGATAATTCATCATTTGTTGTGTTTAAATTGAATAAATCACGTAATATCAATATGATTGGAACAATGGCAACCATTTCATAATAAGGTAAATTACTTTTCTTGCTATTTGCATGTATAAATGATGTATGAACGTAATATTCAATAAAATTTCCATATCGATAACGTATCAATAACATTAGGCCATCTGGTAGATTAAGATCATAAATATAACGACGAATCAGTGAATAAATATTCGGCAATGGAATGGTGGCCAAATCAATGTTACAATGTATGATCATATTGCGCAATGTAATCAGGATAATTTTATAATCAGGATATTGATATCTTATAAAATGATTTTTATCCATCCACATAATTGTTTCATTTTCATTTAGGAAATTTTCAAATAAATTCATATAACGTATTGAACCATTTGTACACCAACGAATCAGATCGGATAGATAGATATTGAAATTGAACAATCGTATAACAATATAAAGAAAGACTAGAATTTTTTGCTTGTTGATGAAATCATTCGCTAATGGTGATTGATGTTTATTTTTCACCAATTTACAGTAATCAAATGTTATATGTTGATCCATATATTTGGATTTATTTGACATTGTTTCTTTTTTCATATTCTTGAATTGTTCTTCATCCATTGCGAATTGTTTATCATCATCATCATTTGATGGTTCATCTTTGATCGATATTCGATGATGATGATGATCTTGATTTTGAAAAGAATTATTGGATGATGATAATTGATTATTGATAAAATTAACAAATGTATCTGAAGAATTTGAGACAAATTTTGTCGATGATATTCCATTCGTTAACAGTAATTCATTAATTTTTTTTGTACGAATACGAGAAGAATTAACCGATCTATTCGCTTGCATACGTTGCCGTGGATCGCCACAGTTTTCTGGATCCATATCATCAAAATATCGATAATTTTCATAAGTTTGACTTTTTTCATTTTTCATATAACGATATTGATTACCATAGCTTGATTGGTTGGATGTATATTTGTTTTTATTTCTTGCTTGTAAATTTATATATGGTATAATAATTTCTTCATCATCCGCATCCATTGATGATGATGATGATGATGGATTATTATTGGCTAAAAGATAATTATCACGATATCTTGTGAATGGATGTAAACGAATCTTTGATTCATGATGATGTTCATCAACGGTGAATGCTATTTCACTTTCACGTAAATATTTAAACCATAATTGCATTGCAATAGAAATGAAACGATGTTTCATTTCCAATGGAAATGACAAACCATTTATGTCTATAATTCGGAAAAAATCCCTAATAAATTCAATATAAATTTTATTGAATGCTTCAAATGTTGTCCATGATGAACGAATACCACGACGGTTGATATCGGATTGTTCTTTTCGTTTTCGTTTTCCATTGTTGTTGTTATTGTTTTTGATACGTATTTCTTTCGTACGTAATTCATAAACAAATTCTTCAGTTGCAACTTCTTTTGCGAAACCTTGACTTTGTGTTTGACAATATTCACAATAATGAAAACCATCTTCTTCACAGAATTGTTGTGATCCACATTTTTGACAATTTTCCATTTTGATTTTGTTGAATCATCAAAATCAACATAAAAATGAGCACGTGAATGATTCTGATTCTAACAACAAATTCTAGATGACAGCACATGTATATGTTTGTTTTCGACAATATTGGAATCTGGTTGACAAAACAAAAAAAAAATCCAGATGAATTTTTTTGAAAAAAAAACAAACACCGGATCTCAATAACAAACAATGAATCTGAATTTTATCTGCAATAATTCTAATCAACAATCGATTATTCATCATTCTAATCATATTTATCATCTAGATGATTGTTTTCAACAAACATTTCTTGTTCTACCAATCTATTTTTGTTTATTGATTTATTGTTCATATCAATTAGGTTTCTATAGCTTTACAACGAATTCAAATCATCATTCATCATCATCATCATTACATCGACAAAAATGCATTCATTCAATTGCATCAATACTTTTAGCGGTGATAATCATTTGCAATTCAATCATAATGTTTATTATTATGAATATTCGAATCACCATCATCACCGTAAAACTTGCAGCATTGATGAAAATTTTTACCATCATCGTGTATGGTTTTCAATTTTCAACCAGTCGATATGATCAAAAATCAAAAAATTATCCATTGAAATTTGTTTTGTTTTCGGTCATTTTATTGCACATTTCAGAATGTTTAACCAGCTATTTCGATGACAGTGATAATCGACTTTCGTTTCTTTTGTTTATATCATGTGTTTGTTGGTTTTTACACATCTTGTTCTTTATTATTATCACCAGTGATCGACAACGACAATCAATTGATCAACAATTATTGATCAATGATGATTCTGTCGAGCTAAATAATAATCAATCCTTTGAATCTGATGAACATCAATCGATAATTTCACAAATATTTTCATTTGGGTATCTCCTTTACTTGAAAAAGGTCAATATGATGATTATCGAAAAATTAATTCAAGTGATGATCTTTTCAAATTGCCCGAATCATTATCAGCACACACATTGAATCCATCGATCATTGCATATCTTGATTGTGATCACGGAAGAAAAAAACGACCATTAATTCGTTATATTTTTTCACATTTTTATGGCCATTTTCTATTGTTAGGACTGTTGAAATTATTTGCCGATGCAATGAACATGTTATTTCCAATTTTTTTAAATCGATTACTTTTATATCTGGAAAACAATGACGAAAATGTACCGAAAACAACACGTGGTTTCACATTTGCTACCGGCCTATTAATCTGTACATTATTGAATACAGTATGCATTTCATATTTTAATTTTCAAATGAGTAAAATTGCATTGAAAATACGTACCATATTGATAATGATGACTTATAATAAATTATTACGTTGTCGTAAAACACAATTGATGAATCAATTTGATACTGGACAAATATTGAATCTAGCCAATACGGATGTTGAACGTGTAATCAATTTAGTGCCATCATTATTTCAATTCATATCATTACCAATACAATTGATTATTACAATTTATCTTCTTTATACTGAAGTACAATTGGTATTTATATCAGCCATTATATTTATAGTCATATTGATACCAATCAATAAATTGATCTGTGATCGTATTAAAAAATTAAGCGAAAAATTAATGCTATGGAAAGATAAACGTATACGATTAATGAGTGAATGTTTGAAAGGAATTCGTACCATTAAATTTCATGCATGGGAATCGATATTCTTCACGAGGATTCAATCATTACGTTTGAATGAAATTAAATATCTGAAATATAGAAAATATTTAGATGCATTATGTGTATATTTTTGGGCCACAACACCGGTCATCATTTCATCGTTAGTATTTACAACATATGTTTGGTTCAATGGTGATAATCAATTGACATCAAGTAAAGTTTTCACAACATTAGCATTATTAGGTATGCTAATAATGCCATTGAATGCATTACCATGGATATTGAATGGTTTGATTGAATCATTAGTATCATTACGAAGATTAAATCGTTTCTATAGATTATCGGAACAAAATCCAGATGAAGATATTGAATGGATTAATGAACATGAAAATATATTATTTCAATGTAACAATTGTTCATTTAGTTATTCGAATTCAGATGAACAGCAGCAGCAGCAGCAGAATTTTAAACTTCGAGACATTAATGTCGAAATAGTGAAAGGAAAATTTATTGGCATTACTGGTCGTGTTGGTAGTGGTAAATCTTCATTGATTAAATCCATGTTGAATGAATTGAATAAAATCAATGATGATTATGGTAGTGGTGGCAGCAGCACAATTCGAATTAATCAATGTTGTCGACATCGAGGTATTGGTTATGTATCACAAGAACCATGGATTCAAGATACAACCATCAGGAAGAATATTCTGTTTGGTAAAACATTCGATATGGAATTTTATAATGAAATTATTGATGCTTGTGAATTGCGAGAAGATTTTCAACAATTTGCTCATGGTGATCAAACTATCGTTGGCAATCATGGCGCCACTTTATCTGGTGGACAAAAATCTCGAATAACATTAGCACGTGCATTATATCAGAATTTTTCTGTTTACCTTGCTGATGAACCATTTGCCAGTTTAGATCAACAAGTGGCCAGAAAAATTTATCAAAAATGTTTTCTTTCCATATTGAAAAATAAATCAGTCATTTTGGTCACAAATCATATTGAATATCTGAAAGATTCATTCATCATTTATTATATGGACAATGGTCGTATAACACATTCATATCTATCTGCTGATCGATTAATTGATTTTGATGAAATGTTGGATCAATCGCAACAACCGGATCGAAATGAAACTGATAATGAAAAAATGGTAGTTCAACAACAACAAGATCAATGTGAAATGAATGAAGAATTAGAAGAAGAACGTGAACATGGAAAAATTAAATTCACCGTCTACATTGGCTACATTTATTCAATTGGTTATTTTCTATTCACAATGATTATCGTGTCAATTTGTTTGATGCAAATTACACGTAGTGCATCGGATTTTTGGCTTTCAATATGGACATCATCGACCAAACAAAATGAACAACAATCCAATGGCTCATCATCCACAATGTTTTATCTTTTCATATTCATAGCGATTGGTATTGGCAATTCAATCATAACATTAATTCGTGCATTTTTATTCGCATATGGTGGCGTTCAAGCTGCTATCAATGTTCATGATCAATTATTAGAATCATTATTCCAAACATCAACATTATTGTTTGATCTTGTTTCATTTGGCATTCTTATCAATCGTTTTTCATCCGACATGTTCAATGTTGATGATGCATTACCATTTACATTGAATATATTTCTAGCACAATTATCATCATTATTAATTGGTTTATTCGTAACCATTTATGGTATGCCATGGATTAGCATCGTATTCATTGTGCTTACAATACCATATTATATGATACAAGAATATTATCGTAAAACATCACGTGAATTGAAACGAATTTCTGCCACAACATTATCACCAATTTATTCACAGGTAAAATTTGATTATATGTAAATTTTATGCTAATTTCAATTCCATTTTGATAGTTGGATGATACCATACAAGGATTGACAATTATTCGTTCATACAGGCAAAACAATAGGTATATGAATTTCATTTCATCGACGATTCGGTTTTGTTAATTGAATTTTTTCCATTTTCTTTCCATTGAAAATTTTTAGATTTAAAAATGAATTTTATGAAAAAATCAACATTTATAATCGTGTTCAATATGCAATCAATGCCATTCAACAATGGCTAAATCTTCGTTTACAAATGATTGGTGCCATAATCACTTGTTCAGTTGCATTTATTGCTGTTTATATTCATTATTATAATCGACAACAATCAATTAATTCAAGTTTAATTGGATTGTCACTAGTTTATTCATTGTCATTGACAAATCTATTGAATGGTACATTTCAAGCATTCACACAAACAGAGTTGGATTTAATTTCCATTGAAAGGATTCGAAAACTTGTTGAAAAACTTCATGATTATAAGGAAGAAAATTACAGTGATGACAATCCACAAATATGGGATGTATCATGGCCTAGCGAAGGAAATATTCGTTTCAACAATGTATCGATGCGTTATCGAAATGATTTACCATTAGTATTGAAAAATGTTTCATTTGAAATCGGTGCCGGTGAACATGTGGCCATTATTGGCCGTACTGGTTCAGGAAAATCCAGTTTATTTCAAACATTATTTCGTTTGGTTGATATTGAAACTGGTCAAATTTACGTTGATGGCGTTGATTTAAAATCAATTAATCGTAAAACTATTAGGTGAGAATTGTCATCATAATTCTTGATCCATCATAATTTTTTTTCTTTGTTCAACAAATAGATCTCGAATACATATCATACCACAGGATGCATTCATGTTCAATGGTACAATACGTGATAATCTAGATCCACAACATCGTTATCGTGATGATGAAATATGGACAGCATTGTTTGATTGTAAAATAAACATTTTAATCGATTCATTAGGCGGTTTAGATGGCCAAATAGATGGTGAAAATGGTATGAATCTAAGTATTGGTCAACGGCATTTATTTTGTTTGGCAAGAGCAGTATTGAATAAATGTAAAATTATTTGTATGGATGAAATAATGGCAAATATTGATAATGAAACTGGCAAAATATTGGATGAACTGATCGATACTATATTCAATCAAACGACCATTGTACATATTGCACATAAATTGGATTCATTACGCAATTATGATCGTACAATCATTATGAATGATGGAATGATTTGTTGATTAAATGATGATAATAAATAATAAAAATAAAAACTGGAAACCTAACAAAAAACCAAAATTTATGATATGAATTTGAATGAATTAGTTTGGTGTGTGTGTGTGTGTGCCAATCAATCATTGATTGGCATGGTGGAAAAAAAATGAGATTTATTCACCGATTTTTGATTGGATTTTAATATGCTCGATTTCTCTTTCTATCTATCTATCTCTTTTGTTTGCATTTACATTTCATTTTCTTTGCTCTACAACAAATCAATCACAAATGTTTTTTTTTTTTTTCTTTCGATATGGCTTCCTTACCATTCATTTCTCTATACAGAACAAAATGAAAAATGAAATGAAATGAAATGGATGGAAACAAAAAAAAAAAATTTTTTTTTTTTGATTGATCAAATGATAATAGATGGCTTCTGGCAATATATATGGCTGGCATCGTTTCTTTTTTTTTTTTTCTCATGTCATGAATGATATATAAAAATAATAAGTGGATGGAAACAGTTTTTTTTTATTTTGACCAACTTTGTTGTATCTGTTGGTCAAAAAAAAAATCTATGTTTTTTTTCTCGATGAAATAGACAAACAAAATTTCCTGAGATTATAATCATCGTCAACGGATCGTTTTTTTTGAATCGAATAAAATCCAATCAAATAAGAAAGGGCGGAACTAGATCAATCATCAGAAAGAAGTAAAAAAAAAAATCCATTCAGGTGTGTTTGAGGTATGGACACAAACACACAACTGATATACATACTGTCAAAGAGCTAAAACGTTGTAGTGGAGATTAACGAATTGAATTTTTTGTTTTGTTTTGTTTTTGATTAGATAGGAATGAAAAAATTGAAAATCAAACTTTGAAACTTTCGTGGGTGTGTGTGTGTGTGTGTTTGTTATGTTGTGTGTGCAAATTCATTTGAGCATTCTCAAAACAAAACAAAAAAAGAGAATTTTTCAATTCATTTTGTCGTTTTTTTTTGAATTGTTTTGTTTTTTTTTGTAAACACAAACAAACATACCTTACGAATTCATTTCAAGTTTTTCATTTCTGTTGTCATCATCCATTGAATGAAAATGATCAATTCAAATTAATTGAGAACAAATGAAACAGAAGAATAGATTGTCGTTGCATTTTTTTTTTTCATTCATCTCATTGTCACCACCATTATTATCATCGTCATCATCATCAAAACATTCATTCGTCGTTGTTCGTTGTGTGGTGTTCTTCGTCAGCATCATTTTCTTCATTTTTTTTTCGTTGCAATTGATTTTTCTATTCATAAAAATGATTTGATGTGAAGATTGATCTACTTCCTGTGTCGATATAGTCGTCGTCGTCGTCGTTCAACATACATCATCGAGTTTTTTTTCATGAATTTTTTTTTCTTTCTTCGATTGATTTTCATCAATTGATTCCTGTTGCTGTTGTGAAACCATTTTCAAGGTGGAAAAGTAAGTCAACAATGATGATTATCAATAGGTGGACAACTAAAACCAATAAAACGTTGTTGCCAACAACGACGAATAGAAAAAAAACTCCTACTCATCATCATTTTCACTGGTCAAATATTCGATTTTCGTTTATTTTGTTTTGTTATTGTTGCAATTATCTTTAGTGATTGATAATTGGTTTTTTTTCTGAAAATAATCGCCCATTACACTGACTAATTGTCTTTGTTTTGTTTTGTTTCGTTTGTTTTTGTTTACCATCAACATACATACACACACGCACACATGCAGAGATGGCTCATAATAATGGTGTTCATTTTGATGATTCAGATACATCGACTAATGATTCACAAACAACAACAGCAGCTACAGCTGCCAATTGTAATGGTTTTTCAAATAGTAAACAAAAAATTCAACGAAATCTTCCAATCATTACATTAGATGTACATAAAGGTGAACCAATTCGTTTACAGGTCAAAGTAATGGTTCCCATTGATGATCATCCAAATGTATGTGTATGATTTATGAATTGTAAAAATTTAAATTTATCATTGGGAAAATTTTTTTTTTGTTAGTATAATTTTGTCGGCAAATTACTTGGTCCAAAAGGAAATTCATTAAAATGGCTACAGGAACAAACGCAAACCAAAATGGCAATTCTTGGACGTGGATCAATGAAAAATAAACAAAAAGTAAGCGCTATCCATTTTTTCATTCAAATTCGTATCTAATCTCACTGAAAAAAATCATTATCAGGAAAAAGAATTGCGTGAAACAAATGATCCAAAATATTCACATTTGAATGAAAATTTACATGTTGAAATCACTGCCATTGCAACGGCACCAGAAGCCTATCAACGTATTAGTCAAGCATTAGTGGAGATTAAAAGATTTCTAGTACCGGTATGAGATGATGATATTTGTTTTCTGTGCAAAAAAAAATCTATATTCTGAATTCTTATTACTCACCATTCATGACAACCATACATAGGATTATTTTGATGATATACGACAACAACAATTACGTGAATTGGGTGTAATTCATGATGATGATTCCAATCACCATCATCATTGTCTTCGGCATCAGAATTCGCAAACATTAAAATCTGCCCAAATTAAAATGGATTCAACAAACACATCATCAACATCATTATCGTTGTTATGTAATCATCACCATCATGATGATAAAATTGATGCAATCACCATAATCGATAATGATAAACTACATCATCGAAATCAATTATTTACAAATTGTAATAAAAATGATATCAAAATTAAAGAATTGGTGGATAAATCATGTTCAACATCATCATCGATATTATCATCAACGACGATTCATAATCAAAACCACCATCATAAACAACAATTGTATCCGTTGAGAGATAATTTTTTAATTATGAATAATAATATCGATATTGATGACAATTATTTATCAAGATTTAAAAATGATAAAAAATTTATCGATTATAATTCAAATAATGGCATTCATTTGAAATCTGGAAAATTTCTTTATCATAATCATCATCATCAACATCATTATGGTTGTAATATTGTGGATAATGGTAATGGTATTGATAAACAAACAATAACCAAACGTTCATTAATGATGAAACCTTATTATCGACCACCACCACCACCACCACCACCACAACAAAAAATGTCAATGGCATATAAATGACAGCTGAAAATGAAATAATTCAAATTTTTTAATTGAAAAAAAAATCATAATAATAATGAATTCATTTCGATAAGAAAAAATAAAAAGTAAAAAAAAAAAACAAATGTGGATCATTCCAATTCATCAATTGTCCAAAAAACAAACCAAAGGCAAGATGGAGAAAAAAAAAGATTTCTAAAAAATAGTAATTTTTTTTCTGTTGACATTTGAGAGGTGTAGTAATATATTTTGTGTGTGTTTGTTTGTAATAGACAAAATAAAATTTTTGAAATTTTAAACTTTTTTTTTTTTGGTTATTTTTTATCAAGTGAACAACATATGGAGATTAACATTGAAAAAGAGGTATATTTGTGTTTGTGTGTGAAAACAACACACACAAGATAAAAATATGTAAAGCACCGGGTTGTTTGTTTGTTGATCTATATGTTTTTAAGGTCGTCGATTAGTAACATTTTTAAAATAATCACACAATGTTTTTCTTTCTTTTTTTTTGATAAAATATTTCATTTTAAAAAAGACTAGGCAAATTTTTCAATTTGTCATTTTTTTTTTGCTTAAAGATTTTTGTTTTGTTTTGTTTTGTTTGTTTCGGTTGAAGAGGTAGTTTTTTTCCAATAAATTCTTTGATTTGACAAAAAAAAATAAACGATATATGAATTGATATAAGAATTCAAGAGGCAAAATTCAATGATTCATATATAAAACAATTTGTAGAGATGAAAAAAAAACAAAATAAAAAAGAACCGGGTAATTTGCGTTTGTATAGTATAGATGTGAATTAATAAGAACAAGAATAATGAGAATTTCAATAGAAACAATAAGATATAATGATAATAATAATTGAGACAAGTTTCAATAACCGGGATTTTCGTTTTTCTAGAAATTTTTTTTTCTCTTATCAATTGAACAAGAACAATTTGAATTCAAATAGAATCAAATGATGAATCACGATGATTATGATGAGGATGATGATGATGGTGATGATGGTGAAGTGGATGGGAATGAGGATGTTGATGTTGATGATGATGTAAATGATATCGTTCCTGAGATGTTTCATCGATTAACGATTGAATAGTAGTAGTAGAAGTTGGATTTGAGGTAGATGGAAAATTATTATTCGATAGACTAACTTGTGTTGCCGTTTGTTGTTGTTGCTGTTGTGGTTGATTAAAAATCATTTCGTCAATTGGATTAAAATTAATCGATGATGCAGATGATGACATCATTATGAAACCTGGTTTATGTTCAGATGATGTATTTTGACCCGTATTAATTACTGGTGATTGATTTGAGCTATGATGTTGAGGATGTAAATGTTGTTGTTGATGTTGATGATGATGATGAGAAAGAGTAGGAGGTTGAGTTCGAGAATTTAACAAAGATGTTTGTTGTTGTTGTTGTTGCAAAGGTGGAATTGATGGTAGACAGAATGATGGTGTTGTTGCTTCATTTGGATTTAATGAAAAATTCGGACATAATGTTGTTGTTGAGCTCTTTAATTGAGATTGTTGTTGTGGATGAGATAATGAGAAACAATGTCCACCAACTGGTGAACCATCACCATGATGCATATGATGATCAATAATATTTGAATAATTTTCTAAAGCAGCTGTAGTATTGTTATTGTTGTTGGTAGCAGTGGTGGTGTTTGAAATCGATTCTGGATTATTAAAATCTAAATTTGTATAATCTTGTCGTTGTAAACATGAATAATGTTGTGAATAATTATTATTATCAAAATTGACCGAATTACTATCATAATGATTTCTTGATGTAATAGTATATGGAGTTGATTGTGTTGGTATTGTTGTTAATGATGTTGTTGTTGACATTGTGGCTGTTGTACCACTGTTGTCATAAATAATTTTCGAAGGTATCATCGTTGATGATGATGAAGATGATTCAATTGGCATTGTTGAGGTAGAATGATGATGAGTAAACATATTAATTGCCGAATTATTATTATCATTAGTAGATCTTGTTACATATGGCGTTGTTGATGATGAGGTAGTAGTGGAATCACGATTATTGTTGTTATTATTAAAGTAAATAAGATTCACTTGAAAATTATTGATTGTCGATGTCATCGTTGCTGTTACTGATGCAGATGCAGATGATGATGATGAGGTAGAATTCGAGGCAGTCGAATAAGTATTTATTTGTATTTGTTGTTGTTGATAATTATCCGTTTGTTGTTGTTTTGGTTTGGTTTTGTTCAATTTAACGATTGATGTTTTTTTCGTCGATTTTTTTGCCGTCATAATCGATGTTGATGTTGTCGGTGTCGATGTTGTTGTTGATGTTTGGACATTTGAATTGTCATTAGCAGTATTATTAGTATTTCGTCTTTTACATGATCTTGTATCTTGATCATGACTTTTTTTCGCATGTCTAACCAAATGATCTTTTCGACCAAATCTTTGTTTACAAAATGGACATGGAAAATTTCGAACACCAGTATGTACAACCATATGTCTTTTCACATCTTTTTGAGTAAAAAATCGACCTTTATGAAGTGGGAAAAAAATGAATAAATTATTGCCAAAAAAATTCCAAAAACAATTTACTTTCACATTGATCACATTGAAATCGTCGTTCAGATTCGGGCCGTTTAGTTGCACGATATTTGATTGGTCGTTTTCTTTGGCTACTGTTGCTGCCATTGTTTTTATCATTTTTTCGTCTATCAATTTGATGATGATGATCATCATCTGATGTCAATAATAATGATGATGATGATGTTGTTGTTGAATCCACAGGTGGATGATTTAAATTATCATTATTTTTATCATGAATATTCAAACAAGATAATGATGTGGTCGTTGTAGTTGGTGTCAATAATGTACTAGAAATTGATTGACAAATACTTTTTCCATCATTATTATCATCATCATCCATAACAATATTCATCATTTTTTTCCAATAAATCAATCAATCAGCCAAATGATTCAATCAAATAAAATATGTGGAAAACATCATCATCATCATCATCATTTCGACCATATGTGTGTGTTGATCGGCAACTTTCGAATCTCTACACATTAAATTAATTGGAAAAATAAAAAAAATTTCAAAAACAAATCTAAATCTTTACTTACCTGTAATTAAAATGTTATGAAAAATCGAAGAAAAAAAAACGGCCCGAATTGAACGAACATTCAATTTTGGTTTTTTTTAAAACCCGAACACACGTTTCAACGGTAGCTTATTTGTGAATGGTGAAATGAATTCGAGAGAAAAAGAAAACCAAAAATCAACCAACAAAAGAAAAAGAGAATTTTTTTTCTTCAAGGAGTCATTCGGAAATGATGTCACACATGGCACACACACACACACAGACAGACATTCGATTGATAAAAAATTTTTCGTTTCGTTTCGTTTCAATAATCCACGGATATTATCATCATCATTTACCACCATCCACCTATACACACACAGAGAGATTCGGTGTTTTTTTTTCTTTGTTTTGTTTTTGTTTCTTCTTCTTAATATCTAAAGTTCATTCGTGGTCGTTATTTTTTTTGTTTTGTTTTTTTTTTGTTCTTAGCGGCTTCAAATTACCATCATCACCATCATCATCATCATCGAATCTGGATCATCATCATCATCATCATCTCAAAACCAAATCAACAACAGCAACAGCCATATTATAACCAGCATCTGCGTGTTTGTGTGCGTATGCTTCATGCCGTATTTTCTGTCTGTGTGTATATGTGTGTTGTGCTGCTGTTGTTGCTAGAATGTAGTCGCATTTTTTTTTTAACAAAATTTTTTCCAATTAAACACTCAAGGCCGCCAATAATTTTCAATGCATATGTTGATGTTGTTGGTTGGTTGTTGTTGTTGTTGATGATGATGATGATGATGAAGATCAAAATGATGATGATGATGGCTAGTTGCGAAAATAGTACACGCTCGTGCACACAAACACACGCAGAAAAAAAACGATTTTTTTTGCCATTTTTATCCAATGCTTCTGCTAATGTTTGTTGTTACCATACACACAAGTCTTTTATAATTGTTGATAATGGCAACCACGACGACGACCACCACCACCACCATCAACATGGCCACAATCATCATTTATATCTTAATTGAAAAAACAAAAAAAGAAAAACTACTTGGAATAATCATCAATCTACATCATTATCATTATCATAGTCATTGTCATTAGTGTGTGTGTGTGTATGTGGTGGTAATGTAATAAATATGAATGAAAGAAAGAAAAAGTAACATATACCTTTGCATCGTTTGAGGCTATAGTTAGTTTTTTTTATATTTATAGTTGAGAGATTTTTTTTTTTTTTCATCTCGTTTTCAAATTGCAAGTGGCTATTATTATCGATCGGAAACATCTATGTCGATGAATCGTTGAATTGCTCTCATTTTCATTTGTTCACTGTCAATTGGTTGATATAATTAATTCATTTTAAAAAAAAAATAAAATAAAAATTAGTTACCGTGGCGCATTGATTTTTTTTCAGCCATTTTCACATCTTAATTTTCATCATTATGATGTATTAAAAATCAAATTTTTTTATTTGAATTTTTTTAATATTTTATTGAATAATTTGAAAACAAGAAGAGAAAAATTGTGCGATTTTCTTGACAACAACAACAACCACAAACAAAAAAATTCGATCAAAATTATTTTTCATGTGTGCGTGAATAAATAGATAGATGACGCTGTGCGTGTGTGTGTGTGTGTGTGATTTTTGAATTGATTTAAATTCGAATTTTTTGTTTTGTTTTGTTTTGTTTTCACTTGAGTAGTTATAGTAATATTTATATATAGTTGAAGTTAAAATAGTTGAAAAAGGGTTCAAGATTAAATTGGCCGACGATAAAATATAACCAATGTGTGTGTGATTGGTGGTGAATATTCCAATTCATTTGAAAATGGTAAAAAACACAAAAAAAAGAGAATTTTTACAAAATATTTCGCCAAACTAAACAAACAAACAAACAAACAAAAAAAATTCCATCGTCGTCTTCATACAAAACAACAACAATTTTCTCAATTCGAACAGTGAAGAAATTTTCAAACTATTGGAATCAAAAAGAGAAAGAGAGAAATTGGAGAAAAAAAATTATTAATCATATTGATTGATTGATTGATTGAAAATTAATCTGAAATATATAGATTTCAGAATGGAAAAAAAAGAGAAGAGGAAAAATGAAAGATCAAAAGGATCAAAGTGTCAGGCAAAGAAGAAAAATTTTCAAAAAATTCCTTTAATGTTTAAAATGATCAAAAAAAAATAAAAAAAAAAATGAGGAAATATAAATTTTTTAAAAATAGTGGATTCCAAAAAAATGAAAAAAAATGAGCAAATTGAACAAGATTATTGTTGCTGTTGGTTTGTCGAAACAATAGGAAAAAGGAAAATAAAGCAGCAAAATTTACAGATTTTAATGAATTTGTTTTGTTCTCGTTTTTTCGTTTTTTTTTTTTTTTGATCGATCAGTTTGATCAAAACAACAACAACAACAACAACAATTCATTCATTCGTATCTATTATTTAGATTTAAGTTTACCTAAATTTTCTTGTTCAGGTGATTTAATTTTTTCCGGACGATCCAATGAAAAACAATATATACCGAAATGATGGCACATTTGACGGACGATACATATGGCATAATGTAAATGTAATATTGTATAAATAATGGCATTGATACGTAATAAACGTAATTCTTGTTGATGATCAATATTTCCAATAATTGCACATAATGTCGATATTGTTAATGGATATAGAAACCAATTGATTAAATCACATTTCGTTGATGACATTTGACTTACAATCAAACGACACTAATTATATGGAATGAGAATTAGAAACAAATTAGACATTTTTTCATTTTTATTCATTGTTGTCGAAAGAAAATTCTTACCGCAATATTGGAAAAAACAGTTCCAACCATAAAATAAAATGTTCGTGGTTCTACTTCAATGATATTCATTGGTGAAAATTTTGCCCACAATGTTGAAACTATAAATAGACCAATCAATGAGATTAATGGTCTAAATGATTGATAAAATGTTTTCTGTTTAGGTGTTTGACATGTATAAACATTATAGAATGCCATTGGAATCGATAATAGAAAACTGGTTACTGGTAGTGAAAATTAAAAAGAAAAACAAAATCAATAAATACATGTGTAAACAACAAATGATAATAATTACCATAAGATGTAACTTCGAAAAATTCACCCGAAGTTAAATTCAAAATGGGCACGGTAAATTTCCAAATTTGATGTCCATAACAATAGGTTACCAGATACATGATAAATAATGCCATCTGTGATGCATCATAACTCCATGGCAAATATAGGATGCCGGTATTATATTTTTCCCAATGTGATAAATAGAATGTAATATAAATTGTCCAGAAAATAAAATGCATATGAAATGGTGATTGAGAATAATCGGCACGACCAAATATTGAATATATACAGAATGGAATGAAAAATGCTGTCCAACTATCCATTCCATGATCCATCAGTTCACCTAATGGTCCTGAGGATTTTGTACGTCTAGCATGTTTACCATCGATACCATCTAATGTATGTGCCACTGAATGAAATATGGCACAAACGATCCACACCCAATCGGGTATTGGTGGAAATTGTGGATATGAATCACTTGATGCATAAAATTCTGGATCATATATACTCAATAATAGACCATTACCGGCTGTCATAAGAAAACCGACAAAAGTAAGTACATTTGGTGCTATCCACATTGGTACAAGCTGCAAGAAGAAGAAAAAAATCATCAAAATCCAAACAAAAAAAAAATCAATTCTCTAACCTTGACGACAACATTCCAGAATGGATGCATAACATATTTACTCAATGGACTAGTATCTTTGGAATTATACTAATGGCAGAGAAGAAAGAAGGAAAGAAAAATTATGAATTTTACAATTATTTTTATAATCCACTAAATCCACTTACCACATAATTTTCGAATCCTTTCAGATGATTATGATTAAGGTATTTATAATTGAATAAAGAAGCCATTTTCGTTCAGTTAAAAATGTTAAACGATGCCAAATTTGGTTTGTTAATTTTTTATCATCTCATCAACAAGAAGAAAAAACATTGAAAAGCAAACAATTCAAATTCATGTATTCAGGATGTGTGTGTTGTCACAACGACGATGACGAAGAAGATGATGAAGAAAAAAAAATGAGACACGAATGCAAAAAAAAGTGGCTTCAAAATTGGATGTGCGTGTTTCGTGAAAACGAAAAAAAAAATTTATATATCAAAGTTCAAATGTAAATTGATAACTTTCAATTTTAGAAAATTTCATCAATGGAACTTGATATACTTTTGAAATGGAAGAAGAAAAAGGAATCGAAAAAACAGCAAAAAAGGCAAATTTTGATTATCAAAAAAAAAAAAAAAAAAAATTCAAATTATTATTTACCAATCGACTAGCAGTAGTAGCAGTGTAAAGTGATCATCATCATCATCATCATGATTATTGATTGATCGAATTAATATTATTTATAGAAGTTGTGTCTTGATGTCATACGTATGTGATGATGATGATGATAATGATGATAAACAAAACAAACACACAATCATCATCATCATCAATAAAATTGATGAAAGATAAAAGCAAATCTTGCTGAAATATCAATTTACAAATTAAGGAAATCCAACATTCGATCTCATTCATTTATTAAATCATCAATAACGATGATGATGATGATGACGATGATGATGGTTGATTTTAGAATGCCGTTTTTTTTCTCTTTAGCATATACAGTTACGTTCATCGATATCGTTACATTACACAAAATCGGGCATTAAAAACACATGATATGATATGAGACAAAAATTTCAATGTTGTTGTTTGGTTAAGAGTTACCGGAAAAAAAATCAATTAATAAACTGCCATTAAATTATTGATTGTGTGTGTTTGTGTTTATTTTGAAGCAAAAAAAGAAAAACAATGTCATCATTTCCACGTAAAGAAAATCGTCTTAAATGTTATGCTTCACGTGATCAATATTGGCATTGTTTGGATCAACATTCGAATGTAAAGAATGAAAATAATGATGATCAAAATCAGAATAATAATATTCCAGATGAATGTAAAAAATTGAAATCATTATTCGAAACTGATTGTCCACAACAATGGGTACAACATTTTAATCGTAAATATAGATATTTAAAATTTAAAGACAAAATTGAAAAAGGATTTGAACCAATCGACAATGATGATGAGAAAAAATGATGAAAAAAAAACATCCAAGGCATCGTCGAACGAAATCACAATGATTAATATATAGATCAATATGTTTGTTTATATGTTTTTGTATGATATGAAAAAAAAATTGAATAAATAATTTTTACTTTTAGCAATAAAAAAAATGAAAATGAAACTGATTTGTTTTGTTCATTATTATTGATCATGATGATTATGTAACCGACCATTGTAAAATACTTGAATCTTTACCACCAATCGATATGATACGGCTATCATCTGCTAAAAATCTTGCATTCGGTACTGTACTAGTATGTCCAACATATGAATGATGTAAACATTTTGGTTGACATGATGGATATGTGAATAGATTCAAACGGCCAACATCATCACCAGTTAGTAATAATTTACAATTATGTGATCGATCCATCGTGCTAATGAATGGACCACCATTATCAAAATTATCAGGCCAAACACCAAATACATTGAAACCAATCATTGAATTATGTGTAACAAATTCTAAATCACGTGCAATTGATACATTATTCAATTGTCGACAAATGGATGCATTCCAGAATAAATGTTCAAATAGAATCGATGTTGTTTGTATATACGTGTTGGATGTATCCCAATCTATAAATCAACGAGCAAGTTAATTGATTTTTCCAGCAGAATGTTTTTTCCACTTACCTATACTGATTACATAAGATGTATGGCCGGAACAACGGCCAATTCGATTAAATTTACGATATTCATCACTAACTTGATAAACATAGATATTATTATCACGTGATCCAAGTGCAACATAACGTCCATTTGGTGAGAATTTTATACATTCAATTAAATCCGATCCATCATTATGCATGGAAATCAATTGTCTGGTCGTCGAATCCAATACCATCCAACGTCCAACGGTCATTGTACTGATGATTATAATACTACCATCAGGTGAAAATGATGATGCATGCACCGATTCACCAATATCTTTACTCCATACAACCAAATGTGACATTGTATCCCAAAGATGAATATTTTTATCATAACCACCGGTTATAAATTGATTCTGTGTTGGATGTATGGCAAGTGCACAAAGCTCTTCAGTATGACCCTGTTTTATTTTCAAGAAAAAAAAAAAAAAAAATTTAATCACATCGTTTTGAATAATGAAATTGGATTTTACCTGAATAACCAATGAAAAATTCAATGACATTGTTCCTTGTAAAATACAATTTTTTGTCGTTCCAACAATCAACATTGATCCTTTACCAGTGGTCAATGTTCGTACACCACCATATTGATCGGGAAGCTATTGAAAAAAGTTTTTTTTATCATTTTCTGGTCGTTAAGTGAATAGAGGAATACCTTTGCTTCTCTACCGGTACGATTCATATTTGCATTCCATTCAATAATTTTCTTATCTTTACCACCACCGGTTACAATTGTACCATCTTTTAATGTACAGATATCAAATATCGATCCATCATGTGCATTGAAAATTGTTCGTATCATTCTGCCAGAATTTTGATGCCACACGATAATATTGCCATTAGAATCACCGGTTAACAATTCACCAACATCATTGAATGTCATACAAAGAATATATTTTGGTTTATCTTGTTTCTGGGTATAGCAAAAAATGAATTTGATGATCTGTTTGAGAAGAAAAAAAAGTTAAAATGACAAACCTCAAACGATCCAATTTTTTTCGCCAATGAACCACCTTCAATATCCCAAAAATGAATATGACCTTTACCAATTGTGATTAATATATTTTTTTCAATTGGATGAAATTCTGCAGCCAATACAGCATCACATGTTGATTTTGCTTCAGAAATTTTATGACCATTCAATCCTTTATGCCATTCCCATAACGAAACCATATGATCATTGGATTCATCAACAACACACAATAAATTGCCGCCATCAAATTTTGAAAATGATATACAACTAATACCACCACGATCAAATTCACCATTCTGTCCTAAAATATGCAATGTATTCAAACTAACTGAATCCCATATTCGAACATGTGGCCTTTTTTCAAATCGACTATGAGAAAAAAAAATCATTAATCAATCAATCAAAGTTTTTTTTCGGAAAAAAATACCTATCTTGATTGACATTCTGGCCAGTGGCAATTAATAATTTATTTGGATGTATAGTTAAACAACGTATTTCACTTGTATGTCCATTATAATGACGTTGAATTTGATCGTCAATATTATAAAGTACGACAACAGCTGCAATAAAATAGACAATTTCACCAGTTGGTAATAGATATAGATTATGTCGACAATCACGTCCTCTATAACCATAACTGGTAGTAATGAAACAAACAAACAAATGTTTGAAAATGTCAAAAACAATTGCCAGAAAATAAAAAAAAAAACTTACGCCCATTCAAGTTTTAATCGTTGTAACGGTGGACTGGTTACATTTTTAATCGTATATGTTTGCAATAGATCCGTTGGTATATTGATTATGATTTGTCGATCACAAATATTGAATTTGATTACTCCTTCCACTATGTGTTTAGATGGAAAATAGAAAAAAATATAATTTCCAGTGAAATGAAAAAAAAATTCAATGAAATATAATATACCTTGATTGTAATGGAAATCTTTTAGATTGCTAAATAAATAAGAGAAGAAAAAAAAAATTCAATTAATTTTTTGAAAAATAATTCGAATGTTTATGTTGTTTTGTTTGCTCAGTTAAGGTCAGGTTAATAATGTCGAAATAGGAAAAAATTTTAAATCGTTTCGATGGTTTTTTTTTGAACAAATTACATACTTGACATTTGGATCAACGATGGATGAAAAACGAATATCTTGACTTGCTGACCAACGTTTCATTGATTTTAGATTTGAACCAGAATTCATTCTCATTAATGATTTTGAATGATTCATTGATGATATTGAACGATAATTATGATTGTTATTATGATGATGATGATGATTCGATTGTGGTGATGCTGCCGGCGTTGTCATATCATATTGTAATGAGGTAGATGAAAGATAGCGGCGATGATTATTAGATGGATATAGCGATGATATTTGTTCATTATTATTATTATTATTATTCTGGACACTTCCATTGGATAATGTTGATAAATTTCTGCCATGAATTTTATTTGAATATATTGTGCTACCACGATTATTATATACATTTTTTCCATTACTATTTTGATGATGATGATGACTAGAAGATGGTGATAGATGATGATATGATGTTGTTACAATGGCTTGAGTGGGACAACAAAAAAATGAATGAATATAAATAAACAGGAAATAAGATAATGAATATCACATACCACGTCCTTCAAGTTGATTTAATCGTCGTAATACATCGGCCAATGTACTTTTTAGACAAACAATTTCATCACTTTGATCTGATAATTTTTTTTCCAATTCAGCAAAACGCATAAATACTGTATTCATATTACGATCATCATTAACACCAACGATACCAATACCGACACCACCACCACCACCACTGAGACTTGAATTATTTGACATGAGACTTTCATCTGAAAATCATTGAAAATTGAACATTAAAACACACACACACATGCACACGAATATACAAATAAATCACCTGTAGATAGGCCAATAAATTCTTCCATTGTTTCTATCGGTGTTTGTGTACGAAAAATAATTTAATCCACTTGAAATTTAAAAAATCAAAATTTGCCGGTAATCAAATAATCTTGAGATACAGATAATCACATCGTAGATATAAAAAAAAATTAGGCCAAATAAAAAAAATACTAGTTTTCTGGATCAAAAATTTGTTAATTGTAAAAAAAAAAAAAAACCAAACACACACACACACACACAATACTGTGCTCCAATTTCAAAAACAAAAAACAAGATGCTGATGCCAATTTCAATGATGATGCACAAATAAAACAAAACAAAATTTTTTTTGATTGATTTTTTGAGATTATTATTACTTGTGGCATTTGTGTGTGTGTGTGTGTGTGTGTGTTGTTAAAAAACTTTTAGCAAATGATTTTTTCCTTTTTTCAAAAAACAAAAAAAAATCGACAAGTTGGCTTGGTTTGGCTTTATACACACTATATACTTATTATTACTCACAAAAACAACAACAACAACAACACAAAGTATACATGATTACGACGACGATGATGATGATGATCAAGAAACCAGCTACCACGACGACGACGACGATCGACCGACCGACGATATAGTCAATGTAAATGTAACGCAAACATAAACGAGAAATGCAAGAGAAAGAATTTTCTCTCTAGAAGTTCTCTTTCTCTCTCTCTCTCTATAGTTTATCTCGGTTTTTAGGCAACCTAAAATTTTTTTTTTTTTTTTTGGTTGGCTGGTTGCAACCAAAAAGAAAAAAAACCATATCATCATCATCATCAATATATGAAATTCATTGAATAAAAATGCCATTCTCTCTATCAACATTCATCACTTACGTTATGTATGTGTTTTGGTTTGTTGTTTGTTACCATAGTTGTATCCATTTACAATGATGATGATGATGATGTGGTGTATGTATTTCATATATACTCATGAGGATTAATGATCCCGATAAATGATAGGGAATCGGGATGAAAAAAAATGGCCATCGGAAGATGGCACTATGTTTTTTTTTTTGAAAATGAAATATTTATTTTATGAGAATGAATTGAATGAATAAGTAGTAGTAAATTAATAAGTAGTAAATTAATTGTGGATTAGTTGGAATAATAAAATAAAAATTTTCAATCATCAATTTCATATAAATCATCTGACTCAACTGTATCATCATCATCATCATTATCGTCATTATCATGAAAGTCATCATCCGATTCATCATTGTCATCGAAAATTTGTTTATAATTTGTCACTTTACGAACACGACGTGATGGCTGTTTCGGTGTTGGTGATGCCAATAATTGTAATGAATTATCATCATCATCGCTTGATGACATAATGTATTTTTGTTTTTTGTTTGCAATAGTTTTTGTCGATTTGCCAACAATTTCATCATCAAATTCATCAGATTTTCGTTTTTCATTTGTAGTCTACACAACAAAAAGAAAAAAACAGGTCATTTAAAAATTGAAAAAAAAATTCAACAACAAAAAAACATACCGAAGATGATGATGTAGCGGCTACAGTTGTCTTTTTTTCAATTTCAACATCTTTTTTCATTTTCGAATCATTTGTTTTCTTTTGTCCAAAATTAATTGTCGTTTGTTTAAGTTTTAATTTTTTAACCGGCTGTTTTGGCAATAATTCCACCACATCTTCATCCACATCGCCATCATCATTATTCTTTTTCTTATCTTTTTTATTATTATTCGATTTTTTTACCCGTTCTTTTTTCGGTTGATATTTTTCAAAATCTATTTTCGGTTCAATTCGATCAGCCAGTTCACTTGGTTTATAGATATCAGCCAAATTTGAAATTTTCAAACCTTTTGCCGTAATTTTAGCCGATTTTTTTGGACGAATACCTTTCAGCGCATTTTCACGTTCATTTTTTTCCACACGTTCAAGTTCTTCAAGAAATGCATCCAAATCTTTCTCCCAAAGCATTTCTGGCGTGGAACGTTTAAGTTCTTCTAATTCAGATTTTTTGGCATCACGTTTTTTCAATAATTCTTGAACATTTTCTCTTAACATTGTTCGCATTGTCATATCGATAAGATAGTCAAAATCATGTTTTTTCTCCTCTTCCGTTTCAGGCATTTTATCATCATTTTCAATGTCTTCATTTTCATTATTTGACGTGGTGTCGGGTTCATTTTGATCGATATTAAATTCCTTACGCCATGCTTTCACAGGATCCGAATCATATTTTCGTTCAATCAATATCTTGAGAAATTCTTTTCTCTTAATATTTTCCATGATGATTTTTTGGTCATTTTTCTCCAAAATGAAACGTGCTTGATTTTCAAGTTTCAGTGCCTCAGCTTCAAGCATACCTTCATAATATCTTTTGCGTCGAACATAGAAATCCAAACGGAGAGAAAAATTCTCGTAAAATATCCAAAGGTGATTCATATCGTCGAATAACACCATTTTTATCAAACAAAACCATCGATGAAATTGACATTGAAGTTTGTAATTTGAATTCTTTATGTATGCCATTTCGCATTACTTTTTCCATTGAACTTTCATTCATTTGAACTAAAAATCTATTAAACAAAACAAAAAAAAATTTTAGGATTGAACCTCGAGAAAAAAATTAAATCAAACATACTTGACAGTGGTATCGGTATGATATTCTTTATAGTCATTGATGAGTGCAGGACTTTTTTCCGTACCATGTAGCATTGGTTCCAAAATTGATTCCTTATAAACTTGAGTCCAGGTACGTATCGGTAATTCTGTAATTTCGATAGTTTGTTCATCCAAAATGGCAACTTCACCATTGATAACATATTTCATTGGTTCCACTTTCACCACGGTACCTCTGAAATCTTTATACCATGGATTCATTTCCAAAGGTTCTTCATTACGAAGCATTCGTTTAATGTTATCAACAATAGCTCGTGGATCATAATTAGGAACCTTGGTACTCCAACCGGTGCCAATACCTTCTGCACCATTGACTAAAACCATTGGAATGATTGGAACATAGTATTCAGGTTCAATTCTTAGATTATCATCATACTGGTAAGCCAATAATGGATCATCCAATGGTGGAAATAATTTCCTTGCCAATGGACTTAAACATGTGAAAATATAACGAGGACTAGCAGCATCTTTGCCACCTTGAAGTCTTGTTCCAAACTGGCCAAGTGGTTGAAGTAGATTAATATTATTACTTCCCACAAAATTCTGTGCCAAATTGATAATGGTTGACATCAAAGACATTTCACCGTGATGATAGGCACTCAATTCACCAACCGATCCAGCTAATTGGGCCACTTTTACTTCACGTTTGTCATTACGTTTGAAACAAGTATATGTCACTTTACGCTGTCCAGGTTTAAATCCATCCACCGACGATGGTATAGATCGTTCATTATCCATATTGGAGAAAAGAATCAATTCTTTGTTGATAAAATCTTTATACGTAACTTCACGTGTGTTTTGTTCGTAAAGATAGATTTCTTTTCACCATTATCACGTCTTCGACGACGTTCTTCCATTCCTTTTGTGAGCCATTCTTTTCTTGCTTCGATCATCTTCTTACTGAATGCCAATTCCACTGCTCTATCATCGTCCTCATCATCATAACGGAATTTGATTCGATGGCGTTTCATATCAGAAAAATATTCTTTGGCTTCTTCCGATGTGGAAGTACCCAAACCTTTGGACAAACAAAAGAAAAAATTTAATAAAGAAAATCAAAATCAATAAAAAAATACCTTTGTAGTATTTTATCTTGTAAGATTTGTAGTTTGATGTCTCTTGTTTCCATTCTTCGAATTCGGGTAGCGAATAGAAGGCACGTTTGAAACTACCTTTACTCGCTTTTACAATAGGCGTAATAAATTCTTCGAGAAAATTCAATTTAACCAATGATGGCCAATTGAAATGGATGAAATTTATAAGCAATCCTTTGATATGCGAACCATCTTGGTCCTGATCAGTCATGATCATCAATTTGCCATATCGGAGTGTTTTCAAATCTTCAATGGTTGTATATTTCTTCTTATATTGTAACCCAAGAATTTTGACCAAACTATTGATTTCGGAATTTTCCATGATTTGTTTATGGGTGGCTTCACGAACGTTTAACATTTTTCCACGCAATGGAAACACTCCGAATTTGTCACGTCCCACGACACTAAATCCAGCAATAACCAACGATTTAGCTGAATCACCCTCTGTCAATATCAAGGTACAATCCAGTGAATTTCTTGTTCCCGCATCATTGGCATCTTCCAATTTCGGTATACCTTTAAGTTTACTGATTTTTTTCGAACTCAATTTCTTGTCCATTTCAGTTTGTTGTTTAAAACGAATCCAACTAAGGATTGAATCCACGATACCGATTTTCATGATTGATGTGAAAAACTTTTCACTAGGCGCACATTTAGATCCAAAATTTTTACTTTGTAAAGTCATCGTTTCCTTCGTTTGTGAGTCGAATGTTGGATTTTCGATAAGACAATTAACAAAAACCCACAGATGATTGCGTATTTGATGTGGTTTAAGATCGATTTTTGATTTTCCACTTTTCCTATTGACTGTTTCGATTAATTTAGCAACAATCTGATCAGTAACATGATCAACATGTTTGCCGCCACGTGTTGTAGCTATACTGTTTACAAAACTAATTTGTTGGTAACCTTTATCACTTAAAGCGAGGCCGATTTCCCAACGATCATTTACTACTTCGTGTGCCAATTTCAATGGTTCATTATTTTCATCTTCTTTATCTTTGATAAACATATTAATGTAGCTTTGAAATCCACGAACAGGGAGACATTCACCATTGAGGAAAACTTTCACGCCTTTTGATGAGCCAGCTATATCATACGCACGACGACTGAACAGATCGACAATATCTTTATCTAAATGTGTCATATTGAATTTTTTCAAATCAGGCTTAAATGTCACACGGGTGAAATCTTCACCTTTCGATGGTCGTATGATTGGTTCTTCAGCCGTTTGCATGTTATCTTTCCATATTTGTGAAAAACAATTATTATATTCCCGTGATGATGTTTCAATCTTGAACATTGTGCTAAAAATATTACACAATTTAGCACCATAACCATTCCGGCCACCAACAACTTTTTTCTCATTATCATTATAGTTTGATGATGTTAATAGATGACCGAAAATCAATGATGGAACATACAGTTTTTCTTCTTTATGTATAACAACCGGTATACCACGGCCATTATTATAGACGCTGATTTCATTATTTTGAATATTAATATCGATACGGATACAGCTCATTTTTGGATCACGAATCTTATTGTCGGCAGCATTGACAACAATTTCATCGAAGATTTTATACAATCCAGGCACAAATGAAATATCACGTAAAACCATACCATTTTGACTGTCATAAACCCACATTTGCTAATGATGATAAGATATAAATCAATTAAATGATTGAATTCTTAATGATTAAAAGACATCTTACCTTGGTTTCTTTTTCAACGGATCCAATGTAGGTATCTGGTCGTAACAGAACATGTTCCAATTGACTTTTCTTCTGATAAATTTGTTCAATATCACGTTTTTGGCTACTCAACGCCTGTGTAAAAAAAATTAAAAAATTAGCTGATTATCGAAGGATTCAATTCAATAATTTGATTACAATATTTCTGCAGACAAATTGATAAAAATATTTTGATTGAAAAAACAATTGCCTTCGTTGTTGCAGACAAAATAAACAATTCATTGACATTCTAAGATTTTATTAATCGAATGTGGATTCATTCGATCAGAATTTTTCTATATTAATAACTAATTACAATAATGAAAAATTAATCGATGATGAAACCATGAATTTTCATCATCATCAACACACTTGATATGATGCTAAAGATATGTTCTATATGAAAAGTACTTGAATTTTGATTCAACAATCATCATTAACAATTTAATCAATTCATGATCAATAATCGAATGACAAACACACAAACCTTTAGCGGAGGTCGATTATTGCGAAAATCATCCATAAGGTAAAGATTGATATCGTCGTCTTTTTCGTTTAATCTCACTAATTGGTTAATTATGTGTGAATGTTTTTTTGTAGATTGATAATAATGAAATCAAAAAAAAAAAAAAAAAAAATTTAGTTGTAAACGAAAAAAAAATTTTTTGCCAGAACGATTTGATCAACATTAAGGTCAAAACTGAAATGAAATGATTATTGAATTCGAAAAAAAAGTCAACGGACTTTTGTATGCACAGCACACATGTATACATATACTGACGACCGAATGAACCGCGTAAATCGATTCGAGCATGCTCAATATTAATAGCGCCAAAATGAATTAAATTTTCTGCCATCTGTTGACAAAAAAAAACATGAAAAAATATTCTAACTCAAAAACCATGCTTTCTATGGCAACAACATGTCCATTCGTTTTTTTGGTTTGTTTTCATTTTTAATTTTCATTTCAGTTGTTTTTAATCACCGAAATTAATCATCGATAACAAAATAATGACTACTACTAATAATAATCCAGCATTCGCGTTTGTGGTGAATTCAATATTGAATAAGAATAAAAATTCAAAAATTTTATCAAAAGCAAAAAAAGAACAAAATGTATTGTCATATGAAAATAACGAACAAACGATTGCCGATGAAATTGATTTTGTCGATTCTCAAGGTAAATCACTAGCTAATAATAATAATAATGGTGATGATGATGATAAAATCAAAGAACAAAAGCATTGGCGACAAACGAAAAATAATACAATTCAACGTAAAAATATTGATCAACAAAACATTCGAACATGGTTGTCGAAATCAGTGGATGAAAATCGTGAAAAAGAAAAAAATTTAACATTGATTGCCACTAAAGGTGTCGTTCAATTGTTCAATGTTGTTCGTGAGAAACAGAAAATTCTTAAACATAAACTAAACGAAGCTGGTGGTTCGGAAAGTAAACGAACGAAAATTCTTACAGAATTCAGTGAAAAAGAGATGCAAGATGAACGAATTAAAACTAGTTTAAAGGTAATTTATTGTTTATAGAATTTCTTCTTGGAAATTTCAAATTTTTATTCATTATTTTTATTCAGAAACCAAGAAACAAAAAGAATTTGAATTCAAACAAGAAAAAATGGCCCGTATTAACCGAAGATTTCATGACCGGAGCCAGGCTCAAAGATTGGAATGAAGAAAGTGATAATGACTAATCAAATGGGCTTGTGGTCAACTTATTTTTAATTTTTTTTTTTTGAACAAAATTTCAATTGCAATTGTAAAAAAAAAAAAAAATTTTAATTTTGATTTCAATTTGTTTGTTGGGAAGTTTTGCCGAAAAATCTTTCGATAATCAAAACGAAAAACTTTATAGAAAAATTCTGCTGGCTAGGTCATTTTGTGTGGTAGGTTTTTTATTCATCTGATTCGCGGATGTTTATCATATGGAATCATCAGTAAAAATACAGCAAAGTTTTCTACAAAAATCTTTGCATCAATTATATCGTCATCGTTTTCTTGTGACCATACCGCCATTTTTTTTCTATTGTATTTATTGTGATTATACTCGTACACAGGAATATAAACGAAAGAAATTACAAAACTAAAAATAATTATTATGGCTGGCGGTCCAGTGTTCTATAAAGAATCACGACGTATATTTCCAAAATTATGGCAACGACATTTATTCGTTGGTACGACCCTATTTATTGTTTGCCATATTGGATGGAAATATCATATACTTGGTATAGAACGTTATGATACATTCAAAGGACGTACAGCTCTTTATGGTCCAGAAAGCATTGAAGGTGGAATGCAAAAATGAATTGATTTATCAAATTAAATATTTTCATGAATTTAAATAATTATTACAATTACAATAGCTTGTCTAGTAAAGTCTGTGAATCTGAATAAATGATAATTTTTTGATTTCAAACAAATTGATTTTTTACCTGAAAAAAAAATTTAGAAATTTTTTCTCATTTCGTCTATTACGATCCAACTAGATTGTATCGTTTGAGGTGGAAATATATGACAGCGATATTTGTTTGTCGAAGCGTTATTCATTGTCCATTGTTTCAATTTTTTTTTCTTGATCGAGATTTTTATTTCTGATATAGAATCCAAATCTGAATATCGTTACAGAATGGTTATCGCCGAACGTAATAATAATAATAATGAATCAATATCATCATCAATTAGTGGAACGAATTCAACTGCAAATCGTCGTACACGAACATTGAATCAGGCTAATGTTTCAAATACAATGAGCAGTAGTGGTGGTGGTACCAGTTGTTCAAGCGATATTAATAGCGATTCTGATTCTGAACAAAGTAAGTTAAATTAATCTTTGATGATATGATTGTCTAAACAAAAAAAAAATGAAAAAAAAGGTGTTCGAGTTGGTAATGAATATCAGGCTGAAATATCCGATTCATGTCAATCGAAACCAGGTAAATATCTATAAACCTTGTGCGGAGAAGTGGGCATTAATGATTTTTTTTTATTCTGCATCAAGCATCAAGAGATTATGTGGAAAAAGCTGTATTAGTTTGGACACCATATCATGAACTGGATGAAGATGATTGTAAGAAATTTTTGTTTTTTTTGTGATTTTTTTTTCTTTTAAAAAAATTGGCTAATAATTTAATAGTGTCGGATTATGTAAAATTGGCAAATGAAAAATATAAATATAATCAAGAACAAGCATTGGGTATTTTATTCTGGCATGATTTCGATATGCAATGTGCATTGGCCGATCTACCTAATTATGCACCGTATCCAGATGAATGGACAATGGAAGATCGTGCACTATTCGATCAAGCATATCAATTTCATAATAAAAGTTTTCATAAAATCAATCAACTATTGCCGGATAAAAAATTATCAAGTATTATTAAACATTATTATACAACAAAAAAGAATAAAAATCGTAACGGTAGCTATGTAGATAAACAAGTGAGAAAAAATAATTCACAATCCAAAGATGAAAGTCCAGATGATAATGGTAGTAGTTCAATGATGATGGACTATGCAAATGATGAACAACAATCAACATCGAATCATCATCAACAACATCATATGATGATGATTGCTTCAACATCGAAAGAACAACAACATCAACATCAACTACAGAATCAGCAGCAGAATCAACAGCAGCAGCAGCAACAACAATTCAATCATCGTAAAGAATGTTGTCAATGTATGAACAAAAATGCCCAACAATATTATAATACGAAATATGGAATTCTTTGTAAAATTTGCTACGCTAAACGTAAAAGTAATCATCATTCAAAATCATGCAATGATCCAACCACAATGGGAGATGAAATATCGAAATTTGGTAAACTTTTCAATTCGATGAATATGGATGAAATGATGTTGAAAGAAATTGTTAAAGAACGTGTTACAGAATCATCGGCAAAAGTTTTAGAATCATATGATAAAGAAATTGATGATTTAATGGGAAAAATTTGTCATCTGAAACAGGAAAATCAGGCTAAAAAATCATCACTAGGTGAATTACCTGATTTATCTTTGTTGAATGTATGTATTGTCGAAATTTTAAATTTTTTCTTATTGAAACAATTTTCAATTTACCCCCCAAAAAAACAGAATAATAATAATCGTATAATGTCACGATGGACAAATGATGAAATACTTTTGATGACACAGGCTATACGTGATTATGGCAAAGATTTCAAAGTTATTGCCGATATAATTGGCACAAAAAGTGAGGTACAGATTAAGAATTATTTTCTACAAAATCAAGATAAAATGAAATTCGATACATTGATCGCTGAACTGAATGAAGAGAATGATATGGACGATATGAATCTGTATATTATTGATGATAATAATCCAATGAATGGTGAAAATAGTAAAAAATTGTCCAAATAGTTTTACACAGAATTTGCCACAAACATCTATAGACGTTTTTTTCTCTTTCAACTATATCAAACATTCTAACAAATCAGTATCGAAACCCACACACACACACACACACACACATTTATTATGAATGAAAAAAAAAGAATCTCATTGATTTAATAATAAGAATAATTTTCTTTCTTTTCTTTTTTGAATTTAATGTTTGTCGATTATATAATAATAATAAATTCATCAGTCAAGTCTCAGTTTGGTTGGGCTGGAAGTGATGTATTTCTGTGTGTGTGTGTGTGTGTGCAAGTGTGTGGAAATGAATCAAAAAATCAATCAACAACAACAACAACGAAATGACGATTATCAAGTTTTTTTGAGACTAAAAAAAATGGAGAAGAATTTCCGTCATCATAGGCAGTGGTGTTAATATTCGAGAAAATGGGTGATTTTTTTTTCTTCAGTTGTTGGTGATGGGTTTATGTTTGTGTGTGTGTAGTAATGAGATTGACAAATTATGTGTGGTTGGACATCCAGCTACCTTCGTACGAAATAAGTGAAAAAAAAACATCGCAGAGATACATAATGAGAATTTTAGCTACCAAAAAAAAAAGTAATAATAAAAATAGCTGATGATTTCTACATCCATCTAAAAGAATTGATGTTTGTTTATCTTTGTATATGTGGATAATGTGACTAAAATATCAATAGATCTGAATTCATAATTCAAAAAAAATAATAATAGTTGCTCGAATGTCTGTGTGTATGCAAATAATAAGAGAAGGGGGCAGCAGAATCAGGACAGCAAAAATATTCGTTGATCAATGAATTTTAAAATGTATGATGATGTGATGTTATTTTCGATTATTTCTTTTTCAATGTAAAAAGTCCACCACCACCACCACCGGTACTGGTGGCGGCACCAGCTTTACGAGAAGCTTCAGATTCTTTCATTTTCGTTGGATCAATAGCACCTTTTGCTGGCATTGTTTGTGATCGTGATGGTCCTGGTGATGGCTGTTGTTGACTGCGTATAGTGGAATTTATCGTATTTAACCAACATTCCATTTCACCATCATCTTTAGCTTGGAATAGATATTCGGCACCATTCGATAATTTCAAACGGAAAACGTGTTTCTTTTTCGTATAATTTGATGCAATTTCCACCTGTACATCATCCAATTGTATGGCTGGTTCACCTTTATAATATTTTTCCGGTTCATTTTTCGAATGTTTTTGATCTTTATAGAATAAAAGTTGACTTTTTTTCAAGACAACAAAAACTTTATCCCAAGATCTGTGTGATATAATAAAGAATTAAAAATTTTCAACCACTAAATCAATCCTTTTTTACTTACCTATTCGATGATCGTTTCGTTGTACTTTCCCATTCATGTTTACGATTTACAAATCCTTCCATAATGATGTCATCGGAATCAGCTGAAAAACAAAACGAACAAAAAAAATTATCATTCACTGTCATGATCAGACTTTTACAACAAATAAAAATTAATTTCACCTTCACCACCATTTTTATCATCATCCGTATAACTTTGTTTACTACTAGAAATACTAGATTTTTTACCACGTAAAGATCCAAAAGAAGTTTTGGAGCTTTTCTTTTTCAATTTCGGTGCTAATCATGCAGGTTATTTTTATTTAGGTTTTAGCATTATGTCATAAAAATTTGGGGACAAAAATAAAATTGTAAAATGTTAGAATCTCAATTATTTTCATGCAAAAATAGTATGCGTGTTATACATCAACATTACGGAGAGATACTTACTACCAGTTGGTTGTATCAATTTTTCTTGTTCCTGTTGTCGTGCAACATCATCATCAATGTGGGATTCATGCAATTCTTCATTCATATTCATAAATGATAAAATATATTCATGCGAGAAAAATGTTCATGCAAATTGGGTAATGAAATAAAAACATGCAAAATCAGATAAATCTATTGCCAACCACCAGTTCTTACCTTCAGATTTTTCATCACGACCTTCTCCTTCTGCTCTTGCACCTTTTGGTGATTCCGGTCTATGAAAGAAACGAGAATGTTTTGAGAAAAAAAAATTAAAATTTTGAATGACATACTTTGTGGCCACAGCACCAGTATCGATCATTTCAGCCATTGGTTGTTGTTTAGCTGCTGTAGAAACTTTTTCAGCCATAGCCGTTGCTGATGGTTTCTCTTTCATTTTACGTTCTTTTTCTTCTTGTTTCTGATATTCTCGTAATTCAAACTAGAAATAAAGAATTTTTTTTCGAAATTAAAATACTAGAATTTTTTTAAATAAAAACGCCATAAAATTACCGTTGTTAATCGTTCCAATGCAACGAAACGTTCTTCTTGTGCGAATGCTGATTTTTCGAATGCTTCATGTTTCTTGATCAATTGTTCCACTTCATCGATTGTATGCTGTTTAAAAACGAGAGAAAAAAATATTCAAAATTCAATACTAAACATTACACATTAGAAACTTACGCCCAATTCTTGACTCAATAGATATGGTTCTTGTGCAATGAGCCATGCTTCAGCAACGGCTGCATCTCTGGCGAATTGATATACTTCCAATATTAATTGTAAATGATCCCAACGTTCTTCCCAACGATTTTTCAATGCGCTACGTTGATTTTGTAATGTATTCAATTTTTCACTAATTTCTTTCGATGCATAATGATTACGGCTCAATAATTCATTACCCAAATTGAAACAATTGGTAAAATTATCGTTTCTGGCATCAATTTCTGATTTCAAACTTTGATGATTATTCATCAATAGCTCTACGCCGGATACATCACGTGGTTTGTCGCTTGAATTCATCTGTCGGACAATATCGTCCATCCACAATATCAGATCACGAACCATATTGAAGAATTTGAATAAATCACCAGTATCTTCCAGTTTATGTCGTCTTAAATCACAATCCGTAAGCATTTTATTCCATGCATTCACTACTTCTTGTTCACGTGCAATAATTTCATTGGCACGATCACCAGCATAAAGAACTTGTAATTTTTTCGATTCATCCGTTATCTGATGAACAGCTGATTTAAGTGTTTGTAAATCATGTTCGAAATTTTGATGTTTTCGTAATAGATTCGAAACCGATACAGCATCACGACCCAATTCATCGGACATTGAATTTGATTTCTCGGATATTCGTCCCAAAATATCTTTACAATCATGAAAGAATTTATGCAATTCCCATGAACTCAACAGCATTTGTTTACGTGTTTCCATCAGTTCCAATAATTCAGCATAAGAATCATTTAGATTATCTTTCAATTCCGCAATGACAGCGCCATCAACATGTCCAGAATTTATTAAATTATCGGCATTTTCATTTGCTTCATCAATACGTTCATTGCCGATATTTTCGGTTTCACGTGCAAATTGATTGAATCGTTCACGTAACATTGTAACCTGATCAAAATCTTGACCCAATTCATGTGAACCAGCCACCACTTCTTTTTCATTAATCCATTGAAGAAGATCATCAAATTCACGTTTCAGGCCACAGAATCGTAGCGATTCTTCCAATTTAGATCGTCGTTCTTGTGCCAAATCTTTAAGGCCAGCATATAATTTTTCCACCTGCGATTGACGGATAGCAATTTGATCACTTTCTGGATGGCCAGATTTAATCAATTGCATTGCTGTTTCACCCAGCTGTTTAATGGTTGCTGCATAATCATCAACAGCGTTTTCCAATGATTCATGTTTCTTGATCAAATTCTGTGTAGTGAATTCATCTTTACCACGATCTTCGACCATCATATACAGTTCTTGTTCACTCATCCATGATTCAGCTTCAGATGCATCAAAATAATATTGTTGTGCCAGTTCAGATTCCAATAGTTTATTCTTACGTACATCCATTGTATTTTTCAATTCATCCCATAATTTATTCAATTCATCAATTAGACGTGCAAATTCAGGTGAATCTTCATGTCCTTCTCCGATTAGTTTACGGCCATTTTCAATTATATTCAATATTCTTGGTTCATGATTATCGATTTCTGTACGCAATGATTGATTCTTTTTGATCAACATCTGTACACTGAACAAACTGTTACCATAATCAGTGCTGCGTGCCAATGGTAATTTTTCTTGGATCCACATCTTTTCATCTTCAACATCACGTCTAAATTGATAGGCTTCTTTCTTTTTCAATAATTGTTGTTTACGATCCTGTAATGGTTGCTGTAAACGATTAAATTTCTCTTCCACATAGGATTTTTTTGCTTTCAATTCATCCGTTTTTGCTGGATCAATCTTTTTCAATGCCATTACTTGTGATTCCAGTTCATTAACTTGTTTAGCCTTTACAGCTAATTGATTTTCAATCATTTGTTGTTTCTGTAGGCTTAGATTTACACTGGTTAAATCTTGTCCAGTTTCTGCAGCCAACACTTGATTTTCAATATCCGTTAACCATGAATCAATATCATCACAAGTTTGTTCATACAACACTGGACGTTTAGCATCGAATAATTTTTGTCCCTTGTCATTTGTTGTCGTTTCCAATGTATCGAATTGTTGATCAAGATCATTCAATTTTTGATCAATCATTTTTTTCATTTCAGGTTTATCACCCAACAGATCTTGTGCTTGTTTCTGTATTTGATATAAACGATCTTTATTTGCGGCGATTTCCGCTTCGAATGCTTGATGTCTTGTCCATTTACTATGGATGGTTTTTGCACTACGATAAGTTTCATCTTGGGCAATAATGTATTTTTCTTGGATCCATTCATTTAGTTCATCACAATTCTGTAGGAATTGTTGTAATTTATACATATCTTGTAATTTTTGCCACAATTCTTTTGATTTTTCACGATTATTAACAAATCTTTGTTCAATATTAGCCGCTTTCTTTTGGATTTTATCCGAATCAAAATGATTTTCATCTGTTAAACGTTTTGCGAACAGCAATACATTACGTACACGTTCTTCGTTTGCATCCAATGTATTCATAAATGATTCATGTCTTTTCAACATTTCTTCTGCTTGTTCCAGGTTAGCTGGTGTTTCATCTTTGCCAAGATAATGTTCTTGTTGATTAAGTAAAACTTCAACCTGTTTTGAATCACGTAAAAATAACTGTGAATTCAAACTTTCAGATAATAATTTTTGTCGATTATCCCACATTTTATGCAATTCATCCCAACCATCACGCAATGCTTTAAGACGTTCACGTAGAAACATATGTTGATGATCAGTTTGTCCTTGCGTCAGTTTGTCACCATAATCCATGATGTTTTTGAATTCAGGTGCATAATTATCAATTTCTTCTTTGATTTGTTGATGTTGATTAAGAAGTTTTTCTGCTTCAATCAAATTATTCGGCGTATCTTCCGATGCTACAGCTGTCTGTGTATTCTTGAGCCATGTCTGAAAATGATCTAAATCTCGTAAGAAACGATGTAGATCACCAGCTTCTTCCAATTTGGCATCACGTTGTTTAATCAATTGATTTAATTGTTCAAATACAGCCGAAATCTGTGTAATACGTTCACGAATTTCTTCCGCTTCTTCTGGATGTTGATCTTCAATTTTCTGGGCTTCATTTTCAAGATTATCAATCTGTGAACAAATGGCAGCTAGATCACGTTCCATGCCACTTAATCGTCGTTGTAATGTCATTATGCCGGCTAAATCATTACCCAATTCTTCAGTAGATTGAAGTAATTTGGTTTTTTCTTCAATCCAAGAAATAGTTTCACGACATTCAATATGGAACGTTTGTACACCATGTGATGCATCGATATCATCTTTTTTACGGTCGGCATTGTTTTTAAGTTTTTTCCATCTGAAATAACGAACAAAAAAATCATGAAATTCACAAAACGATTCACTTTAAAAACAAAAACAAACCTATTGTTTACACGATTATTACGGTCAGCAATATCCCGAGCATTCGGATGTCCAGCTTGATGTAATTGTTCGGCCAAACGATTAACATAATCCATACGTGGTTCATTGGCATTCATTTCTTGTTCAAATGTATCGAAACGATGTTTCATTACTTCAATATCTTCCATATCACGACTTGGCACCATTGAGTCAAGCATTTTTTCCTTCTCAACCATCCATTGTTCTACTCCATCTGATTCGCTCATCAATCGATACATATCAATAGCATCGGTAAGCATTTGTCGTCTACGTTCAGCGGCATCATTCAAATCACCATACATTCGATCAATTTTATCGATACGATTTACAATCTCTGGCCGATTACGATAATTATCACCTAAACTATCCGCTTGTTGTTTCAATGCCATAATAGTGCCATAATAATTTTTCAATTCTTCACCACAATCATTATGTTTTTTCAATAATGATTGTCCACTAGCCTCATCGATGCCAACATCTTTACTCGAAACCAAACGCGAGAAATCCAACATCCATGCTTCAACATCATCAGCATCGGTGAAAAATTGATGATAATCATTACCTTCACGTAGTGCGATATTACGTAAAGCTTGCAATTCTTTGAGATTATCCCAAGATGCTAGAATTTCATCCGTACGACGTTTAATATCATCGGCACCATAATGACCACTATTGGCGAAATCATACCATGCATTCACGGCATTCTGTAGTTGTTGATAATGTGCAGCAATTTCATCTTCAAGTGCACGATTTTTACTAATCAACAATTGATTCGTTGTAACATCATGTCCAATTTCATTCGATGATAGGATCTGTTCTTTTTCTTTGATCCATGCTTCTTCTTCGGCCATATCCCAATAATATTGACATAATTTTTTCGATTCTTCCAATTTACGTCGTCTAGTATCGGCCAATTGATATAATTCAGTGAATGCTGCTTCTAATTCTTCCAGACGATCATCAATAAGCTGTGGATCACATGGTTTAAATCCATCTGGTCCTTCTTCATCACGAATCTGTTTCAGATTCTGTGCCACCGTTTTGACTCGTTCGCTGAGTACATTAATATCGGCTTCTATCAAAGTATGTTTCTGTATCAAATCTTCGACGCTCATCAGATGTTTACCATAATCATCTGTGAGTAAGCGGCCTTTAATTTCGTTGATTGAATCTTGAATATAATTCACTTCTTGCAATGCTTTCTGCAGATTCAAACACATTTCCAGACGTGTACGACGATTTTTCAACAATTCCTGTAGATAAGTCCATAATCGTAGAACATTATCTTTACGTGTATTGATTCGATTAATGGCATGATAATTTTCCGATTCAAGTTCCAATGCAACCTGAACGACGGCTTGAACACGTTCTTGATAGGCAGATATATCTGTTTCGATTGCTTCATGTTTTTTAGCTGCAGCTTCAACAGCTGATAAATCATTGCCGAAATTTTCATGCAAAACAAGACGTTGATTTTCATTCAACCATGTTTCACGCATACCAGCTTTACGATCAAACCGAGCGGCTAATTGTTCCAATTTTTCTTGTCGTATCAATTCTTCACGTAACGCAAGTTCACGTTCATGTTCAGCTTTTTCCAAATGTTCCCATGCTTTATTTATATCGGAAATCATTTTACCCTCACGTGGTGTATACGGTTTTTGATTATTTGCACGCATTTGACTTTGCAATGTGAACAACAAAATTTCCAGATTACCTTTTTCATCGAATTTTGGTGGTTTTTCAATCGTACGATAATTGTTAAATTGTTGCAGATCATTTTGTACACCGGTCAATGAATTAGCAAATTGTCTATCGGATAATGTATCGATTTTCATTTCAATCCATTTAAGTAAGTCACTTGTCAATCGTTCATAATCAGCAATCATTTTTTCTGTTTCCATTGTTTGACCAATAACTTTACCGATTCTTCGTCCCTGTACGGTGTCTGCTTTCCATTTGGAGAAATAATGATAATATGTGACCACATATGTAATGATGGATTTTTCATCCGGATTATCCGTATAAACATCTTCAGCATCCAATAATTTCACTAAACCAAGTTTATCTTCGGCCACATTGAATGCGTTATTAAGATTTTGTACCGGATTTGCTTTAGATAATTTTTCATAATTAATCAAATCAGGACGATGTTTATGTATCAATGCATTGAATGCTAGGCCATCTTTCCATGATGTTGTAAAATTACGTACATTAACACTATGATAACCGGCTGTTTTCATTTGACACCATAACAATAGGGCATCTTTGGCTGATTTTGTTTCCTGATTATCCACTTCTTCAATAGTGATATCTTGAATTTGAAATCGTAATATAATGGTCCAAATTAAACCCAATGTTAAACGTGGATTACCATCAACAATATCGTGTGAGCCAAGATTTTCAAAATGAACACGTTGTTCTTTCAACAAGAATTGCAATGCTTTATCCACATTTTCCAAACAATGGATACGCATTTTGCCTTTCGTTGGCCGTTGCAAACGTTCGCCGGATAATATTTCCAATAATTTGATGAGATTTTTTCCATCTCTTAGATCGGTATAAAGATCATTGATACGGATATTGGCACGTGCTAAATGAGAATTGACCCATTTGGTAAATGTTTTCTTTTGTACCAATTCACGTTCCTCTGTGTAACGTAAAAATTTTTCAATTAAAAATTCTTTTAACCAAACAAATTAAGTTTACCTGCCAATGCCTTGATACGGGCACGTTCAAAAAGTCTCGATGAACTATTACCGCCATCATATTCATCGATAAGTATATCTGTATGTGTGATTGGATCATAATGAGCAGAAATATCGGTCGTCATTTTGTATTATCAAACACAGACACACACACACACACTTGATGATCATCAGACAATCAGCTGCCACAAATTTCACTTAAAAAAACACTTTATTTAGCTGCAATGAATTCTGTGTGAATTTTTCGTTGTACCTAAATTATTTGCAAATAAAAAAAACAGAAAAAATGATGAGTTTTATTAGATTTGCTTGTTTGTTTGTTTATTTGGATGAAAAAAAAAATTGAAAACAAACAAACAAACAAACGAAAAAATCTTTATGAATGTCAACAAATTTCGAGGACTCAGTCAATCAATCAATGATCAATAATTTTCACGAAAAGGGGCGCGGTGCCGGTGTTATTACACAGCGATCTATTTAATTTGATCACTTATTTCTCAGAATCAATTATGATTTTGATAACAAGAAATTATTGTTGTTGTCGAGTGATTGATATGAACATAAAAATATCATCATATCATACATACATGCACAAATACACGAGCAAATCAATATATCGATGTTGTGACAAAAAAAATAGATTTCTCAAACAAACAAAAAACAAAGTCATCTTTTATAGATCATCATCATTTTTCTCTGATAAAATTTTCACCAGGATTCCTGTATTTGTTTTCAATCATTTAGATTTTTTTTCTTCTTTGTGCTTACAAAATCTCAATTTTCGAATAAATTCAATATTCGAAATGGGATGGGGTAGTGTGTGGTGTGGTGGGTAAACAAAAAAAAAATTTGGGCAAGATATCCTAATTATTAACCAGAAGAATAATATTTATCATTCACTCTGTATTTTTGATGATGATGATGGTTTGTGTTTTATATTAATGCAATAACCACACCCGAAGAAGAAGAAGAAGAAGAGTGGTGAAGGCGACAACGTTGTTATTGTTGATGATGATGATGATGGCAATGGCGACAGACGAAAAAAAAACAGTGTGTGAGAGAGAGAGAGGGAGAGAGTAGTAGGTTTTTTTTTATTTCTGATGATATCTTGTATCAAAATCACAAAAAAAATATAGACGAAAAAAAAGTGAAAAAGAGAGGTCAAATTTTTTGTTCAATCTCGAATTTGTTCGTTCATTCAATCAATCAATGAAAAATGAATTGAAAATTTTTTTTTTCCTGGTTAGTAGTAGTTTTTGGTTGCCATAACAAACTATATACATCGGTAACAATCAAAATACCTGGCGATGGATTCGCGTGTTTGTTTGGGTAAACATGAAAAAAGGCAACATTTACAGCAATGCAGACAATTTCAACAAGAGAAAATTTTTCACTTCTCATCACCATCAATCATCATTGATCATTAACACAAATTACTTACTTAAATCAGGGGAAAAAATATATGCATTAAATTCAAAAACAAAACAAGAACACAAATCAGATGTAAAATTGTTGCTTATAATAAAGGTGTTTATTATTATTATTATTACAAAGTCACCTGGAACACATTTTATTTTGTTTCGTTTGTTCGTTCTGTCTGTCTGTTTTTATAAAACAAAACAATTTAAAAGTTGGATTTTAAGAAACACAACACACATTTGAAGAAAAAAAAAAAAAAATATGTATCTTTCGGCAAACGATTATTTTTTTTTTTCTTCTTCTTAATTCAATAAACAGCCGAAAATGCCGAAATTTTTTTTTTTTTTTTTGTTCCAATGTTTGAGGATTATGTTTGGGAACTATTACTAAATGGATATCAAGCCACTACCACAATACATAGATACTTTTGCTCGTGTGTGTATTCGAATGGTGGTGGTATTTATTTCTTGGATTTTTTTCTGGTTTCATTTTGAATTTGTATACCACTTCTACACTTGTAAATAGGCATTGCTAATAGCATAATGCAGATCCAGATAACAGCATGGATAAATGATACTGGTGATGAACTTGGGCGTATCCGTACTTCTGTCTGTGTGTGTGTGTGTGTGTGTGAATCTTTGCTGCTGCTGTTGCTGCATTTCCACTATTCGACCTATCTGCTACTATTTCCATCATCATCACCCAGAAACATGACCAACAAATTCAGGACACACCATTTTTTTAATGTGTAATCAGGATACATGATACCCCGACCAAACCCCTGTATTTTGAGATGGTGTGGGGGGATGAAATGAAATGTAATGAATAACTTATGCCATTGACATACAACAACAAACGTATAATAATCATGTCATTGTTAATTTTATTGACATTTCCGGTGAATGAATAAAATACAAAAAAAAATTACAATAATCGGAAATTGGAATATAAAGAATGTTTGTTTTCCTTACATCCTATAACCGGTCGCTTGATATTTTGAAACATAAAAAAAATCGATTCTTATCAAGAACGAAATAATTATCTTAATAGAATGTGTGCTTGTTGAATATGATTATTATCAAGACATCATTGCTGTCGATTGATGCTGCCGCCAACAAGTTGATTTTTTTTTTTTGTTCTGAAATCAACCAAGGCCAAAATGATGCATCTCTTCTCAGTGTGTGTGTGTGTGTGTGTTTGTGTTTCACATTCAAATTTCAAAATTACATTCATATACACAGTTAGAAACAATAGTCATTTAGCCAACTAACCATGTTTTTTTTTCGTAAATGATTATTACTCTGATGATGATCTTTTTTTTATGTGTGTGTATATGATCACGATGATTGGCAAACAGTTGAATATATGATGATGGTATAGTTGTGGTGGCGTTGGCCAAGGCGTGTCACTATTTTTTTTATTTTATTCGTTTGATTAACTATCAAACGACAAAATAAAACCAGGCGTCACAGTCTGTTGTGTTGAATAAAAATAAAAATTCAACAGCATGCCGATGCGATGACTATATAGTAGCAGTTTTTTTTTATTCACCTAAACCCAAATAAATTGTAGGCAAACCAAATGGAAAAAAAATTGAATGAATCATCCACCGTCATCATGATGATGATGATGATGATGATCTGATCAGATCACCCAATGCGCCCAAATAGAAAATTTGATGAATGAATTGAATGAATGAATATCCGCATTGGAAGAAGTCAAATGTATATTATTACAAAATGACATGCGCACATTCAATTACAATTTACAAAAAATGACACGCACTACCCCATCTAGTGTAATAAAATGAAGTTTTTTTTAAAATAATTTTTCATTTTAATAAAATTTAAATTAGTTTTTTTTTTTTTTTGATTTTCCGTGTGATGATAGTGAGTTGGTGAGTTCTGTTCCACATTTTTTTTCAAAATGATCCAAGAGTATTAAATTCAGATCCATCCACTTGTTAATTTAAAGAATAGATTTTCATTCAATGTTTGATTATGTTCTTTTGAACGCATCGATAAGAATATATAGCCGCCGATGAATTCATGTGGTACTTTACAATCGGCACTAAGACATTCAAATTCCAACATTTCATCATCGAATTCAACACATAATTTTTTTATTTCCCAATTAACGTTCCATGATTTCATACGTGCATAGGGCCATGTACGAATTGTATCACCAGTATGCATATCAATACGTACAAGACGATTGGGAGCAATGCCAAGAATTTCCTTGAATAATAATACAAAAATAGATGAATGAGAAAAAAAAACGTTACTACTACTCATCATTCATGGTGTAATGCAGAATGAGATCTAAAAATAGATTTTTCATGCACAATAATAATAATAATAAATGTATGTATATAATACCTCTCTTTTAGTATTCAAAAAATGGACAACAAAAAATGAAAGTCCAAATTTTGGTAATGCTTGCCATGCACGAATATAATTCAATTTACATTGTAATGATGGCATTGATTTAAAATTTCCATGTGAATCATAGATTCTGTTTGTTACCTTTATCGAGAGAGTAAATGAAAATTTTGGTTAGAATTCAAAAAAAAAAATATTTTCATTTCTTTTACTTACATGTTGATCACGTCGTCTTAAAAATCTTAAGGCTATATAATCATCGGGATTAATTGCAATTTTATTCGATTGTGTAGGCATCACTGGTGATCCGGAATATTGTTGTTTTTTCAGAAAATCTCTCGTTGTTTGTACTTCGGTACGATATGATGCATCAGCCATTGTCCGTCCTTTGGTTGCTAAACGACAAGCAGTTATCCATTCTGCATATTGTTTTTCCGATTCACATCGTAGCCAATATTCCGTTTGTCCATCATCATTATAATTATGTATTTTGAAACCATATTTATTCTGTGTAACATTCAGATCTGGTGTTATATCACAACCTTTTAGATTGATAATAAATGCTGGTGATCCTTGACGATCTTCAATACTTTTATATAATTTCAGATTCGTATCTTTCAATATGAAATAATAACGTTTAAAATTTTTCAATGTAAATAATTTATGTTTAGCAAAACGTAGATAACCGGACAGTTCGGGTATATCGGAATAGCCATAATTAATTGTTGATGTACCATTGGATTGTTGTTGATAATTATATTGAATTGCATTGGATCCTTCTAATGTTAATTGTAATTCATCCAACGCTGCATCAATATCATCATTGACTTCAATGTATTGATCATTTGGATCTGGATTCAATGCCAATATATTGATTTGTAATTGTAGGCCAGCAAATAGAAACATTTCTTCTTCAGTACAATCAACTTCTTCTGTGATCAATGACCATTTTGCTTGTTCATATAGTTGATTGATGCGTACGGCATCCAATTTTGGATTTAAATCATAGAAATTATAATATTTAAAACGCAATAATAGAAGGTCATATTCACGAACACCTTGTTCATAAATGGAAAGATTTGAATCTAACCAACCGGCATTAAGTCGTGCTTTTTCAATCAATGATTTTGGACGTAATAATGTTGCTTTTCCTTCAGCACTAGGTGTTACCGGGCTTGTCATCAATGTTGGTTTGACAGCTTCAACTGGATATAGAAAGCTTGGTTTTTCCACTGGTACATTACGAGCCGTGGCTATAATTGGACCACTATTATTTCCATTCATGGATGATGGTGCAAAATCGACAAATGGTTGTGCACTCATAGCACGGGTCAATGTGCTAACATTGGTCACCTGATTCAATGTACTTTCATTCTGTGTAATCGGTCCAATTTGATCAAATTGTCGTTGCAGTGGTGTAATATCAAGATTTGGATAATTTTGTTTCAAATGTGCCATTATTAATGGCCTAGAGAAAGATAATTCTTCTGCATGACGAATACCAAGATCATCACAAAGCTGTACAACGGCATTAAAAGTTGGTATGGAAAAATCCACTCTTGAATCAACATAACGAAGATCGGGTAATTGAACACGAAGATTTTTATGCATCGGTGTAAAATGCAACAACGTATCGGCCTGTATACCGGCCTGATCCAATGTTGTTCGTGTACGTTTTAGCCATTGATTTTTCATTGGCCACCATAATGCATGATCAGACCAATCGGCCGTTACATCTAATAGAAAGAAGAACAAAAAAAAGAATTGGTTTACAAAATTTCATCTTGTCTTTGAATATAATATAAAAAAACTAGCTTAGGCGCGCATTCACATCCATATATGGAATATTTGTCGATGGTGCAATTCAGCTGCCTACACACACACACACACACACATCAAGTTGATTTGATTAGCCACAATGAGAAAAAATTCAGGCCAATCACATACACAAAAACAAACAAATATTCATTTTGGATCAAATTACAAATAAAAAAAAAGAATTTTTTTAAGAAAACCAAAAAAAAACTTACCAAGCTCTTCAACAAGTTTCAATATCAATCCACCAATATGCATATCACCTTTAGCACGTAATCTTTTTTCAATTTTCAAATCGGTAACAACAATTCGTAGCTCCCAAGAGCCATCATTGATTAGACCATGTGTTAACATTGTTATTGTTCCACAATAATGATGTTGAATTCAAAGGTCACAACAACCAAAATAAAAAAAAAATGAAGAATAATCGAAATGAAACACAGAATAACAACCGACGCTTATGATGATGATGATTGTTGCCGCGCGCGATTGATGTTGACTGAATGATTTCAACTTTCGATATGTGCATATATGATGATGCTAGGCTTCGGTTTATTTTTTTCCCAATTCAAACAATTTTCGGCAAAAAAAGATGTGTAGGCGTTCTACTCTCTTTCTCGAAGAAGAAGAAGAAAACTTGTGAGAGGAGAGAGAAGAACAAGATGTTGAATTGTAATGTGTGTTTGCTTTAAATGGAAAGCTGCTGCTGCTGCTTCTGTTAAATATATGAAGAACTGGATGTTGAACAATTCATTTTGATAGTGTTGTTGATGTTTGGATGTTGAAGACTTTTTTTTTCGTGTTTGCATTGCAATTTGGTAAACTATATGAACAACAGAAAAAATGAAAGAAAAAACATTTATAGTTAGTTTGAATGAATAAACAAAATGAACAAATTTGTTACGAATTATTTTATTCATGGCCTTCGACCTGTTGTTGTTGTTGTTGAACGATTCCACGATTTTCCAAATATAAAAAATATTCGAATCTGTCTAATTTAATCCAAATGATGATGATGATGAGGAATATGCGTATACGGTGGTGGTGGAAATAGAATAAAACCGATGTTCAAAGATGGCGCCATTTTTTGTGATAAAAAAAATTCGAAAATTGAGAACATTTCGTAATATGAAAAACGCACGCACACACACACACAAAGAATGACCCTGAAACTGAATATGTTGTGTAAATACCTGGTTTTGTTTTTTCTGTTTTTGTTGTTGTTGTTTTCATTCATCCATAGTGCGATATGGGGAGCTGAACAGGGGTACGAAATATTCTGGAACATCATCTGGCAGTTTGGTTTCACTCATGCTGTATAGCACCGAAAAAAAAATTGGTGTCGCTTGTAAAATGTTCATGATCATGTTGTTGTAACATTTTTTCTTTTATTCATTCTTTCATTGAAATTGGAGAATATTCTTGATATAGCAAATGTATAAGTCAACAACAACGACAGCAGCAGTATAGAAAAAAAAATGAGAGCAAAAATGATCGACCACAACAGAACCACATTCGATGGAATCGTGTGAGCATAATCAGAAAAAAAACAACAAACGTCAAAAGAAACAGCATCAGCAGCAGCAGTTTGTTCCAATTTTTCCATTGTATATGAAAAAAAATATTCCATTGGATTAAATTCTCTCTTTTTCTCTCTTTCACAACAATTTTTTAGGTGCTCAATATATTCGCAGAATATTGTTTCAAACAAACAAAGAGAATGAAAAATATGAAATAGGTGCAATTGTAGTCAACCTGGTGTTGTGTTTGTGTGTGTGTTGGAAAAATGGAAAAGAATTTTTTTTTCCATATTGAATCTACCATATTGTGTAAGTGGAAATGATTTTTTTGTTCGGTTTTTTTTAAATTTTTTTTTTTCTCTCTTCTGGAACAATTAGATGTCAAAAAATGAATAAATTGTGATTCGATCGATTGGTGTGATGAATATCCTCATTAACATCAAATATGACGACGATAACAAACATTTTACACAATCATCATTTATCGATCATGATTTTTTCGTTAATCATCGTTATCATTTTGTTAATTTTATTAATATTTATAACAAAAACAAGAAAACTCAATTATCAAAGTATATTACGTTATTTTCAAACAAAAACATTATCATCATCATGTTGGTGTTGTCATTCGAAACAAAAACACAATAATGGTACCGCTATCACATCGAATAAAGAACGAATATCAAAAGAATTGATAAAATCATTTTCATCATCATTGGAACAGAATAATAATGCCGATGATGATGATGATGATGATGATGATGGTGATGGTGATGTCAATGTTGATGATAATAATCGCCATCATATGATGATGATGATGGCAACAGCAGCAGCTAATAATCCAAATGATGATACATCTGATTATTATTGTGATGAAGACGAAGATTTAATGAGACAATTACAGCAGCCAATTGATAAAGTTTCAAATAATAATAATAATAATACAGATTATTATATTGCAAAATTGAATGAATGCCTTAATGAAACGAATGAATGGTATCGAACACATCAACAACTACAGCAGCCAATAATACAAAGATCGAATATCGAACATCAACATCAACATCATCATCATGAATATGTATCATCACCTGAAAATGAACGATTAATTCCAATCAAATCCATGACCAATGGCGGGGCAAAAATTCAACGACAACATAGTATATGTCTTAATGATAATGAAATTGTTCCAAATTTTTATTCATCAGATAATAAAAATCATCATCATCGTTCACGTAATATATTGAAACAACAAGCTATTTATGCATCGATTGCATTGAAAAATAATGCCAAAACATTTGAAATGTTTTTATCTGATGATTGGCAAAATAATCCAAATAAGAATCGAAAGAAAATGACGACGACGACGACGAATGATTTAATATCATTAGCTGAAAAAGGTCGTATTGGTAAACAAATATCAACCGATGGTTCAGTATCAAGTGAAACTGGTAGTACTGAAGATGCAATTATTTTGGCTACAACAACAACAACAGCAGCAGCAGCAACTAATAATAATAAACGTAGTTTATTATTAAAACGTATGAAAACAAATGAATCAAGTGAAACTAATGATTCAAATAACAATGAAAATAAATATCAAACATTGAATAATTATGATCCAAATAATTATGATGAATCGGATACACAATCATCAAATTTACAAGATTTTTCACCAAATACAACATTATCTGAAAGAAATTTAACAACAACATTATCATCATCATCACCGCAACAACAAATAATGATGATTAAAAGCGGTCGATTAGAGATAAGTTTTGCATATGATGCACCAAGCAAAAAACTTTATGTCATTGTCATTCAAGGTGATGAAATAGCATATAAAGACCAACAACAACAACAACACAGTAATGTTTGTCAGATTTATGTGAAAATCATACTGTTACCGCATAAAAAGCAAAAATTTCGTACAAAATCCAAGCCAATATTTTGTCCAGTATTCGATGAAACATTTACATTTAATCGAATCAATCCGGATGAGATTTCAAATTTAGGTTTACGTTTTCGGGTGTTTAGTGTTGGTTTCACTAGGAAAACCTATTTGATTGGTATGTAAATTACCTGATAATAAATGTAATTAATCATTTGATTAACCACCGCCATTGCCACAGGTGAAAGCCGTATATCATTTGCATGTATAAAACCACAACAACAAGAGACAAAATTATGGTTTACATTGGAGCTTCCTGCAACGAAAAGAAATCGGGTAATTTGATTCCAATTTGAATGTTCGTAATTGAATTCACTTTTTTTTCTCGCACAAATACAGTTATTAGATTTGGAATCATCAAGTCTTGCACGTACAGATAGTACATCATCACAATCATTGCAGAATAGTTCGCCAGAACTTTTATTAAGTCTCGCTTATAATGGTACAACCGGTAGATTAAGTGTGACAATGATCAAAGGTGTGAAAAAAAAAACAAAACTTGTTGATTATTAAAATAACTTTTTTACCAATCTATTTGCAGGAAGTCAATTTCGTAGCCTATCTACACGTACACCGGATACATATATAAAATTATTACTTGTATCACAAAATGGTAATGAAATGGCACGTGGTAAAACACGTGTATGCCGCGGGCAACCAAATCCATTGTTTCGGGAAACATTTGTTTTTCAAGTGGCATTATTTCAATTACCAGATGTAACATTGATGATTTTCGTCTATAATAAACGTAGCATAAAACGTAAAGAAATGATTGGTTGGATATCATTGGGCTATAATAGTAGCGGTGATGAAGAATTATCACATTGGAATGATATGCGTGATAATAAAGGTGAACAAGTTTCTAGATGGCATGTACTTCATGAACCTTGAAACATCATCAAGTTACAGACGAATAATCGATTGGAAAAAATTGGAAAAAAATCATATCCGAAAACACGTGCGTGGAGAAAAAAAAATTTGATGTTTTCCAGAATTTATTGATCATATTTTTGTTGTTGTTGCTGCTCTTGTTTTCTTTTTTTTTCTCTGGTGTGTATGTGTGTGTGTGTTTGTTTTTTTCCTTTATCATCATCGACCAATTAATCATCAAATTTCATTCATTCATTCATCTGTATACCCACCCAATCAATACCCAATACCCAAAACAAAAATACTACAGTCTTACAGTGCAGTATTTAATCGATTTTTTTTTCGTCTCTACATTTATGAAAAAAAAGTGTGATGAAATCTACAAAAAAATTTATTATTCCACCAATATATATGCTATATATATGTAGAGTAGTAGTCTCCACAGTAGACAGAATTTCAACCAAAAAAAAAAAATCATAATTTAACAATTCAAAAAAGTGAGATTTAGTTACGGGACCAAAAAAAAAAAAAAAACAACAACAAAAAATGACGATCCAGAGTAATATGAATGATACAAACACATACAAAATGGAAAAGGTGGAATTTTTTTTTTTTTTAATGAAAATGTCATGTGATTTGAAAAATTTTTATTCAATTTGATTCAGAGAGACAGGGAAAGAAATTTTATTGAAATGTTTATCTCTTTTTTTGACGACGATTATTATTATTATTATGAAGAAATTTTTATCAATCACTTTATCTTCTCTATTTTTTTTTTGTCTGGTTTTCTTTTCTCACCCAATTTATTCAATGTTTACAAATATATAATAATTTTATTTTACTGTTTTGACAACAACAACAACAACAAAAAAAAAAACACCACAATAACAACAACAAAATACTTGGATGTTATTGATTGTTATTATAAATTATTTATATAAATTTATCATCTGTTTTTTTTTTTTTCGTTGAAAACTATGATTTGTATATGGATGTTGTTGTTGGCGTATGGTTGGGTGTGTATGGAAATTATTTAAATAAACAATGAAAAAAAAATTCAATGTTCAATTGTTTCGTCGAGTTGAATATCAAAAAAAAAAAAATTAATTAATTTGCACTAAAGTAATCTATATATATATGTGGATGGTCAATAAAATTACATTTGATTTTCATAAAATACAAACAGACAGTAATGAAAAATCATACACAACCATATTCATACCAAATTGAATTTGAACCATTATTATTGTTGTTGTTGTTTGTATTGGAAATATTTTCTTGATTATTTAAAATTCCATTCATCATATTCGATGATGATGGATCCAATGGTGGTGGTGGTGGTGGTGGTGGTGATGATGATGATGATGTAATCACAGTTTCCGTTGTAGTAGTAGTTATCGTATTATTATTTTGATTATTATTATTCATTGCATTATTATGAATCTGAATACTTATATTATTATTATCATTATTATTCAGGTTATTGTTACTGAAACCATTTGATATTGTCTGAATACTATCACTTGTAATTGTTATTCTTGAACGTGTCGATACATTATTATCGTGATGATCTTTTTCTATTATTACATCATGATTATGATTCTGATGATGATTTGATGATGTCGATGTTGTTGACGATGATGATGATGATTTATCTGAATGAAATGATAATGGTGACAATGGATTAAAATTTCTTTGTATTTGATGATTATGTTGTTGTTGTTGTTGTTGTTGTTGATTATTATTGTTGACACGAACACGATTCGATGATAAACATACAATTTGTTGCTGCTGCTGTTGTGCAGAATGTTTATTATTATTCGACGATTGTAACATTTTCATATTCAATGGATATGGTGATTCAGATTTTCGCATCAAATTTCCATAATTGACACTATTACTTTTGAATGAACCTCTCATGAAATTATTATTCATTGTTGTCGCTGATGATGATACTGGTGAACTGATTGTCGATATTGATTTTGCCACCGTAAATGGTGATGTTGATGTTATCTGTAATTTAGAAAATGTGCCATCCATTATGGAATGATGATTATCCAATAATGATGAATTATTGCCTTGTTGTTGATTGCTACAATTATTTCTACTTGATATATTGATTGACATTTTATTTTCATTAGGCATAAATTCTATACTACTGGTCGTTGTGGTCATTGTTGTTTCTTTTGCATTGATTGTTGGATATCTTTGTAATGTATGAGAATTTCTGGGCGGAATACGTGGTGATGATATGATGATCTTCTGGTCCTGAAAGGAGAAAATAAATTTCAATGAATAAAATTAAATGTGTAATTGCAAACCTTTTCATTATTATTATTAATTGAATATTGTCGTAGTAATGCTGAAGAATTGAAAAATTTTCCATCCAAATGACATGATGATGACGATGATGATGATTGAATGGATGGTGTTTCAGCTTCCCATAATAGACCATAAATTGTATCATCAATTCGACTGGATGACGATTGTTGTAAATCAGCGGCGGTCATTGAAGATTTATTATTCGATACACGTGACATATTCTTTTCGAATGATATATCATAATCTTTGAACATTTTTTCCAATCGTTCTTTTTTCATAATCAATTCATGTAATTTATCTTTGATCGTACGTTCACAGCCACAACTTAATTCCATCAATAGATCATTATATTGTGCCAACAGGCTAGCTGATTGTGTGGCCAATTTTTTCCGTTGCTGTTCTAGTGTCGTATTTGTCATGGCAACCATTTCACAATAATTTGATAATTTCGATACCTCAACATTCAATGCATTCATACGATCTTTGCATTCAGCTGTTTCACCTTGTAATTCGGTATGTTTCAATTTTAGATCATTATTATCTGAACGTAATTTCTTATAAATATTCTGCAACATTTTATGTTCAGTTTGTAATCTTTTATGTTCTTCATTCAATGTTTTATATTCATTGTTCAACGATAATAATTTCTCTTCATGATCAACATGTTCTTTTGTTGGTGTGGAATTTTTATCAATTTCCGTACGTAATGTTTCCAATTCTTTTTCTGTATCTTTGACCAATTCATCGTATTTCGTTACTTGCGCATTAAACGCTTCTTCCAATGTTTTATATTCAACTTTTAATTTTTTATATGATTGTTTTAATGTACCATGAATTTTCGTTAAATTTTCATAATCAACTAGCGAGGAAAAAAAAGGGAATTAGTTTTCAATTTCAAAAAAAAAAATTAATGAAGGAATGAAAAATACCTGTCAATTGTTGATGAATCTCTTGCAATGATTCATTATCATTGATCAATAATCGATGTGCTGTTTCATATTCTTCACATTTAATCCTAAGTTTTTCAATTGAATCCTGAATGGCCACCATTTGTTCTTGTAATTCAATTGTTTGACTTTCAAGTGAACTATTTTGTGATTTCAACAGGCTATTCTCTACTTCTAATGTTGCATTTTTATTTTTCAATTCACCGTTCGATTCATTGACTGTGTTCAATTTGGATTCAATCACATCATTACGGCAAACCATTTCCAATTGATGATCTTTTTGTGTCGTTAATTCCGATTTCAGTTGATGATTTTCATCTTCCAATGCAAATATTCTTCGCTGCAATTCATTCAATGAATCTAATGATGATTTTATATCGGATTTTTCATCAATATTCAATTGTCTTTTAAGTGAATTGATTAAATTTTGCATCTCCTGATTACTATCTTTGAGATCCGATAAACGTGCTTGTAGCTCTTGAATATGAGAATCTTTTTCGGTAGAATATTTTTCAATCAATGATTGTAATGTATCATTGATCACGGTCGATACCTGGCCATGTAATAGTGAATCAATATCTTTTGTATTTATACGCGGTTCATTATCATCGCAATTTTCTTCATACAATCGATTCAATGTTTCGACAATTTTACCGAATTCTTCGGAAAATTTTTCAGTTTTCAATTTCTCTTCAACCAATTCATATTGTAATGTGGTCAATGTTTTCCGCTGGACAGCCGATACATTAGCTAAATCTTTATTTTCTTTTTCAGCTTCTTTTAAACGTTGCACCAATTGACCATTCATTTCCATTTCTTTTTTCAATCGTTTATTTTCCAATTCATAAGTGGATAGCTGTCCAGAATTGTCATCAATAATTTTATCTTTAAAATCAATCGATGTTTTTAGTCTATTAATTTCTTTTTCCAGCGATTTATTCTCCTGTTCAAAACGTTGTTTTTCCGTTTCCAAATTGGTCATTTCAATTTCTAGATCGTTCAATTTTTTCAACGACAATCGCAATGAATCAGCATTGGCCATTAATTTTTGATTTTCATTCTCTATCGATTCCAATTCTGAACGATATTCTTCCAATTTTTTCGTTTTCTGTTCAATAACACGTTGATTTTTCTGATTTTCAGCACTTGTCTGCGTGTAATTCTTTTCCATTGTATCATATTTGGCACTTAGATCACGTAATTTCATCTTCATTTCATCATTATCTTTCTCGAGGACCGTTTTTTCCATTTCCACCGTTTTCAATTGAACACAATTTAGATTGATTCTGCCAATCCATTCTTTGATTTGACTTAATTTTTCAATTTTACTTTTTACATTAGAATCATATCCACTTTCGGTATTGTTGTCGGTTTCAGATGATGACACATTAGTATTCATGGCAATGGCATCGATATTTTTAAACAATGATAATACTGAATCAACATCGATATAATTGTTTTGATAGTCTTCGACCATTGTTTGCAGTTTTTTATTTTCATGTTCCAATTTCAACAATCTTTTCGATGCATCTTGATTGATTTGATCATACAGATTTCCTTCTTCATTTTTCATCATTGTTTCATGATTCAAACGCATCTGTGTACGTAAATCGGTCAATTCTTGTTGTACACGATTCAGTTCTTCATTTGTGAATTTTTTCTCCAATCTTAAATGTGAAATTTCTTCAATTAATCGTTCGATTTGATTTTTATCTAATTCTCGTTGTAAATTTAGTTCATTACTATGGGTTGTTAATTTAAGTATTTTTTCCTCTAATTCAGGTATTTTTTCCGCACGTTTACGACTTGCTTCTAGCTGATCTTCGAGCATTGTTTTCGTTTCACCAAGTATTCGATTATCTTCACGTAGTTCTTCTACACGTGTTTTACAATAATCAAGTTCATTCATTTTATCACGATAACGTTGAACTTCAGCTTCAAGCCGATCGATTTTTCGACAACGTTCATTAAGTACATCGATTTCATCACGATATGCTTTCGCGGTTCTTGCTTCCTGTGTTAATTCCAGGTTATCATGTCTTAATTTATTATAAAATTCTTTATTCTGTTCAATCACTTCTTTTAATTCGGTTATGATTTCATTTTTTTCTTCCAATTCCTGTTGTAATCGCCGTAGCTTGGATTTACAATCGGCCAATTCAACTAGGTAATGAGATTTTTGATCACAATGATTCACAGAAGTATTTTGTAATTGTAGTAGACTAGAATTTGATGAAGATTGATCGGTATTTGCTTGTATTGATAAACTAAGCATTTCACAGGATAGATCGACAACACGTTGATATAATTGATCACGTTCATTGGTTAGCCTATTTATAAGGCCAACCATTATCATATAAAGACGTTCTTTTTCATTTTCATCATCAGGTGGTATATTCCATTCTGACAATAAAAATACCGATTCTGGATTATCCGTTATCTGTTGTATACATTCCACTATTGAATGCTGTACCGAGATGTCTAATTGTTTAATTTTTTCAATAAATATTTCTTTATGTTCACATTGTACAGCACAACCAAGTATGAGTAACAATAATGTTTGTAAATCATCATAATTACTATATGATGTTGATGTAGATGTCGATGATGATGATGATGATGATTGATAATAATGATTCATAAGATTATATAATGGATTATTCTGCGGTATCGATAACCATAATTCATCATTACATTGGAAGGCAATTTTTGTTACATCAGGCAAACGAAGTACCAATAATTGATCAAGAACATTTTGATAGAAATTTTTTATATTCTGCAATAGAATATTTAAATTTTTTATCCTTATAGATGAATTGGCAATTTCGGTATTTGTTGCCGATGTTGTTGTCGTTGTCGATGATATTGAATCGGTTATAATGTGTAATGGATTTGCATCGCTATTATAATACGAATAACAGATCAGATTAAATTATGAAATTCAAATTGTTGTAAACAAAAAAAAAAATCTCACATTTGAAGCCATGCTTTATTCAGATAAATACCATGACATAGATCATTATAATCATTGCAATTTTCTTCCAATAATGTTTTGAGCTATAGCAAAAACCAAAAAAAAAAAAAAAAAAATTTATTGAATTTCTATCATTTGCTCTGTGTGTTTTTTGATGAGTCAAAATACAACTTTTTCAAACAAAACTGACTAATAATTTCAAGGAAAAATAAAAATAAAATGTCATGACATGAATGATAATGAATGGGTCATGGGTTTTTTTCCATTCATTGAATTCAGAAAAAAACAAACAAAAAAAATTTCAGCCTAATCATGGTGATGACTTTGAAATCGACCTAAATTGTGATAAAACGAATGATGAATTTTATCCATGTCTATATTTATCTGAACATTTATATATATTGATGATTAATTAATTAAATACATCTAATCGTCTTGTTTTTTTATATATATTTTATTTATTGACTTGTCATCATCATCAACAATGGCATAGAATTTTTTTTTCTTTTCGCAGGTTCTTTTTGTTTTTTTAATCATCTCATAGAGAGAGAGAGAGACAACGAAATAGAAAACTGGCCATTGTTTGTTTGTTTGGTTTTTCAATGGTCAAAATAAAACAAAAGAACAAAAAAAAATTGAAATAAAATAAATGATGATGACCAGATAGGTAAACATAGTGAACAGGATATATTATATCAACACAAATGGGGCAATTCCTATTCTCTCTCTCTCCATTTCTCTTTTTTATTTTCACTTACCCAAGTTACAAGTGGACTTTGCATAAAACTTGTTCGTGATTGTTGTTGTATACTCATCATTTTTTTTTCTGATTTAACGTTGCTGCTTCTGTTGTTGTTTTGTTGAACACATAAAAAAAAATTTGATGTGGAAGAAATGGAAAATTTTTCTCTTTTGTTTTGTTTTGTTTTGTTTGATCAAAAAAAAAACCAAACAAATTTAGATTCAGATTATAAGACGATTATTAATGAATGATGATGATGATGATTGTTTGTATTTAGAGCATCACTTTCAACAAGTGCTCGTGTTCGATGATGATGGTGATCATTCATTCATTCATTCATTCGTACAAACAACAGAAACAACAAATTATCATTATCCAATTGAAATTGATTTTATTTGATCAATCGATTGACTGATTGATTGATTGATTGATTGACAAATCGGAAAAAAAAGTTGAATAAAAAAGGCTTTCTATTTTCAATTTATAGATGAAAAATATAAATAACTTTTTTGTTGTACTAAAAACATTCATTCATTCATTTAAATACACACACACACAAATGACAAAATAGAATAATCACAAGCAAAAAAAAATGGGCATCATTTGAACCAACAACAAACAAACAAACAAACAAACAGAAAAAACAGCAACAACAACAACAAACAATGAAAACAAAGAAGGAAATATTCAAGTTTTTTTTTGATGTCAAAGAATTTTTTTCATCCGATTGATTAATTGATTGATTGATTGATGAAAAAATTCTATTATCTTCTTCACAAGACAATAATAATCGAATTCGGTTTGTTTGGAATTTTAAAAATATTTTAAAACAAAAAAAAAAGATTCGAAATCTATTTACACACAAACAGACTATGGGTGGATGAATGAATCGATCGAATTTGAATCAATTTTTGTTTTATTTTCTTCATAATAATGCGAAAATAAAAAAAAAATCGGATCATTCAACGATCATCGGTTGTTGTTGTTGTATATCGTCATCTCATTTCACATTTCATTTTATTCGTTGTTGTTGTTTTTTTTTATTCTATCGAATCAAACAAAATGTTCAAGTCACACGCACACACACACACACACACATACGAACACACGAACACGAAGAAGAAAAACATGAAAATGAATGAGAGACCCGAATTATTTTACCATGGTTTCATTTTGAAAAAGAGACAGAGACAGAGAGAGAAGAACCATTCAGCCATACGAAAATACGAAAAAAACATAAAACAGACAAACAAACAACAACAACAACAACGAAAAAGAAGACGACGACGACCGATCAAATTGACAATACGCATGCGTTACGATAATTCATTGAAGAAACAAAAAAAAAAATGAAAATGAAAAATTACAGAAATCCCAAATGTGGCTTTTTATGTTGTATGGTATACTGGTTGATTGGTTTGTTGAATGGTTGGTTGGTTGGTTAGTTGGTTGGTGTGTATCAACCATAGTTTCCGGACAAACTGGCTTTTTTTCTTTATGATGATCAATGATGATGATGATCCAGTGGTCGTTGTTGTTGGTGGTGGTGGTGGTGGTGGTGGCCTGTTGTTACAACAGAGAAAAATAACACTTTTTTAGCCACTTTTATTCCGTATACTCTGTGCTCTTTGTGTGTGTGTGTTTCTTTCGTAAAAGTAATTCAGATTTTTTTTCAAGTGTATATACAAAGTCCGTATGGTAAAAGCTTGTCCATTGTGTGTGTGTGGATCTCCATCTTCGTTATTAAGTTATGTTTCTTGATGGCGATGATGACTGTTGATGGTTGCAATCCTGGCCACCATCATCACCACCACCACCACCACCACAATCACCACCCGAACAAACAACAGAGAAAAATTGAAACACGTTTGAAATCACACCTGTCCGTTTTAATGTTGATGATTGCAATATATATAGTATAGTCGAATTAATATTCCAATGAAGAAAGAAAGAAAGAGAAACATTTTCCATTCTACACAACAATGGGTTAATAATAATAATAATATGATTCCAAAACATCCATTGTTTTTTTTGTGCTCTGAAATCAAATCAAAAAAAAAAAAAAAAATTGAAGTTTGAAGTTTCAAGATTTTTTTCTTTCTCCTTTTCCATAAACATTCAATTTGAAGACAGCTGTTTATTCGAAAATAACAGCAAAAAAAAACCCATTGATGCAAAATTCAGCAACAACAAAAAAAATTCCAATCAAATCGATAAATGGATCGATTTGATTTTTGTCCAAAAACAAAAAAAAAATCATCTCAGGTTCCATCATGGTGAATGCCAATGGATATAGAAATGAAACACAAAAATTATGATAATCAAAGATTAATCTAGCACACAACTTGTTTATCAGGAGATTTTGCGTTGGTTTCATCATTGTTGTTGTTGTTGTTGTTGAAAACAATTGAAATTTTTTGTCGTTGTCGTTGTTGTTGTCATTGTTGTTGTATTGTCATCATCATCACGCACATAAATTGCATATTACATACATTTTACCATCTTGATGATGAACAGGTGTGTACGTTTATCGGTTAGAATTTGTTTAAATTTGAGAAAAAAAAAATTTTGTTTCGTTTTTTTTTGACTGATTTGGTAGCAAAATAAATTTTTCAAACTACTGTTATTAATCACAGACGATAGATGGCGCTAGTGAATTGGATAATTTTAAAAATTTTTTTTTTTTAAACACAATTATTATTATCAATTAATTGGAAATCAGATTTGTTATGACAACGGTGGAAAAATTATGATAAAAAAATAAAAATTGTTTTACCACGTGTCACAATTCATTAACAACAAAAAAAAAAATCATCATCATCATCATTGAATATAGATGAAATTATGAATAAAAAAATATTAACACTTTCATCGCCATCATCATTATTGGTCATTTTTATCGTTGTGATTTTCATCAACATTTCTATGGCCCATAATAATCAAAATAATAATGGTGGTGGTGGTGGTGGTGGTAGTGGTGGATCAATTTTATACAATAAAAATTTCGAGTAAGTTGAAAATTGTAAAACAAAACCAAAAAAATTAACCCTTTATTAGACATATTAAACATGATTTAAAGGAACAATATTTTATCGATGTGAATGACGATCCAAATGGCCACCAACAACCACAAACACAACAGGAAGAAAGAGATATGATTTTCTATAATTTTAAATTACATGATTATGATGATAATCTACGATTGGATGGTCTAGAGATTTTATCATCAATCTATCATGACATGGAACCATCATCAAATGATGATTTGAAAAAGGTTTGTTCGTGCTTGTTTGTTTGCTTTTTGTTTTTTTATTTTTGATTTTTGTCATGTGTTAGATGACCAGCGACCAGTTACGTCAATATTGGCATGAACAAATTTCGCTTGATGCAGGTAAAATTGATCAAATTTTAACCCTTTTTGATCTAGATAATGATGGCTATATTTCATATGGAGAATATTTGCTTAGCCTGAATATTTGAAAAAACCAAAATCAATCAATCAATCAATCAATCAATCGATCAATTTAAATTTAATAATAATTTATTGTCGAATAAACAAGAAATTTTCATTTTTAAAAAAATTTCATATTTTAATCATGCGGATGGGTGGTTTGGTGGGCGTGTTTGATAAATAGATTCTGTTGATAGCCAATAGAATCATCATCATCACCATCAACTACAACAATGTATAAGCATCATCCTCATCACACAAACAGCAGCAGCAGCAGCAGCTAGAGAACTAGAAACAACAACGATGACGATGACGACGACGACTACGAGAATCCCCAGATGAATTTAAATGAGTTTTTTCTTCTTCTTCTTTCTCTTTTTTGCCTGGTTTGATTGGAATAGAATTTCGTAAATTAGTGAAAGACCAAAATGCGAGATAGATAGATAGATAGAGATACTGAAAAGCTAAGCTTTATATATGGATGGATGGATGGTTGGATGGATGTTATAGAATGATGGGGCAAAAAAAACGGAATATTCACTTTTTGCTTTTTTTGTGTGTGTACAAATTCTGCAAAAAAGGGAAGAATTTGCTATTCCTATGAATTTATCTATCTCTCGCCCTGTATACTACAGAATCAATGATGATGATGATGATGATGATGGAAAAATGAACTCAACCTGTTTATGTGAAGAATGCTTTTGGTGTATTTCCATAGACACCCTATAGAATAGAATGGAAAAAATTATCAAATGATGATGTTGGTTGTTGTTGTGACTTTTCACTATTTTTCTTCATCTTCTCTCTCTCTCTCTCTAGTTTCCAGTGAAAATCCAGAAAAAGCATCAACATCATCATCATCATGAAACATTCGTACACAATACGCCAACAAAGTTTTTCAAAAAAAAAAAAAAATCAAGAATCAAGAATAATAAATTGGCTTGTTCACAGCCAGAAAATGAAACGAACAATAACTCATCATCATTCATACACACACACACACACACACACACATCGAAAGAATTTTGGACACCAACTATAGTTGGAATTCTCATTTTGTTTTCTTCACTTCTTTTGGAACTAGAATTTCATTTTTTTTTTTTCATTCTCATCATTCCATTGGAATCATTGGAATCAAGAGGAAAAAAAAGTGAATATTGCTCGGTTGGCTAGCTGGTTGGTTGGTTGGTTGGTTGGTTATTGTATATATATAGAACATGTGTGCGTGTGTGTGTGTGTTCATCGAAACACTTTTCGAATCAATTGGGTGTGAATATAGTGAATGGAATAAAATCATCACCATCATCATCATGTCGTCATCACGAGAACAAAAAAAAAAAAAAAAAAAATGAGCTCAGGTGTCCATCAAAAAAAAAAAATTCTGAATGTTTCTTTGTGTGTGTGTGTGTATTGAGTCGATCTCTTTCTCTTCACTGGAAATGAATTTGTTATTTATGGATAAATAAATGAAGAGAGAGAGAGAGAGAGAGAAGAATCCAGAAAGATGGCAAAAATAATCTTGATTTACAAGAAAATTTTTTTGGAAAATTCATTTCTGTGTTTTTTTTCTTCATTGTTGGTAATTGATTTTTTTTCTTTCTGTCTCTCGATAGATTGATGATGAATACACACATTCACAATCGGACTTTTCATCATTATGTTTTTTGTTGTTGTTGTTGTTGTTGTTGTTTGTTTGCAAATTTACCACGTTTGTGCACGTGTGGTGTTGATATTTTTTCCACTTTTCACATTTTCACATTTTGTATTCATATTCTCAAATTACACTTGATCGGTCAATAAAATTTTTTGGCCGATGTATAAAATAAAAGAGACATACATAGATAGAGGAAAAAGAGTCACTTGTGTGCACATGTAGTACATGTGCGATCCATTTGTTCATCATCATCATCATCAAAATACCCGATGATGATGATGATGATGATGATTCGGATTTGGATTCAGATTCGGTGATATTCAATGAACAAAAAAAAAAAAAAAGATTCAAATTACCGACCCGCTGGGCGGGACACCTGCTGTTTATTATGGTGTTGTTGTCGTATACATTTGAGGATTTATAAAATAAAACACGACATGCATAACGTACGTAGGATCGTACGCGTGTACGAAATATTAACCGAAAAAAATGACACCATTGTCATCATCGGCTATTCATACACCGAATGAATTTGTGATTGCAATCCATTAATTAGAACATAATCATCCTCAATAACCTTTGATAATGGTTTCAATTTGTTTTTTTCTAGTTTTTTTTACATTTTTCAAAAAATGAACATCATGAAAATGATGATACTAAAACATATTGAAACACTGACAGGTGCTTGAAAACAATGAACGAATGATGACAATATAATTTTAAAAACTCAAGATGTTTTATATTTCTGTCATAATCAATCAATAATCAATAATGATTTCATTCGACTTGGAAGTTTAGACTTGAAAAAAAAATTTTCCACAAAATCAAGACCTATATATGGTGTGTACTGCGACGTGGAGAAAAATATTCCAAGGAGCAAGATGAATTCCCCAAATGAATGAATGAACCAACAACCAACAACAAAAAAAATGCATATTATTGTACACAAGTAAATCATCATAGAGAAAAACTGTGCACTGTGTGTGTGTGTGTGTGTGTGTTTCGATAATTGAAAAACACAGAAAGTAAGAGGTTTTTTTTCCACTTTCTCCATTTTCCATCCATCCATCCATTCTATCTACTTTATTTTTCTTTTTCTTCTTCATCATTCTCGTTGTTGTTGTTGTTGTTGTTGTTGCCTATTTGGAATCTTTTTTCTCTCTCTCTCTCTCTTTTCTGCAACTATAAATGATAATAATAGTTTGATAAAAGTGAATGTGTCTGTATAAGTTGTTAAAATGCATTTAATGGATTTAATATCTACAGAATATACTACAGAATCTCACTTTCTCTTTTTGCATTACTTTTTCTTTTGATTTTGTTTGAGAAATGTTCACAAAAACTTGGCTGAAGAGAGAAAAAAAAACCGTAGAACATAAAACTTGAAATAAACTAAAGTAAAGTAAAGTAAAAGTTTTTTTTCCATCATCATTATTTTTGTTTGTGATGTTGAAAATGGAAAAAAAAGAATCACAGAATATTACTGTGTGTGTGTGTAATGTTTATACCGTTTTTTTTTTCTGAATTGAATCAACAACAAAAACATTGGAAAACATTGGTTAAATGTTTTGTTTTTTTTTCTCATTTTCAATGATGACCAAATCGATCCAATGACACATCAAATGAGACACATGATCATAAATATCGATCAATTTTTTTTGAGAGACAAAAAAAAAAAATTTTCTCGATGATGAACACTGAATGTCGGATGATGCAAATGGGGATTCAAATTGGGCATTTTTCTGTTTCTCTTTGAATGAAAATGAAAACAAAAGAGCGATAGATAGATTTAGGAGAAAAAAATGTTTTGGGTTTTTTTTGGCAGTTTTGTTTTTGAAAACACGTAGTAGTTTTTTTTCGTTTTCGACTAAGCGAGAATACTACTGCTGCTGCTGCTGTATTTTTTTGCCATGAAAAATGTTCGTAATCCAGTTATCATCGTCATCATCATCATCATCATCATCATCGTCGACAACAACAGAAACATCATTTTTTTCACTTTGCCATCAGTAAAAGATGAGATAACCAAAAAAAAAAAAAAATTGGACGCAAATTTGAACTATTCTATTTGATTCAAAGCAAAAGAAAAAAGCGATTTTTTTTTTATCCATTGCGTCTGAAAATAATCATTCATGAAAAAAATAGGCGTGTATTCATCACAATCACTTTTTCCGTTTGGTACTTCCCATTTTCAATACTATTAATGTATAAATGAATAGACTATATAGTTGCTATGATCAATGATGATTGGTCAATAAAAATGAATTGAAGGTGTGGTTTGTAGTATTGTAAATTACTACTATTGCTGCTACTACTACTACTACCATTCAATTCTAGTTAGCTGAATTTTTTTTGCACTCCAGAAAAAATTCTAGAATCTCGATTCCATGTCCATCTCATCATCATCATTTTTATATTCTCAAATAATAATGTCCGCTGTGTGTTTGTGTGTTGAAATACTGTAGTTATCCGAAAGCTAGTAGCAGAGTAATGTAACCAACTCACCATAATAGGCTTAATTTATCATCATCATCATCAACAACAACAACAACAAAACACACTACTTGGTATTGATAGTTTGGTAGTATATGATTATCATCATCATCATCATCATCATCATTAGCCCAAATTCACATTTACATTCACATTCATCATGGTTGATGGTTTATGATTGAATCAACCATCAGTCATCAGCGTCAACAACAGCAACAACAACAACAAAAAATAAAAAATTGAAAACAACAAACGAAAAAAAGGCCGAATTTGATCTAGCCACCCATAGATGAATCTGAATCCAACATATTTTGTCCATATGCACACGATGTTTGGTAATCATATTTCATTTGTAAATGTTAACCAAACATCACACACACACACACACACACACACATAGACATTTGCAAAATCAATTAATCGATTCTGAATAAGAAAGAGAGAGTGAAAATTTCATTAAATTTCAAAATTAATTATCGATTTTTTTCGGTATTTCAAGTTAAATTAATTAATTATTTCATCTCAACAACAACAGATAACACACAACAAACGACCGATAATAAAATTTATATTAACACTACGTCTTATTTGGATTTTTTCTAAAGTTTTATGATTGATAATAATTCTGATGATTCTAATCCAAAGTGAATGATAATACAAATCTTAATCATCCATTTTCAATGTCTCAAACAACGGAAAAACAACAACGTCAAAATTCAACAACAAAATCTACATCATCAACATCATCGTCATCAGCATCATCAACGCCGTCATCGTCATCATCATCATCGACGCCCATTTGTGGTAATCTTAATGTTAATTCATTGACAACAACAACAAGTGATGATAATATTAATAATGATTTTACTACAACATTATATGGTATGGCAGCATTAAATGGTGGTGGTGGTGGTGGTGGTAGTAACAGTAATAATACACAATTAATGGATAATAATAATAATAATAATAATAGTGGCACATCATCATCATCGTCATCATCATCATCATCATCGACAACAACATCCGGTGGTCATCATAATCAAAACCATCATCATCATAATCATCGATTATTGAATGATAATAATAATCATCATCATCATCATCATTCAGGTATGATGTTTAGAAACACAAAAAAAAACCGGTGTCTATGATTTGAACCTATAATTAAGAGTGAGAAATTTTCCCGATATTATTTAGTCATTTTTTTCCGGAAAAATTTCTTGTAAAATTCAATATATTCCAATTCAACATGATTGTGACAAATTTTCTTTTTTTTCCTTTGATTTATTCATTACATTCATCGGGATTGTAGTTGTTTGATGAAACAACAACAACAACAAAACATCCATTCACAATCATTCAAATCAATGAATGATTGACATCAAACTTACACACACACACACAGAGAAAAAGTCGAGAACAAAAATATCTTTTCAAATAAAGAGCAGGTGTTGGTAAAATTTTTGCCGAATGATACAGAAACAAAAAAAAAACTGTAGAACACTTGGAACACAAAACCCGACATGAAATGTATTGTATGTTTGTGCGGTTGATTGTTGTTGTTGTGTCAAATTTCGGGTTTTAAGTGATGATGGTGAATTTCCATTAGTTAGTTAGTTAGTTAGTTAGTAGTTTCCATCATTCGTTCATTCATTCACGGCAGGCGATCAAATTTTGTATTCGATTGTCATCACCATCAACATCATGATTTGTAGGAAGGCATTGAGAGTGTTATTTTTATTGTTATTTTTCTCCCCATTCACTATGCGTATAATTTAACACTTATCGTTATGGATCGTCACCAATGTGACATGACCTTGTTGTTGTTGTTGTTGACACGAAAAAAAACAAGTGTAATTGAAATACTTGTCACAATAAATTTTTGAATTTGAAATTTTTGACTGATTGATTTGTTTTTCATTTGACTATTAATTAACAGTTTTCACATTTCCAAATGTATTGAGTAATTCTACGGAAACTGCATTCAAGAAACTTAAAGTTGATAATAATACAAATTCTCATCATAATCATCATCATCATTCGCATCATAATCATCAACATCATCATCATCATCAACAATCAACACTTGTACCGCCATCAGCATTACCGCCGCCGCCACCACCACCACCACCGCCAGTATTAAGTCATCTTTCCGTATCCAGTGGTGGTGGTGGTGGCTTAAGTGGACATTCATCATTAATGGCCGGTTTAACATCGGTACCAACATCATTGACATCAGCCATATCGACAACAACAACAACAAATTCATGTCCACCAACACCAGCAAGACGTAGACATCGTACAACATTTACACAGGAACAATTGCAAGAATTGGAAACAGCATTTGCTAAAAGTCATTATCCAGATATCTATTGTCGTGAAGAATTGGCACGTATTACTAAATTGAATGAGGCAAGAATACAGGTATGTGTTTGATTATTATTGGAAAAAATCATCCTATATTTATCAATCATATAACCATGGAAATAATTTTTTTTACTCACCATCCATCAACAATTTTAATTAATACCAGGTATGGTTTCAAAATCGACGTGCTAAATATCGTAAACAAGAAAAACAGATACAAAAAGCATTAACAAATAGTTCAATGTTACCAGCATGTAATGGTGCTATGATGCGTAATATTTATCATCAAGCACAAGCTGTACAAGCGCAAAATCGTAATCATCATCATCATCATCACCAATATCATCAATATAGTGGTGGTGGTGGTGGTGGTGTTGGCGGCGTTGGTATTGGTGGAACAGTCGCATCCAATTCAACATTGAATACAATGGCTGCTGCCGCTTCACGTTATCATGCACCAATAGCAGCGGCAGCTGCTGCGGCAGCCGCTGCAACTTCTGCTTATCATACACATTCAATGAATGGACCAAATGGAACATCACCATTTTCTGGTATGACATCAACAACAGCAGCCGCAGCAGCAGCAGCAGCCGTTTCAATGAATCATCGACAACAACAACAGCAACAGCAACAACAACAACAACAACAAACGGATATTGATAATGAAAATGATTGGTATAATAAAGGATTCAATGCATTACGAATGAATAATGGTAATAGCCATAATCAACATAATCATCAGTCAAATCTATCATCTGCTGTTGCTGCTGCTTCACCTATGCTTCAATATCAAACATAACACAAACACGAACACAAACAAACAGAAACAGATAATCTCTCTAGTCACGGCTATAGTCATTGATTTATCATTGAAAAAAATTTTTTTTAACACTTTGTTTGCCACACAAGAATTCATTACTTATACTACTGATGTACAAAACAAACAAACTGGATTTGGAATTAATTAATGTTCACTTTTTATTTGATTGACTAAATTCTTCTAAACCATCCCTCCAGAAACATTCCAATGTTTAACTGGAATGAATTAGAAATGAATCATTTTTTTTTCTTTGAAAACAAACATCCATATCCATAATGTGTAAATATATTAATGATTTATTGATCTCTCTCCTCTATCAACAAAAAACAACAACAACAACAACAACAGCTCATCATCATCATTTCACATTTTTTTCATGTCACAACAACAACAATAAAAACAAAAAAAAATCTGTTTGTAATTTTGATTTTCAAGAAAAAAAAATAAAAATTTATTTGACAAAAAAAAATCAATTGATTACGTACTTTATTGACAACCCAATTCTCAGTGTCACGTGATCATGTTGTTTTTGTTGTTATGGTTGTTTATGAAAATTTCGAATCATTGAAACGTAATTTATCAATAATGATGATGATGATCATTCTATGGTGATCATCATTGTAAATCATTGACTATTGTTATGATAATGAATTGTTGAACAAAATCTAATTAAAATGATCACAGATGATGATGAAATGCTGCCTGGATTTAGTCGTCTATCACTTGGTGACGATGGTCATGTATATAATTCTGATTGTGATGATGATGGTGATGGTAATGATGGTAATGACGGCTACGATGACAATGATGAAATAATGAATGTTCGAATTCAAGAGACAAATCATCATCATCACCAACCTTATATCGATATTTCAAATGATCATCAATTTAATAATTTTCTAATGGATCAACAGCGCAAACATCACAATTTTTTTGTTGATGAACAATTTGAAAATCAATCCGAAAATCGTCATTTTAAATGTCCAATCTGTTTGAAAGAAATGAGAAAATTATTCTGTCCAAATTGTATACGTAATGGTGATTTTACTCATTCAACACAGAATTTTCTTGAACGTTTTGCGGATAAAAAATTGAAATTCATCAAACTTAAAGAGCAACAATTGCGTGATTGTAATGATGTGCAGAAATTTTTCGAAAATAATGTCACAAAAAGTTCAATGGTGAGGATTTTCGTTTTTGTTTTTGTTTTCATCATAATAAATTTTGTTTTGTTTCTTCCAAATGAACACAGACAATCAAAATCAATGAAATCGAACGAAACATACGTACAATACGTGAAATTATGAATGAAAAACGTTCGATTATTAGTGATATGAAAAAATTATTAAACAAACATGAACGTGAACGTTTGCTGTATCATAAGAAACAGATTGATGTGAAAAATAAAATGAATCGATGTAAAAATAATCATGCTACATTGAGCTATAATTTGAATAATTTTTATCGGAAAAAATATTCAATTCAAGATGAACTAAACACGTTGATACGAAAACGATTGAATCAATTAACAATGTATGTGTTTCCTATACAGGAAAACATTTTCACTACTACCACCATTAATAATCAACAACATTTTGACGATGATGACGATGACGATGACGATGATTTAAATATTCAATCAATTAACTGTGATAAATCTGAAGCTTTGCCATTACTTGATTGTGCTATCAACGATGATGATGATGATGATGATGATTGATGATAACAATGATTCTGTTGTGACAATCAAATGTAAAAATGATTATAATAAGAAAAAGAAATGTGAATCAAATCAAACTCGTAAACAGCAAATAATTCGTTATAAAATTGTTGATTCATGGATTAATTTGGATGAAAATTTTGAAGGTAATGTTCTGAATTGAAAATTTTCATTTTTTTAAATTTCATTTTTTTTTCTCCAAAACATAAAAGCTGCTACACATAACAATGCCATAGAATGTCTAGATGTTGGTGATAATAGTTTTCGTGTTGATCATCGTCGTATTATGTCAGCATTATCATATCTATGCTATCTTACCAATCTATTTGCATTGATCAGTAGAATTCATTTGCCGAGAAAAATTCTGTTCAGGTAATGAAAATTTTAGTGAATTTAATGAATCCAGAATTTTTATATTCTAGCGAATTGACATGTAAACGAATGAAACGTGATCAATTTCATCGACGTATTGCACAATTGAATGCAAACATTGTGTTTCTATGCTGTTGGTATCGTGTTGACATTCGAAATGAATTACAGCCAAAACATTCGATTCGTAATATCAAACTTGCATTAGATGTGGCCATTGATGCACAGACAAATTCGTAAGTTATTCATGAAAAAATGATTCAAAAATTTCTGACCATTTTCACACAAAGTGATTATAATCATCTTGAAATTCGTCACAATTTGTTCCGTATGATTCACAATGAATTATTCATGTATGATATGGTTAAAATAACGAAAAAATCAAAAACATTCGATACGTTTCCGACCACAATCGATACGAACGACAACGACGACGACAGCAACAAGACCACAACGGCGGTAGCTGATGAACAGGATTTTGATTTTGTTGAAAACAATATACCGGATTTAAAATTGGATGATCCAGCCAACAATGAAAAACAGCCAGCAACCGGCATATTGGCAGCACTTGTTTCATCCATCTACAAACGAACAACAACTATTTGATTCAACAATTAAAACAACAACAATATCGATCGATGTTTTTAATTTTGTAAAATTCATCAATTTTTTTATTTATTGTGATTGAAAAAAATGTATAAATACTCGAAACAACAGAAAAAAATATTGAATTTGTATAAAAAAAAATGAATGATTCGAATAAAACAAATCGTTCTTCTGATGATTATCTATCCATACAAAAGGCTTTATTTCGTAGATATCGTAGCCTGCCGCCACCACCACCACAACTACATACGACGACAACGACAACAAAATCACCAAAAGATTTAATTGATCGAAATATAATCGCAAGTGAATTACAAAATAAAAATATTCAATTAACTACTGCTACTACCACTGCTAATAATCAATTAATTGGTCCAAATGGTCAGATTTTTATTGGCAAACATAATCCAACACAGAGATATATTGCAATAAAAGTTTTTAGTAAACCTGAATTGGAAAAAATTTATGCATTAATCATTAAACGAAGTCTACCATATGATCGATTAGGCACCGAAGATCGTTTAGTTCGTGTTTATGAAATGTTTTTATCCGGCACAACACTTTTTATTCTACACGATTATCATCATCATGGAAATTTAGCACAATTTTTATCATCATCATCGTGGAATAATCGAAAACCATTGGATGAACAACAAGCACGTGCGTTATTCCAAACGATTCTTAAAGCATTACATCATATGCATACGAATAAAATTGCACATCGTAATCTTAAATTGGAAAATATTCTTCTCGATGATAAATATCAACCAGTTCTAACGGATTATACATATACGATACTTGTGGATAATCTGAATAATTTTGAAACAATAATGGCAACATCATTACCATATTTGGCACCAGAAATTATTGCCCGCATTCCATATGATCCAATCCGAGCAGATATATGGAGTTTTGGTGTCTGTCTTTACATCGTACTAACGAATAGTCTACCATTTATACCGCATGTAAAACCAGATGATAAACAAAAAGGTCTGCAATTTAAAAGCCGTACTAAATTAACAGATGAAGCAAAAAATTGTCTGACAAAAACAATGGAATATGATGTCAATAAAAGATTATCGACAAATTCATTATTGAAAAATTCGTGGTTTAATAAATAAATCATTCATGTGTTGGGAGATATTAGAAAATTAAAATTAGACCAATCACTTATTGTTTCATTATTTCTTGCAAATTGTTCAGCCGTTATTGATCTCATTGTCAATAGATCAGAGGTAGCCCAAATCGATGCACCTAACCAGCTAGCATAATTTTCTTTACACGGTAATTGATGAAATTGAAATTCATTGGAAAAATTCACCGGTTTATAACGTTGACTTTTCGTTGTTAGATATTCAATTTCTTTGTACAGGCGATGTTTTAGGCCCGGTATCATTGATGTGCCACCAATCAATACGATATTCTGTGCAAGCCGACGACGACAATCCATTGGACATTTAAGAATTGAATCAATAATCAATGTGGCCAATGTATGTTCTTCACCATACATTTCGAATAAAACTTCACATACAGATTCACGTAATGAACCGGGTATCTGTAGAAATTGATTACCACCAAATGGATAACGTACTGATGGTGGTGGTCGTCGAATCACGCATTGGATACCATCATCGGTGGTTGATTCTTCTTCTTCTTTATTCATAAGTTTTTGCTGGGCCAATTGTGAACCACGTTCGAATGTTGTAACGAAACAGGTACGAAATATAATGTCTTCCAATGTTGATTCATCTATGGTCGCTTGTTGTATTTCAACATTTTCGCCATCTTTACGATATGTAGGTTTCCGCCGTATTAATTCATCCATTATACGAAGCTGTAAAGATTTACCACCTAATGGTGCAAATTGTACTGAATCCAAAATGGTGATACCTTCAAAAATTGGTATGGCAATCGCTTCGGCATAGCCAATATCAAATACTAATGCAGTGTTTATGCCCAATGTAGCCATAACGACAACATGATTTGGAACAAACAACAGTGATGGAACATCGAATCGTTTGAAAAATACTTGTGCAACTTGTTGGCGAAAAATTTTCTCCGAAAATATTGATTCAACAACAATTACACGTCTATCTTTTGGATTGGCAGCTAGATATTTGAAATAGATCATCTGTATGAATTTCTCCAACGTTCGTAACAATAGTTCAACATCTTTAATTTGGAAAATGTGGACAACCTTATCAATAGAATCCAGATAAATCTGGCTTGGAATTATTGCTCTTGGACTAGGTTCCGATGTAAAACCGCATCTGGATTTAAATGATAAATGATCAACCGAAAAGAAAACCCAAACACACATTCATTTGCACTTACTTTGTATACGCTGTACCAAATTCAAAGACAACAGCATTTTTATCCGTTTGTAAACTATCATAAACAGGCATGATGATTCTTTTTTATCATGAAAACAATAATATAAAATTTTTAAATCGAGAAAAAAATTCTGAAAAATAAACACACAAAATGAGTAATTCATAAATGACATACTCGAATTGATCAATTCACAACCAACCAACCTGTTGTGTGATTTGTGATGATAATGATGATCAGGCACATCCCATTATTTTTTTTTCTTATAAGAACAACATCAACAACAACAACAAGATATTGTGTGTGTATGTGACATGTCAATGAATGAAAGAAACAAGAAATTCCCCAATTACATCGTCATCGCCATTTAATTGTTTGATTTTTTTTTTCGTTGTGTACTCAAATTTTCGTTTGGTTTTCGGTGACAATGCAATCGACTTGGAATTTTATTAAAAATAATAAAAAATCAATATTTTTCGCCACTTCCGCCATTGTTGGTTTTATCGGTTTACGGCGATATTGTTCCAATTTTGAACAACAATGGCAACATTCACAATCACGAAATTTTGTGTCCGAGATACGAAAAAAAGGCACCTATTTCGATGATTCATTGGCCATTGGTAATAATATGGCCAATAAACAATTTCGATTGATAATAAGAAAATTAAAAGAAATGTTCAACATTGTACAGCTGTTGAATAAAATCAAAGAAGCACAATCGAATAATGTGGTGAGTATATATTCAATTTTTCTTTTTCGAATCTGAAAATTTTTTTTCCAATCTATCCATAGTCACCATCGGAACAATTGAAATATTATGAAGAATTAAAAGTGGAAATATTCACCTATATTGTTGCCGAAATTTATGCCATTGCATTTTTCATCACCTATCTTCGTGTACAATTGTCAATGATTTCCGGTGTCATGTATCATGAAAATCAAATCAATAAATCATCAACAATGAGTGATGGAAATTCATTGCTTAAAGATACTACATCACGTTATTATATGTTTATTGGTTTATTGGAAAATTTTCACCAAAAAGGTATTGAACATCTAGTGGGTATTGTAAGAAATTTGGTGAAAAAATCATTTCACAATCTTAAAATCACTGATAAAGTAACGTTGAAGGATGTGTTGAAAAATTTGAATGAAATCAAATCCAATTGGAATGAATCATTCGAATGTTTGATTGAAGAAAATGTTTTACATGTTTATCGTCATTGTGACCAACAACAGCAACAACAACGACAAAATTCATCCACTGATGATGGATCAATCGCAGATGATGAAAATGCTGTAAAATGCAAATTGTTGAATGAATATAAAGCATGTTCAAAATTTATTGACGAAATGATCGATATAACAAAATTGTCAGATTTTCGTACAGTCATGGAAAATTGTATCGATATTGGTTATTCAAATCTTTTTGATTTTATTAACGAATGTTTCATTCAATTTGAACAGCAACAAAATTCACAACAAACAATGGAATCAAGACAATTCATCAATCCACATCAGATTAATGTTGTGTTGATTAAACTGTTACCATTGATATGGCAACAAGTACATCAAAATGATTCTGATGATGATAACAATGCCAACAGAAACAGCAGCAGCAACAGAAACGATAATCGATCATCAGAATTTTGTGAAAATGAAAAACGAAATCGTAATGCATTACTTGTACAATTTTTACTTTGTTCCGATAGTCTAACGTGTTTCGCTGCAAATATTTATGAAGCATTCTGTAATGAAATGCCAACACGTAAAAACATTGGTTTATCAACTATTGACTGATGATGATCGATTTATATTTCTACTTAAAGGACCGAATATTAAACAAAATAATCACAAATTAGCCATCCATAGAGTTATTATTTGAATGTGATGAAAAACAAAACATTTTTGTTCTATGTTTGTTTATCACTATAATCTTCCAATAAACCATCCAAATGATTGTTCAATTTACGGAAATTTGATTTCCGTTTTACATGGTCTTTACGTTTCTGTTTAGGCATCGATGATTTCCGTATGTTCATATCTTGCATTGAACTAATGCCATGATTTTTAAGATATTCTTCAATCTTTGTTTCATCCATTCCTTCCACTGCGATTGAACGCCATGCTTTTTGAAATTCTTCGTCAACATTAAAACTTAATGATAGATTATTAATGAATAAAATTTTCTTCTTGTCCACTGGTCTTGTAATAACTATTAGTTGATTTTTTTCTGCCAAAAATTTTATAATTCTATCAGCATTTGGCAATGATTCTTTGATATCTTCATAGGCGATTGCGCCGAGGCCACGGGAATCATATCGTTCCAACAATCGTATCAATGATTTTCGATCTCTTATATTGAATATTGGTTTATAGGCATATTTAGCATCCTCTGTGATGGTTATACGTGGATTATTTGGCAATGCTTCGGTTAAGAGCCATTGTTTTTGTCGGCCACTTAAATCCAATTGATTCGTTTCATCTAATAATTCATCGAATGTCAATGCTTCAGAATCACCATTCAGATAACGATCTTTCATTGAATTAACAATTTTAGTTAGAATGGAAAAATTATGCAGCGGTACGGATGATTTGGTGGGAAAAAAATCTCTGGAACTAGCTGTCGATGAAGTTGACGATGAATCGAATCTTTTTCTTTTCGAATCATTTTGAGCGGAATGTTTATCATCAACATTATCATCTTGTTGTTTACGTTTTTCAATCACAGGCAATGCAAATGCTTTTTTCATAAATAATTCACGTTCTTTTTTCAATTGATCCATGTTGTATTTTGGTTATTTATTTTTTTAGAAACCTTGGCCAAAAACTTTGAAACAAAATAAATCCAGAAAAATATTTCGTCAACAAACACAAACACACACATGTTGTTCATAAATGCAGTATTCCAAAAAAAAAATGATGTGCATTCTGGCCACGAGATGGCAATAAAAATTGTTATTTGCCGCTCAATTTTTTTTTGTGTTCGATAATTTCCTTTTGTTCGAAAATTCTTTTTTATTCAAATTTTTTTTTTTTTCAATTTCAAATTCTGTTTTATTTCAAAAACTTTGTCATCCAAAAAAAAGTTTTTTACATTGTTTTTTATTTATTTATTGCTGGTCATTTTTTTTTGTTATTCTGGCAAATCATTCATCCATGAACCACCACCACCAGCATCATTTCCAAAGGTTAGACACACACACACACACAAATCGACATTGAATGTTTTGTTCAATTCCTATTCTATTTTTTCAAAATAAAAAAAAATTGAAATCGGATTTACATTTTAATTAAGTTCAAATGTTTTATTTTTCTCTTTCTTTTTAGTTGTATTGTGTCAAATGCAAATGTATTCGGGTTTTTGTTCACTGGAAAATTATCATCACCAATAATGACGAAAATGATGGGTTGCTGTCGATGTTTGATCGATGATGCGATGAAATTGGCCCCAATTTTCATTTTGATGTAACAAAAATCACTCGAATGAAAAAACACGGATCAAGGATTCTCATTCAAACAACAACAACCAATGAAAAAAAACTTGTCGTTACCGTTTATTATTTGTTGGATCCATAGAATTTTTGGAAAGAATCCTGTTTTTTTTGTTTCAAGTATGTCATATATTCAATAACAATAATTCCATCATCATTCATTTTTGTACTTTTATATATCCGTGATAATTCTTTCAATTGGATAGGATTTTCTTCCATCATCAATGTCATCACTATCGAATTTGTTATTCACCTGATTTATTGTGCCGTGCATCCTGATATTATTGTCGATTATTTACAAAAATACTGGACATTGGATAATGACAAAATTGTTGTTTTCCATTCTCCATTGTCAATGTATGTAAGTGATTTGAAGCGTGATTTTGCATTCATTAAAAATCATCCTAATGTGTGTGTGTGTGTGGCAGGGTGTCATTATCATCATCATCCATCCATTTTGTTATAATCAGATCATCATCATCATATTCTTTTGAAACAAATACACACTCATCTGGCCATTTAAATTTTTTGCCTGAATTTAATATATATCCTGTGCTATACATTTGAAAAAAAGATCAAGAGAGAGAGACCAAATATTAATCTGGTCATTGATGGTGGGTGATCCTGAAACACCACCAGACACACACACACACACACACACACATCATCGTACAAAGTATTAAATAGTAGATTTAAGTTTCTGTTTTGTCTTTTCAGATCACAATAAAATGTTGACGACAACCATTTAGCGCCTTATGTCCTATCATCGACGAATATTATAGCTGGATAATGTACGGATGAGGGTTATATTGATGTCATCTACCAATTCAAATTCACAGATCCATTTTTAGCAGTGATTTCCGAAAAACAAAAAAAAATTCATGAATGTGAAAGAAGATTATTATTATTATTATTCGACGATCATTGATTCGATTCATCGTCTACGACTAAAGTGTAAGTTTGAATATGATTCTCATTCATTCATGATGATGATGATTGACATTATTCTTTGTTTTGTACCCATATGGATACTATCATCATCATCATCATATAAATCTCTGTAATACACACACACACACACATACAATATGGGTTCCTAAATATTTTCATCACTTAATCTCCATAAATGATGAGGAAAAGAATTGAATTGAATCAGTGTATGTGTGTGTTTTCATTCATGTTTCCTATTTCGCAATTTCAATTTCGGTTCTATTCCGATTTGAATCCAGAATTTTTTTAATTTATGATTCTACTAGATAGAAAAAAGCATTATTTTTTTCAATGAAACTGATAGACATTCATCATGTGAGAACGATAGCATAATGATAATGAATTTTATTTGCGTGTGTGTGTGTGTCCAATGATCATAAATATTGGGATATTTTTTTCTTTTTTATCCATTTAATAGATTAGAATTGTCAATGATAATAATGATGATTTAATTGTAATAATCTTGATTAACTTTTTTGTTTCTCTTTCATTTTCTCTATCTCTCTCTAGTTGATTGTCAATCTATTGCGTGACATTATTATATGATGATGATTCTGGTCTCAATTTATGATTATCGTGATGATGATGACAATCGAATCGAATCATAGATTGGAAATTGAATAATCGGCAAACGGAGGTTCAGGGGCTCAACAAAAGAAAAAAAAACCCATGAAAACATATTCATATTGTTGTTTGACCTATTGTTGTGTTGTACTGTATTGTAACACGCTACAACTACTTGGTTACACGTACGATATATTATGGATCGTTATGGATCACCCATACAAAAACACGCACGCATTATATCCGTCGGGTTGAGAGTTTATTTCCCCCCACCACCACCTCCAGCACACCGTTTTTGATATGATGCACATATGTTTTGATTCATCGTCATCTACAGTAACAACAATAGAGAGAGAAAAAATTTTATTGGCCTATACACACAATGATCCTCTCTCTCTCTCTCTCTCTTTTATTGTATTCTAATCACATCAATTGAACATCATCATCATCAATTTGTAGACTATTGTGTGATTGATTTGTATTCAATTTCATTGTTTGTGTGTGTGTGTGGCCAACTCTGATAACAAATCAAATTTAAAAAGGCCAATCAATCGATTGATGATGATGATGAAAATGATTCAAAAGACTCAATTTTACACAAAAAAACGCATTTTTATACACACTTTAATAGAGTGATGGCCAACGAAAAAAATAATAATGGACATTCAAAAGAAAAACAAAACCTAATTGGTCATGGCTGCCATTACCACCATGTTCCTCGTCATCATCATCAAATTGGAATTGAATTTTCGTGAAAACAAGTCATTGATAACTGAGACATTTTTTAACGGAAATCCGATTCGAGGTTTTTTTTTATACCGAGAAATCCAATTGATTCGTGAAGGAAAAAATTCCATCACTTTTTTTGTACATGTCGCCATGAGAAAAAACAACATCAATGAAAGTGACAACAACAACGACGATGACAAAGTTTTAATAATAAAAAAAAATGTCAACCATCAACCATCATCATCTTCAACAACGACGTCAACATCATCAACGAATCGAGAAAGAGAAAAAAAATTAAAATGAATGAACCACACACACACACACAAGTTTCTTGTTTGATTCATCAGAGAGCAAAAAACGATCTAGGCCAAAAAAAAGTTGTCGTTGTCATCAAGAAATTTTTTTCTCGTTTTTCGGGAAATTTTTTTGGACACCAGAAAATACTATCAAAACATGCACACACGCTATTTATTGTGCTTGTATGTTTTGTGCTTTGCTGTGTGCTCTGTGTATGTATAATAAGAGAAATATCAACCGAAACATTTGACGACAACATTGATGATTATGATGACGAGAAACGAGAAAAAAATTTTTGCCTATTTTCGCCCATTGGGAAGGTCTTATACGCCATCACCATTCACCATCGCCATCATCAATATAACCATCAACATCATCATCATCATCATCATCATCATCACCATTGAAAACTTGGGTAAATATTGACATTAGTTTTATTCGTTTTTTTTTCTTCTTCTTCTAGGCAATGAACACACACACACACAGAATATTAGAGAGACATGGAGAAAAAAAATGTGAAAGCACAAACGAACTGAGAGAGAACGATAGAATGAAAATGAAACGAATAAAATGAAATGAAACTAACAAACGAACGAGCGAACGAATGTACAAAACTCATACACGCAAATGCATCCTAGTATTTTTTTTTGTGTGCCATCAAATTTTTCGTTTGCCTTAGTCTCTAGTTTCTTTTTTGGATCTAGTTGGTGAAAAGTGTGGAAGGGGGAGGCTTGGAAATAATAAATGATGATGAAATGGGGACTTTTTTCTGATGTCTTGTTACCATTGTGACCATTGTGTGTGTGTGTGTGTTTGGAACCATAGAAAGCCTAGCTTTTTTTCTTGATGATTTAGGCTCGTTTTTTTTCTTTCTGATGCTCGATGATTCTTTTTTTCCATGTGCATGTATTATATATTATCATTATTGCTACCATTTTTGTTCGAGAAAAAAATTCGTTTTATCGTTTCACATATGATGATGATGTGGGTATTTGTTGTATTGCCCATTGTGTTCCACAATGGATAATGATAGTAGTAGTGGAAAAGCTTTTTTTCCATTTCGAAAATTTGTCATCGTTTGTTGGTGTCCAGCTTTATCGTTCATATGAAAGATGGACAAATTTCATTTTTGTCGTTTAGAGAATTCTGTATGATGAAGATTATGCAATCACATACTCACAAAACATGTTTTACGCATGCCAATCTTTGAATGTCCAAAATACAAACTTTCTTTAGGTTTTTGTAGTGAATTTTGTCGTGTAAGAAAATGTGAAAAAAAATTTCTTTTGTCTCTCTTCACATTCTTGCTATCTTGCTAGTTGGCAGAAAAAAAATTGATTAAGATAACTGATTCAATATATTTCAAGCCACGTTTTTTTCTCACTGGTTCGACACCTGTAAATTCTTTTTGCACCAAAAAAAAAATTTATACAACCTAGATCTGTATGGTGTTATGGACACAAATAGTTTGGCAATTTTTTTTCATATTTTTAGACAATTTGAAAAAAATATCTGTCTCAGATCATGTACAATCGTTTGAGAGAGAGAGAGATTTTGTTGTCGTACATTCACACCTGCATACATGATGCATTACTTTTTACTGCTATTGAAACATAATGACCAGAAAGAAGATCACCTGCAGTCTGTGTAGTGTTGTTGTTACTGTTAATTCACTTCTTTTTAACTTTATTTTTTTTTTAGTCCTGGAACCGTTTTGGTTTTTTTCTTCTCTTCTGTCT